AAATTTTAAGTCAAATGGGACATGGCCCTAAAGGTTTTGTTTAAATCAGCATTTGTTTGTCAAAAATTCGATTTTTCTATCGATTTACTCATTAAATTTCGACATGACACTTGCCAAGCAAGTAAAGCATGCGCACGTTGGGCAGAAAACCGTGTGACTCGATTTGGCTTCAGTTTCATATCTGTATATAGCTAATCTGTGGTCGTACTCGTAGTCACTGCTAAAGTCTCAAAACTCAACAACAAACATATCTAGGATAGGACAAAAACCACGCATCTCACGCCCACCATGTTAATGATAACATAACCCAACTAAAACCTATCATAATAATTTTGAAATTCCTCAGCTGATAGGATTATATCAAATTACTTTCAATCGCATCAAGTTTCTATTGAAACATTCTTCGGAATTAGCAATTTAATAGCGGTCTTCCTTTAATTAAATCAAAATAAAGCTTCGAAATTTTTTTAAAAACATTTTATTGAAAGAAAAAACTACTACGCTGTTTTTTTGGAGTTTCCTCCTTAAAACATGATGAAATCCTCTCGATCGTGACCAAGACGCAATCAAAACACTGCAATATTTTTTTAGAAATTTGTGGACCGAACTAAATGATGACAAAAGACTCTCTCTAAAAACAAAAACATCTCTGATTGGTATCGAATGGTTACACATTCTCTGAACCTAATGATGACAAAAGACTCTCTTTAAAAACAAAAACATCTCTGATTGGTGTCGAATGGTTACACATTCTCTGAACCTGATGATTACAAAAGACTCTCTCTAAAAACAAAACATTTCTGATTGGTATCGAATGGTTACACATTCTCTAAACCTAATGATGACAAAAGACTCTCTTTAAAAACAAAAACATCTCTGATTGGTATCGAATGGTTACACATTCTCAGAATCTAATGATGACAAAAGACTCTCTCTAGAAACAAAACATCTCTGATTGGTATCGAATGGTTACACATTCTCTGAACCTAATGATGACAAAAGACTCCCTCTAAAAACAAAAACATCTCTGATTGGTATCGAATGGTTACACATTCTCAGAATCTAATGATGACAAAAGACTCTCTCTAAAAACAAAAACATTTCTGATTGGTATCGAATGGTTACACATTCTCTGAACCTAATGATGACAAAAGACTCTCTTTAAAAACAAAAACATCTCTGATTAGTACCGAATGGTTACACATTCTCAGAATCTAATGATGACAAAAGACTCTCTCTAGAAACAAAACATCTCTGATTGGTATCGAATGGTTACACATTCTCTGAATCAAATGATGACAAAAGACTCTCTCTAGAAACAAAACATCTCTGATTGGTATCGAATGGTTACACATTCTTACACAATGGCTCTCCAAAAAACTGATGAGATGTTAAATTTGATATGTAGTTTACACAAAAACATAAATATAAAAAGCCTCAATCTTTCGACTAAACCGCGCAAATTAGAACAAACATTCAAAGTATCAAGATGTTCTAAACTTAGGTAAATGCTGCAAATTGCTGCAAATACTATTTCAATTTCGGTGTGACTAATATTTCACTGATTACTGTTGCATGTTATTTAACTTATTTTGAATGCATTTTTCAGCAGATTAAAGTTCCATTGTTATCTTCTATTCTTGTACATTGTTTATATACCCTAAAGGTTTCTATACACGCATTCCCGGTTTCCACCTAGATTCTAGTTGTAATTTTCGTGAACATGTCAAGGTGACTGATGTGACAGAATAATTCTATATATGTGCAGCAGTCAACAATTACCGATTTGCATACAGAAAATAAAGAAAAATGGACATTCGGATTATTTCTTATCGATAAAAATGGAATTACGACAAAATGGAAACCAGACTTCTTTAGTGTCTCTCTAGTTCATTTCCCTATTAAAACAACTGATGGATGAACTCCCTTTTATTTGCTGTCTAATTGTTGTCAGTAATCAATATAAACTACGAAATAAATTTAGGAATTGTCAAACCACGACCTCGGGGGTCATTGGATTTTTACCACACTGAACAGAACGATTACAAATTTTAAGGAATTCCATTACCAGAAGTGGCAGAACAAATACAGTAATAGGCGGCATAGACAGTGATGATTGGATAAATCGTCTAAAATCTCTAGAAAAAATTCAATAATTTGATATCACTCGATGGTCATGTGAGATATGGCAAACTTCTTCCAGCCAACGTTAAGCCTTGGGTAGAGCGTATGCACAAGGTGAATTCGGTTAATTGTCCGACTGACTTCACTTAAAGGCACATGCATATGTCCCCAAACATTGGACAATCACGCTATTTTTAATCATACCCATGTCAGGTTAGTGCTGTTCATTTCACTAGGCGCAAATTCTTATCAACTCTTCGTGCAAAGAAAACTAGGCCTATAACAAAAACTTCACTATATATAATTAAGGTGCACTTAATTAGTCGTGTCGAGTATTTAATTAATCATTACCACATACACTTGCAAGCTACGGTGCAGTTTTTGTGGAGGCTTCTCCTCCGTTCGTCCAAAATTTGATGGCTATCTAAATATATCAAACGTTTGACATTGTGTAATATAAAGCCGATGAACAAACTCTACCAGATGCTAATTAACGAGGTCTGATTGAATTACGTAAATTCACCGAGAAACTTCCTTACTATAGCCACAGGCCAGCTTCTGGTGCACTGTAATTAAATTACGTTCTATAATTTCGGCACTTCATAAAAAAAAGTTAGACAAATTTTCAATACTAGACAAACTCGCACGCCTTTAATTTCCGCATTTTACAAAACTTCGCAATTAATCTTCGCCGTTGCACTAAATTTAGTGTGTTCATTTTGAACGTGTGAAATTTATTTGAATCTTGTTACCTAGAGCCCGAGGCCGAGAGGTCCACTAAAAAGGCTGAAGTTTTTCTTGATTTAATATTTTCTTGACTTGATTTGACGCAAGAATACAGCGAAGCCCGAATGGGCATGCACATCGTATCAATCGAGATATAATCGAATATTTTTTTAAAAAGAGATCTTTCTAAGAATTTTCATTTTGATTGTAGGGTAGCTATTCAAAAAAATGCTGTGATTGCAGTCGGCTAAGTTTGCAAATAATACTTGGACTTTTAACAGTTTGGTTGGGCATCATCTAAGTAGTTTATAACTGTGTTCGTACAAAAAGAAAACTTCAAATTCTAAATGAACTAAAAACCTACGCCATATGGCAATAAAAAAATTAACTTCCTGATTGAAACTTTATTGTGTGGTGAGTCTCAATTTTAAGTTTAAAAACAATAATATTATTACTTCCTGGGAAATGCATGAAGCTGGGATAAAGAAGCTTTGGAAAAAGCTTGCCCTTGCCATCAGTTTGGGTGCAAGCCCGCTGTGTATTTTACTGCAACGCCGTTTTGATAAGACTTGAATATACGTCTGTCTTATATAAACAGTCCATAAGTCTAAGATTAGGAAGTATGGCATTAAAAACTTAAAAAGAGAATGGTATTTTAAATCGATTGCTGTTTGATGTCCCCACTTAGACGTCAAGCGCAAAGGCTTCTTTTCGTTCAGCATTCAGGAATGAAAGTTAGGACGTGATATAATAATAAAAGTCTTGTCGCGACGTGGTAATAAATAAAACCGACTAAAAATCGCGATTAGTGAACTACAAAGGAAATGCCACAAATTGTGACAGATGTAAACCAGTCTGGACGTGATTTTCGCATTAAAATTAAAATAAGCAGAAGGTCGTACGATATCCTTTTTACTTCGACCGTCGATTCTATGTAAATCTGACTTGTGCTCTGGGCAAGAGTTTCTGTAAAAAAATGTCTGGAATGAAGAACAAGGCTACAACTAATTCATGAAACATGGCTTTTTGGCGGACACCCCGCTGCAGACGCGTCGCGATTGGCAATACGACAAATTAATGTGAATACCTCATATAATTTTAAAAAAGTACCCCTGGCATAGGCGTTTCGAACGTTTTTCGTAGAGATTGGCATTCAGCCATCTCATCGTTTAAATAGACATAGTCTATGTGGTAGTCTATATGTCGGATCAACAGCCTGTTAACACGACTAATGTATTTTTATTACATACACACGTTGTCACCTAATTCGCTCTCTGCACGTTGTGCCTCGCTCGCATGACCAAAACGATGCTGACCATGACATTTCGAGGCCAAATTTCGATATATAAACCGATTGATATATTAGAAATTCAAAGTATGTGGAAAGGTAGAATTGTGCTGTTTTCAACGCCAGTCAACTGACGTTTAATTTTAATGACTTATAGCTTTAAGGCGATATAATAATATAGCAATGAACTATTCAAACGTTATAGCAAAGATTTCGACATTTGAGGGGGATGCTACTAGCATTTTGCAAACCTTGTTATATTCTTTACGTGTTTTGACCTATAGGACAAGGCTAAACGTCGAAGCTCGCACAAGTCAAATTCTTGCGGGCGAACGAACGCACTCACTCTGTTGGCACATTTGAAAAGGGTACTTGAAAATATTTTCGTTACATTCAGTCAGACGGCTGGATCTCGTGCGCAATACAACACAGTATTTCAAAGTTAGCAAAGTATGCGCGTTATCCGATTAGGTGAATTGGGTAGCAACGGTCGAACACAAGTTTTGTTTATTAATATCGCAATAAACCTAACGACAGGAATATATTTCGGACAAGCGTGATATACGAGAATCCCATGTGGTTCTCCGAACGATTATGCAAACACACGCGGCTTTGTGCTAACATGTAATATTGCTATAACAACAATAACAATACAATAGAATTCAAAAACACAGAGGTTCGTATGTTTACGTACACAATGAGTTTGAATCACTAGCGATTGTCACAACGCCCCAACATAAGATGCAATTAAGTTGTGACAGCGCACGCGAGCTAATTTGCATCTTTAGCGACTCAACCTCCTAAACTGATAAGCTTTAGAAGCGTTACACGTTAATATACAAGATGTACCCGCCAATCATACCTTTACGAAGGAATCTTTTAACAGGATTTTGATAGCGACAAGGCAGCCATATTAACAGACCAAAGTGTCCATCGGTAGTACTAACGAACAGGAAAATGTTCTGAAATTAAATGCGCGAAGACAGGGATTTGGGTCAGAGGTCGATCTGCATCAAGCATGCTATGATGCAACAGACATATCACTAATCGTACATAGGAATGCATGCATAATGGTGGTCAAATTCTTCTAGACGAGGCGGATAAGGAGTTCGGATGAATCGAAGGGTCAGTACATTATATATACAATACTTCCTTAGCCACCCACCCCTCACCAGGCTACATATTTTCTCGAGGAAGTTTTGGACTTTTTTTATAAGATGGGCGGGAATAATTAAATGGTCCCCGTAGGAACGCCACTCAACTGAATGTATACAATTATAGTAAAGCTAATTGCTTTGAAGGTCTTTGAGTTTAACAAGTGTCCCTTGGTACCAGTCGCTAACATGTAACTGGGCTTTACATGCTCCATAAACAAACACGTGTTCTTGGAGTGGCAGATCGAGTTAAGATTTCCGGATCAAAACAAAATGTTCTCAATATCACTGCTTGCGCATAATTGCTATTTAAAAAAAAAAGGGGGCAAGAATTGAAAGTGAGCCGACGTCTGCAGCAAGACGTGGATCACATGGTTCAGATATCACTGTATAATTCATTCATGATGCAAAGCTAAGCTAAGCCGTTTTGCACTTTGTGGATTGTTGTTTTACTTCTTGCCTGCCTATTGTCTATTTTCGCGCTCAAAACTGATATCAAACGTGTGTCATGTTGATTTATTATTAACGACAACAAAGATGGCGGATGCCCAAGATGAATGTGGCCTGGCAAATACCATGAAAAAAAACCTAATGACACGAAATTTCAACACAACAGTTGGAATAACGCTCTAATTCATGTCCGACTGCATGCATTCTAGTAAACAACTTCATGTAATGTCCTTTTCGTCTGTTAGTTTAGCAATTGTCTTTTTGCAAAACGTTTAAACATATGTCGCCATGTGACGTCAAACATGAAGCGAATATTGAGATTTAGAGAGTTTTAGTTTGACGTTTAAGGCAAGCTGCAAACCGCGGTTTCACGTAAGCGGTTTGACGTTGCCATTGTTGCAAATTTGACATTTAGTTAGCAGTCATTTACCTATGCCTTATGTTAAAATTGGTATCCAGTAAACAGTTTCGCTGTTAAATTGCTTCTAGCTAGTTCTAAGGCTTCAATTCTTTTAAAATCATATGTCATTTACACCCGGAAAAGTTGAAAAGAACCATATCATGGTTAACCGCCATTATTGCCAATCGTGTTACTGAATAGCGGTAGCCGCTTTCGTAAAGAAAATCGGTTAACTCATTGAAAACAGGCTAGAAAATCACCACAAAGAAGATTTGGATATCCAATATGTCTACTAGCAGTGTTTATACGTGAAACGAGACACTATTGCAATGACAATTCGCTGAGGTAAATGAGCTACGTGAAAATACACCTCCAGCGGTTGATGACGATGATTTTAATGACATAAACGGTATGAAATAGTCGTATTTTGTTGTACGTCGAGAAGTGTTTTATCTATTTAGGCAGTTGTTACACCATATTTGATGCTAAGTTGTTTGAAGACGCTGCCACGCTGCTCCTTGGTTATATTGGTATTTTGTCGAAGGTAAGTCGTAGATACGCCTCGTCGTAATTCGGCTTTCACATGTCAGATTGCGATGTGCCCATCACGCGTGGGTAAAAAAACTCCCCAAAACCGCAACAAATCATGACCACAGCCTTGCAATGTCGTCATCAGATGACGTCACAGCAGAGTATCAAAGTGTCACATGAATAAACCGATAATTACGTATATTAAATAATAAAAAATCGCGCGACGCCCAAAATTCTTAGCTTTCCGTCAAGGATCTTGAGCTGAGGGGGCGCGTTGAAAATAGCACGTAGTTCATCAAGCTTGAGATAAAAAGCCTATCATGTTTTCTTATTTTATCAGAATTCCAAGGCAAAAATGACTTATAACCTAACAGAAATCCGATAAGTGGATGTTATTAAGAATCTCTTATTTAAAGTTTGTGAAGGATTATGAAAGGGAAATTTACACTTGAACCTGCTTGGTCTCATGAAGCCTGTGTGAATAAGCACTGTTATCTTAAAAAAATGCAAATGAATGTCAATTTTAAACTTCAAAGGGTTTAAAATGCAAGAGAATTAAGTTTCCTAACACAAATATTAATATGACAAGATAAACAAGATAACAGGGGAGTGGAGAAAGGGATCGTTTCCCTCCTCCTCCTACAGAAAATGAAACTTGCAATTTCATTACTATTGCTGCCTAACATTTCCCTTTAAAAATAAAGGGCATTGGGACCAGCTGGGCGAAACCAGTCAGGCCATTCCCAAACTAAATTCTCATTGAATTCAATAAAATCTATTCACAAGTTCTACTTATTACTCATTCGCCTTTGCTTTCTTGAATTGTACCGAGCTCTACCTTCTTCGAATCTCTGTTTTTCCTCTTCTGTTTGTGGTTGAAGAGCAGGAACTTTGATTGGATAGCCTGACTTATCCAGAGCGACAAAATAAAAAAATGCACTGAGGGCACGAAAACATCGACCTAAAAAACAATCGGATAAAAAGTTATATAGTAAATCTTGAGATTAGCGATCTCTATCAATCACGATTGTGATAATTATATAGGTATACCTTCCAATAAATTTTCAACATCAGCTACAACTTTTATTTCCATAGACTTGTCACTTGTGAATGTCATTCTTCCTGTGATTGTCATGATTTCACCAAGTTTTACAGGATTATGAAAATCAATTGCATCTGAGTTTAAATGGTAATAATTTATTAAGGACTTAGATTTGCTTTTGCTGAGTAAACGAAAATGTATACCTGAATGTATACACTGATCAGTTATCATGTAACTATTAGTCTTACCAATTGAAGCTGTTACAATATTACAATGTGCATGACGGAATGCCACCATGCCAGCAACATTATCCATCATTTTCATGGTGACACCACCATTACAGTATTTGAATATGTTGCAATCTGATGGTTGTACGGAATGTGTTAGTGATGACGCTGAGTACTCAACACTACATTTTACCAGATCACCATGGTTCCTGCCAGAGATGGGATATTGTATACCACATGGTATCTAAACCAAAATATATCTATCTTTAGCAAGTAAAAATATCTATCCTCAAGAAAAAAAATAAAATAATGGTATATAATTCGATTCAATCCCCCCCCTACTCCCCCAAATTTGACAGGATTCCCTATAAAAATCCACCCCTTACCTTGGAGAGTAATTCCTCTTTCGTCTTCCGAGATATCAACTGTGCTTCATAACGCCTTCTTCCAGCCTCTTCATCCTCTTTGGACTTGTACTCTAATGGTGGGACTTCGCTAACTTTACTTTCACCACACTGTACAGATTGTACTTCAACAGGCACATACCAAAGACATGCCTTGTTACACAACTTATGCTCCCCTTTTACCAAATTCTCGGCAAACACCAGAACTTGAACTTCTAAGGAGTGTTTTGAACTATATGTCAAATCAGCATGAACTGTTGCCAACTCGCCTACGTACATTGGTTTGACAAAATTGGTCTGTTCAACCCGGGCTAAAGCGGCCCAAACAGCCGGCTTGCCCTCATGCCGATTCTTATTGCAATGCCTTGTCGCTATAATTCCTCCAGCTTCTTCAATCATTCTAAGTACAGTTCCACCATGGACATTTCCGGCCAGGTTTGTGTCATCAGGTGTCATCATTCGACTGACTTCAACACTTCCTTGCGGAAACAGCACACTGGGATGCTCTGTTGACTCCATCCAAGTCAATTTTCTTCTTTTAATGTAGTTCTTTTCGCTTTTACTTGAATTCATGCAACTTCTTTGTTAATTTCCTGTCTAACAGTAATTAAGTCATTTTATGCCGAGCGGATCTTGTTACCCCCGGGCTCCAAAATGCCAGCTCAATGATCAGCGGTATAACAAGATAACATTGAGCGAGAGATGATTCAGCGAGAAAAACAAACTGGAAAAACATAAAAAGCCATCGGTCTACGGGCGATGTTATTTAGTTCCCAAAGCATGCATCAACATGGCCGACCACGAAAATGACGAAGATATTTGGGATTCGTGGGAGGATATGGCCGAATCTGGGGTGAGAAACACATACGAATGAATTTTATGTACTTGCTTCTGGAACTTAAGTGTATTTCAATTAAAATACAACTCTTTATAGCCGGCGATTTAGTCTGCTAAGACTACGGATTTGCGATTGCATGGTGACATTGAACAGACGAATTGTGCTTTTGTTCTACGTTAAGCTTTGTTTTGGGTTTTTAATAGGAATTAGAAAGGCGAATGGAAGAAAGGGAACGGGAACACATGAAATTACGAGATGAAATTGATAAAAAGTAATGGTTTTTGTACATAAGTTTTTGATAAGAATGATCATTTTTGTATAAACCTTTCATTTGTTTGTAAACACAAAGGCCTATACAAATAACTGGACCATAAAATATGTTACAGTGCACACACCCTGCCTTTTCTGTACAAAGGCTGATTATAAAGCAAAGCATAAATAATTTCCCTGTTGATATATGCCACAATTGTACTGGCCAAGTAGTTGTGCAATATAGCTACATGATTTCAAATGCTAGTCAAATGGAAACTGGATAATCTATAGGTTACCCTACTATTGATTGCATCACAGCACCAGACTAGCCACAATGATGGGGTAACTGTTTGGTAGAACTCTCTGTGACAAAATAAACAGCATTGTCACCAAAGTGTGTTTCTTTAAGATTATTTGAGCCTGGGGTCCGAGTACTCGTAGATGATGATTCCAACAGGACAAAATATAATCCTCAGGTATGTTGTATTACAAAATATAGCTTTAAGGTACAAAACAAGATGACTTACCAAGATGATATTGTACTCTTCAGGTGAGGATATTGAGAAGAGACCCAGGTGATGCAGCACAAATGAGCAGCAGTAGTCAAAGTGATACAAATAAAAAAGTTCACAAAACTTTAGCACAACGGGAAAAGGAATATGCGGATGCACGGTGGGTTTTAGCAGATTACAGCATCATACTTTGAGCAACATAAAGCATATTTAGCAATACCTGGTTCTATAAGATCTTTCATCATCTCTTGTATAAACTTTCAGTGCAAGAATACTTGGTGATACAGCAGAATATGATGAAGAGGAAACATGGTATTGCATTCTGTGACACTTCTGTAGTTTCTTTATCCATATAACCTCTTTTCACATTCACAGTCCACCAACAAAGATAAAAACGGAAGAAAAACTGCCGGAGAACATAATTCGACAACCCAAGTAAGTCTATGTGAACTTTGGTTTTTCCTTGATGAATATGAGAAGAGTGACTGTTCGACTCTCCCAAACACATTTATTTAACATTGTTTCCCAAGAAGTATTGTATCAGTACAGAGCTTGGTAAGACTAACCTGTGTAAGACAGTCTTACAAGTTGTTTTATATCACGATTACGTCATTGCGATTCCTAACAAAGTCCGCTTGTTTTTGGCACAGGGGACCAGATGGAACATGTGGTTTTGCACTAACAAGATGACACAAGGGCTGTGAAAACAAGGAAATAACAACCTAAACTGAACTTTGATGTTATGGGATAGTTGAAACATAACAGTTTCACTTCTCACGTCTGGTTCGCTGAGATTGGATTTTGTGAAACACAAAGACGGAAAAAGGCTCGAATAGCAGAGATCTCAAGGGTTGAAAAAACTGGTTAGGCGGGGTGAGATATCATACCCAGGAGGAACATCCCTTGAATACCCTACATTGTATGGTTCACCACAAATGTACGAGGTCTTGGAGATGAGTCATGGAATCGAAATGAAGTGCATTAAAGTACAAACGGAATGAAACAGCCTATCTTACCTAGCATAACCTTCTACGAGCTACCACATACAAACCTTTCTCTGATGTGAAAAAACATAATTATACACGGATATATTAGTCCCTTACCATATGGAATGAAATGAAATGCATTCTTCCATAAAATGAAAAAAAAAATTTTCATATGTAAATTGTAGGCAATTCCCAAATATTTTTTCGTTTGTCAAACCATTGCAAACAGACGTTGCCAAAAATGCTGGTAATCGTGATGTGAACTGAATCAACATTAGCAACCAACTTTTCAGTGCAACATCGCTATACTACAGTATCATGAGTGTAATTTTGTAATATAATTGACCAATTTTACTCTGAAAACTTTCTTCAATGTGTAAAATGTTCGAACAAATGTGCCCGGGATTGCCCACATTTGAATTGAACATGTTTAATATTAGAAAACGAAGTTTGCTGATTGAGTTTCTCCAAAAACTGCACGAACTTTAATAAGCAATGTATATAACAACGTATTTTCTCAATAGCGTTGCTTTGTGATCACTTTATTCCTTGAATCACAGTGCTTGAATACACCATATTTACTTTGAAGCTTGATGAAATCTTACTAAATTTTAAATTTCTGTGTGAATTAAATTATCATTACCCAGGTGTGTTCGCGTTTTATAAGTAGATGAATAGACTGTGGGGATAAACCATGGATGATGATGGATAAATTATAGATGATAGATGGGTGAACTATGGATGATAAATCGATGGATGATGGTTGGATAAACTATGATGAGACATATTGGATGAAAAAACATGACGCATTCCTGCATTTGATTTGATTTTGATATACGATTTAATGTTTACCAGACTACTATGAAAACCTGAATTCTTAAAAAAATATCATTTTGATCACACAAGTCAATCCTACCTAACGTTCACTTCACGTCGTTTAGTTTGTGTTCGGCAGTCTAGCACATCGCGTTGTCTTGTTACCACAACTCCTCGCGCGCAAGGTCATGTTATGTGTCGCCAACTTCAGGGATTTCTTCTGCCCAAGAGACTTTCTCCGAGGGGATGTTTTATGTATCGGAGTTACAAACGATATTGGGCTGTCCGTTGGAGATTGATGTGGAGTGCTGAGTTTGGCAGATCTAGGAACAAAAAAGGCGACGATAAAAGACTAATACTTTGTATGGCCCAATGAATCTTGCGTGCGAATTTTAAAAAGAAGCAGTATGAGGAATTGTGTGTTGAAGCAACGTGGTTTTAAATACATAATATTATATACTCTCTACTGTCTTTACGAAAGGAGAATATATGTCTGGTGGCAGGTTGTGCGAAAACTGGATAGCGCCATCAACCGGAAAGTGTTTTCTTCAAATCACTTCAAATAAAGATCACGTAGATTTGGCCACTGGTATCTTGTGAGATTTAGGATGTGAAAAATAACTGACCTTCTTCGCTGAGTGGAACGCGTTAACGGCGGGGAAGATCGACTGGGTGTGATCCTGTGCGGAGACCGTGATCGACGACGATCCGACTGTGAGGGGGTCCCCACGGTTGCCTGAACAGCGCGATGTGAAGAACCACTGATATCATCCAAATATATTCGGGGAGAAATCTAAATGAAGATGCAATGAAGAAACTATAATTGAAATGCTACGAAGTAATTCATCCACAGTCCATTAGTGGCTTCGTCCCTTGCTTTGGTTCAGATTTTCCATGAAATAAATTTTAGTTTATCCTGTGAATGTGGTATATAGTACTACCCACTGACCTTTGTGCTACTGGATGATGCAAACAACCCCCTCATTTTCGGCGGTGACATCGGCGGAGTCATCGCGGAAACACTCGTTGTTTGATCGGTTATCGGAGTGCCTTCGGTGGTTGGACGTGAGTTTGGATTACCAGCCTGGGGAACTGGAGACGACGCCGCGCCGGTGCTCGTCATTGCTGGAGCCTGGAAGCTATCTTCGGCTCGCGAATGTCTAAATGCTCCCAATAACTCGTTACTTGATGAAAGCGTAGAGGCCGAGGATGACGGGAAATCCCGGAGATCGTTTCTCCGGTCATACTCCGCGGATGTTGAAGCGTCCGGGTCTAAACCCGTAGAGTGAAAAATCCCCGGGGGTGATGTTGTGGAAGATAAGTGTCCGGTAGGCAAATCTTCCTCTGGTCGATGTTCAGTAGACTCGAGAGGTTGCGAAGCGACCAAGGTCGTATCCCGTAGTGGCATAAAGCTACGTTCCGGTGGACGTTCGGGGGAAACCTCGGCACTTGGTGGAGAAGGTTGGGGAGGTTGTGGCTCGGATGGAGTTTGGCTTGTCGTCATGGTAGACACTGCTTTAGAAGGCGCCTGAAATATTTCGAAAGAATCGACCATTATAGTCTGACACTGAAACATTTGTTGCATTGACCAAAGATCCGATCTCTTTATCATTGTGTTGATTAACAGATTAAGAGGTCATTTGCACATAGTTTTTTCATGGTTAACAGTTTGTTTGAATTACCGTACCTCATCAGCATTTCCTAGCGACGTTTCCATGAAGCTATATCGAAAGAAAAACGTAAAAAAGAACAAAATATTCATACACCAATCTTATGAACAATAAAAACTTGATATGAACGAATGCTACTCAGTACTCACTCTTTGGGTTCGACCACAGAAGGTCTAATCAAAGCACTATCTTTATCGAAAGGAACTCTAAAAATATAACAATTTCTTAATGGTATTGCAGAGATTAGTTACCAGGAATACTGACTACCAACAGCCCGGTTCAAAGCAGCGTAGGCCGAGGGCTGTCAAACAAATTAGAGTTTATGCTAAACTTACGCCGAAAGGTCATCGTCGGTTGCCGGCGTTGCTTCGGTATTTTCTACATCCGGGTTTTCAAAAACAAGATTCGCCTCGTTTTCTCCAGGCTGTGTCGCTCCATCTGAAATAACAAGGAGGCAATTTTGTTTTGATTTTCACCTAAACATAGTTAAAGTTATCTGACTGTGAAAGGTGTTCAGCTGTTTACTCTAGACAGTTAGTTTCATTTATTACCACCATCGTTTAACATTTCCTCTTCTGCATCATCATCTTCGTCAAAGTCAAGGACGGCAATCACTTGCACGTCATCGCTTGCTGCTTCATCACCTGCGGGCTGAGGAGAGTCTGCAGGCGGGAATGCTCCATGAGCGGGATGAAATGAATCTGCAGGTTCAAATGCTTTCTCTGTCAAACTGGGTTCTTCCTCTATGAACGCAATAAAAAACAAATGAACAAACAAATTAAATCTGAGTTACTCATTAGCTTGGCCGAAGTCACTTTTCCTATGAAAACTTCATCACAGGTTTTAATGGATCAACTAATCCCAAAAGGAAGAGATCTTAATCCAGGTTAATAAACGATTAACCTCGTCAAACACAGTCCAAAAATCTCACCCTGATATTGATCATCATTGTCCAGATCCACCATCGCCACGACCGTGACGTCACCTTTAGCTGATTCCAATTCTCCATTCTCTTCTGCGGTTTTATCTTCCTTAGTCTCCAATTCCCCGGAGGTGGAAGGTTGCATTTCTAAGCAATTAAGACAAGGTTGAATATCGGTGAACGTTTCAGAATCCTGTTCTAACGAATCTATCGACAGATGTTCAAATCGAAATCTTTATATTTACCAGTTTCGTTCTCAGACTCCAAGACGCTACCCGAGCTGTTCTCAGCCCCAGATCCCGTCTCGGTTTCCATCACGTCATCCTCCTCTGGTATCTTAGCAACGGGCGTTTTCACGAACGTAATTGGCCGAGTGAATGCAAATGAATCTTCATTACCGGGACTAGGATAAATAAAACATAGGATAAGGCAAAACGTTTGCACAGGACTTAACACGATGGTAAAAATAAACTTTCTCAACCGACCTTGAAGGAGATGGACTTTTGAATCTAAAATATACATCAAGTACAAAATATACTCGTAAATACAAAGTATACAAATGTGACACGGGGGGGGGGATCTATTGCAAGTGCACTAATATTGGAAGCGGGATATGGGTGGGGAAATTATTTCTGAACGCACTTCACATGATCGATTGAACTAACCTAATTTGCTTCTTTTGTGACGAAAAGCTTGATTCATCGTTGTCTAAATAAGAAAAAGAAAATGTGTGAATTCAATCATATACTCATGGTTCACGTTTGAACGTAAATTTGTAAGAGTCTAATAATATCTGTATAATAATAACTCGTCTCCACATTTTACAAGTCATTACCAGAACCAGTCTCCATCCAAGGTACACGGTCACCTGACACGCGCCGTACACGTGGCGGTAAACTCGGGGATATGATACTTGGGGATGGACTACGTCTTGTGATCTTGGTAGGCTGCAGTGAAACAGAATTAGAGTGAAACACAAGACACTAGAAATGAATTTCAACAAATGAATACGAAAATAACTCACCTTTAAAATTGAATGTGGCGTTGTAATCGGCCGCGTGGAGTCCTGGATACTCGGGGTGACCGCAAAAGACAAATGCTGAAAGATTGATTGAACGTCAACGCATGCGTATGATAACGATTGCAAAGTGCTGTAGTACTTACCTTAGTTACTGGGGGTGTTTGCAACAACGACAAAGCATTTGCACCCTTGAAAACCTTCCGTGCTCTGCGGAAAAAAAAGATTGAGAAAATATCAGGTTTATCACATAATGGCTGTCAATGGTGAGTGCGATAGCCTTTAATAGTCGTGAAAGACAGCCTAAAACTTATGTGAGTAGGAAGAAACTAAACGTATCTTATAATTACAAAATAAGATGGCAAACAAAATGAGATGTTAAATGAGTCGTTTGTACATTGGAGGAAAGTCTTTTCGCCTATCCCGCTACGTTTTAGGCATTGGTGGAATCGACTAGCGATTAAGGACACAAACAAACAGATTTCGAGAAAAACCTTCGTTTGTTTCAAAATACAAGGATGTTGACTTTGCGACCTTTGCTGTACACGAGAAATTATAATTTAGAGCCACAATCTTTTACACACTATTTACCATTCAGATATCTTCTGAATTAAAAGTCAAGTGTTTTCCGTTTAACACATAATAGTAAACTTTCCAACAACTTACCAACAAGCTCAATCCAAAGAAACGTTTCGATCGGATGATCACTCTCAGCCAAATTTATCAGTACGAAATATGAGCAATTGTTTATTTTTTAAGGACATAATTTCCGCCTCTCGAGTTTTTTTTAAGGTACAGTATTCCTAGTTTTTAGGCCAGGGACAAAAAGCTAATTCCCAAGCAGAAACAATGAAAGTGTATTGACCAGTGCCTGTTATTCAATAAAATAACTGTACCAAACCGAAGATTTACATACAACTTTCCAACGGGCGTTCAACTACTGTAACCTGCAAAGCCTGACCTTTTACGCGGCGCTTTTATTTAGGCCTGATTTTTATCAGTGGCATTACCTGTCTTTTCGTAGCCACGTTGACATTGGACTGATGGTCATACTTTGTGGTTGGGATACTTGCACCGGTCGGGACTAGAATGACGAAATATAACTTAGTAACCAAAGTTCACTGCTACATCAAGTAGTTACGATTGCGGTATAAGTGAATGTTTATGCGAATTATTCAAAGCTTGCCTTGGGTTCAATTACGGCAGTGGTTATATCTTCACTTGAAAACTTTGGAAAACTGATGTGATGAGAATCGCTAGGAAGAATTGTTCAAGTTGTTAGAAACAAATTCGCAAGATCCATTTTAGGGGCATTTGGCAATAGTGCGTATGTATATTTAGTACAGGATTGGTTTGAAAAATTTCATATAAATTACCTGAGCAAAGACTTCGTCTTCTTTGCTGATGGTGTTCCGGTAAACGGAACGTCCTGGGGCGAATCGGGTTCATTCATTCTAAGAGATATATTTGCTTATTTACCTTTTGCTTTTAAGATGAAAAATCATCCCTCTTCCAGCACATAAACTACAAAAACTTCACACAATATGTTATAACATGCATTGAACAACAACAACTAGCTTCTTTACCTCGCTTCAGCAATTTTCTCCAACGTGGCATTGATCACAGCTGTTTGCGACATGAGACGAGCATTCACTTGATTCTTCACCACCGTTGACAGAGGCTTGGGACGAGGTACTGCGAAAGTACAAACATGGGCGTATCAAATAAAGTTTCCCAGAACTTCGGAGCCATTGTTCAATGGCAAATAATATCCGACATATAGGATCGTGTAAAAGATCTTTACAGTGACCAAGAGGGTATTTTTACAGTTGGTTTTGACCTCGAAACTCTCTTTATATTGCAACTGGACGAACCTTCAATGTGCTTGGTCGCTTTCTGTCTTAACGACGTGTCACGGCGCATCGCCAAATCCTGTTGTACTTTTGGAAGTAGATCAAAATATTTTCCCAAAATGACGTTTCTCACAGCGGCTCTCTGCTGGGCGGCAGGATCGCCTTCACTCTGTAAAGTGTTATAACAAAATACGTTGGTCTTAAATTATGCCTTGTAGTCGCCGGACAAAGGGCACCGTTTCGGGGAATTACACAAAATTTCCAAAGAGTTGTGCTCGGGTTAAGCCGTTTCAACATTGAATCTTAGCTGATTTATGAAAACTGCCTGAGAGAAATCTTACCATGGTGTCGTGTCTGAGTAGCTCGTTGAGACGGATTGCCTCGACATACGATCCTCGCTGCAGATAGAACATGACAAGCAGCTCTCGAGCGTGGGGGAATGGTGACTGCTCGAGGAATCTTATCAAATGCTCCTAGTAACGAAATAGTGCAGTTACAGACTAGAATTAACATCATTTGAAAGATAGCGTTGAAGAATGTCTGTTTCAGTCGCTTTCCCACCTCTTCTACTTTGTTCAGCGGTAGCTTCAGGATTTTGTTTGTATTCTTGGCTAAAAGGTTTTGTATAAACCATTATTAGTACGAACGCAACGGTTGAGAACTTGAGACGAACACACAGTTTCAATCACTCACATTGATGACATCCAAAGAAGAAATGCTCGATTAATTCTTGTCTTCTCACTGGATCTCGGCATTGCCGCTGGAAAGATATTAACGAATATTGCAATAACGCTATCAGATTTATAGTATAGCCTACATCAAGTACTTTACAGGGACTTCGACTCACCTGAAATTGAAAAGCCTCAGTGATGAGACCATTTTTAATAAGAACGGACAAACGAAGCTCAACGTCAGATGGGCTGGCCATCGCAGGCTTTACTGAACGAACAAACAGCAACGCTTTCTTACTCTCGTCTGTACAGAAAAATGAAAAGGAACACGTTACGATATCTCAAAGAATTACAATGGTCTGAAAGCTTTCGATTCTTCCAACCTTGATCCAGTAAGAGACGAATGATGTGGGAATTTTGCCACGGAGCTAAAACAAGCGTGTCTGCTGATCCGATAAGAAATTTCAGAGCATTCTGTTTTAAAAAAGGAAAATATTTGACGACGAATTAAGATTTTCAAATCCCTCTGCAACAATTGAAAAGCCTGGAACATTGTTAAAATTGGAGTCTTAAAAGCCCTCAGGGCAAGGTTTATACCTTGAAAAACATAACAAAAAACAAAGAAATATAGGTTTTTATATGGTTATTTAGTTATGCAAAAGGTTTCGCTATACGTTAAATGCAAAAGCGATGAAAAAGCATTGCCGAATAGAACATACATCAAAGTTTTTATGATCCAAGCACCAGAATCCATGAAAGAGTTTCACCAACACTGGCTGGATGCCAAACGTTGCTGCAAACTTCTCTGCAACCTAAAAAAATTGAAAAGAAGATTAAGCGGATGGTCTGGTATGTGCCGTTGTCACAATACAGCTGTTATTCAACTTTATAAATCCCCACACAAACCTTCTTCGTTTGAAACTGTGGATTCATCGAGCAAAGGTCAAGCAATGCGTAATATATCTACGATAAGCGTTAAGAATATACTTGATATATACACAACATTATCTGAACATTATCGTAATCCCACGAAGAACCACTGAACTCTATAACTACCATAACATTTACTGGACATAAAAATATTATCAGTACTCCTATAAAGAATTGCTGATCTATGTACATGTACTGTATGTACACCATGGCTATTGCTTAAACATGGGATAAAAGGATACAATGCAAAGCTTTGATGTGGAATTAATTTTCTCCTGAAGAATTAAGCTGCACAGCGCCTAAACATAAGAGCAAGTACAAAATCTTTAGATCGGAGTTTGAATATTTTCAAAAAACCTGCATTTTCTACCAATTCATATATCCGAGGGAAACAGAAGGATATACGTACATGCAAATTTGGCGGTGGATAAAGTTCAGACCAGTTGTTTTCAGTGTCCCAAAGATTTGTATTCAAACTCTCGGTGACGGTCGAAATGATTCGATCAATCATTAGGCTACCTAGAGAATCGCTGAGAAGAAACGGTACAGTAATTTAGAGTTATATTTTGCTATAGGGTATATGATCACTTGGCTTGCTCGTATTTTACAACTTACTGATTTGATTGGTGCAATTCTCGTCTACGTACGCCATATTGTTGAGCAAGAACTTCCCCAGGATAGTACTGGGAACTAAGAAATATTAATGCAGATGATAAATATCATCACTGACCTACATATACAACTGTGATGCGCATATGTTAGATAGGCTACTGAACATTAAAAGCTGGACTACTGTTTAAGCGCGGAGTCACAGATGAAAATATATGCAAAGAATATTGGAGTCTTCATATTGGAGTTCTTACTTATCGTTCGCGAGTTTCGAAGGGAACAACCCAAGAGATAAAAAAATGTTTTTCATTAACAAACCTCAATTCGCCATCTTCATTGTTGTCTAAAGGAAAAAATTTTAAAAAAAGATTAAAAGAATATGTAGATCTTGCAATGAAATATCGAATGAAAATTTTACGCACCAAAGAGCTCCGGAAGAAGACGTTGCTTCATGAAAAACAAAACCACTTGCAAATACTATAGGAAAATAAAAAACATTGATACCACGAGAAGAGGAGGTATCTCACTATCGTGTTACAGAAAGAGGACTTTACAGTAAAGCACTGCTTTGTCTTTAACGGTTACTTTTTTTATATAAAATCTAACCTGGAAAACTTTAAGAGTTTTGCACCACGATATCTAGCTGATTATCTTTTGATTCAAGCATGCAGTATATACTATTAACAGTTGTATTTATACATAGCTATAATACCTGATGAAGCAAAAAGCAGACGGTGTGTTGGGATTCGAGTTCCTTAAGACCTTGAAAACATATTAAAAACTTGAGAAACCAAAGGCAAAGGAAACGGAATTGCTCTTTGCCGTAAATAAGGTACCCTGGTACATGTATTAAAGTTGTGTAGGTTAAACCGTTCATTTACCTTGTTCAGTTGTAGGAGCTGCTGACGACAGCGCTTGAAAGATATCGACGAGGTTACCAAGTTGTACGCTGTAGTGATCCAAGATGGCGATCAATTGCTTATCCACAAATATGCCAGTACCATCGTACAGCGGTATACCTATAGACAGATTATGATCAGCAGCAGTCAAATAACGTCTCTCTTCAGTTCTTTAGAGTGAGAAGACACTGGCAATGCTGTTATACTCATAAAACGTCTGTAAAAACTCACACAACTGGTCCAAATGTTGCTTGATTTGAATAACCTGATCCCAGGCCCATTCCAAAATTATCCGCAAATTACAACCAGCATAAGTGACATCTGAAAAGAGAAAAATTGTTTGACTGACAGGCTGACAGTATGATTGCTTCCACTTTGGAAAACACTTGACACAGTATTAACTATAATCATCATAAGCCTCCACACAAGAAATTGCCTTTAAGTTTGCATGCGAGCAAAACATGAAATAATAAGTATACTCACTGTCTTCTCCGAGTTTCTGAATGCAAGATATTATAAACGAAGTTTGGTTATGCTCGAGAGCTACAGAGAGAAGTCCCTCCACTTGAAACTAGAATAAAATACAAGCAAGAATGAGTGGATATCATAGAGCTCAAAATCTACTCGATAATCTAGATCTAAAAATTAATGGTTCTACAGTATATATTTAGACCAAATGATTGTTTTGCCAATGCTAAAGACGATGATAACAAGTTTACGAAAGCTGGCAGTAACATGTATGCTTACTGTTTTCTCTTGTGCGCGGGAAAAATCAAAATTCTTGGGCATTAGACTCGCGGTCCAGCATCGGTGAAAGAATTCGTGTGCTTCGTTCAATGCCGTCACTCCTTTACGACCAAGCTCGCTTAAAACCTGAGCGAGAGAAAAGAAATGGGGCAAAAATTAAAAAAACTGGACAAATTATTTTGCAAAAGAGAACGAATAGACGCTTACTTGTTGTTGAGTTCCATAAAAATCGGCGCAAACAATTCCTGTTTCCATTAAACATACGATATCTATTCGACAAGGAAATTATCATGGAAGAAGATTGAGATACCGAACGAATTTCTATCGAGTATTCTGCGTGTTTGAATGTGACCAAGAAGCGCTCAATCTGTGCGTGGCGGGAGAAATCGCATTTTGTACACTGACTTACCAAAAGTTAGTGAAGAGGCCCAGTAATACTGTTCGGGGATAGCACCATAGGCTGTGGAGAATCGTCCAATATCGTTCGGATGCACCAAAACATCCTGTGAAAGTAGAGCATCAAGTTTTGTAGCGAACGCAAAAAGACCGATGTCAGATTAGCGAAGGTCATACCATGGGCAGCCCTGAAGTGCGTGTTTACGTATCCAGTTTCCTACGGCGGTCTGTGAGTTGTAGTTAGATCTCGATTGATCATAACATACCGTACCAGATACAATCAGCCAAGGTGGGTGCATCACAGACTGCAATACGAGACTGGACACATACCCTTACATCCTACATACATACACTTACAACTAAAGCATCAGGATTTGCTGCGTCCAGGACATCGGTGAGGGTATAGACGGAGAAGAACGGACATGTTGGGTCCTTACTGCCGTACATTGCATCTCTAGGGAGACAAGCATACCTCACTGACATATACATAACACTGGATGTACACAGCTAGGGATATTTTTTTAAAAGGGGGAAATGTACCTGATACTAGCAGGCATTTGCGAGTGATACCAACGATTGATGTCAAACACCGCCATATGACACGAAGGATTCGAGTGAAGTTCAGCTGGCGGGGCTTCCCAAACGCACACGACCAAAGTCAAATCACGAGACACTAGAAAACATACAAATAGTCAAATTACTGGGCAAATTTGATGATGTTTATGTCACAAATATTAAGTCAAGTCTACTACAGGACCTAGACAAAGAACAATATCCTATAAATTAGATTTTTTAAAATTTTTGCAGATTCTTTCTAGCCTGGCTTCATTATCTTTCCACAAACCTACCAACTTCATCAGAGCTGTCATCTAGTCTTGTCACATCAACTGCAGCTTCATCACGTTCTAAGGTGTAGAAGCACAATACCCTGCTACCACAGGTAGTGGCATCAGCTAAATGATATGGATCGCCCGTCAATTGATGTTCAAAACGGCCTCCACATCCAGAAAAATCCTGAAGAAGCATTAAAATAGGAACAAACAAGTTATTTTTCCATTTTAAATTGGAGCTAAGTAAATAAGCTTTGGACACTTTTCTGGACCTATTTAGTTTCATCATTACCTTTAAAACGCGACCAAAGCCAGGCAAGGTCTCCTTCCGTTCATAGACCAGTTGATACAATGTTATAGTGGTTGGTGAGTCACCAATCTCTTCATTACCAGTCTGTCCACGAGCAACCCACAGATAACAGCACAAGCGTGGGTCGTTTTCCGGCTCCTGTCAAAACATAATTGATAGTCATGAAAATCCACTTCTCTGATGGTAAATTGCCAATTTTTAGGGCTAGTGCCCTGAAATTAAAGATATTACACACCTGATATATTATATGAGTCACAGGGAGAAGGTATACACCGAATGAACTGCTGAACCTAAGGAATACAATAAAAAATGTCTATACCCGAAAGAAGAAGTCTTTAAATATAGTATGTTCATTTGTTTCAATCTGCACATGACCAGCAGTTTGAACTTACTCTCGAGAATGCTGTTCTAAATCCCAAATTTGAAAACAACCAAAACTGTAACCAATGACAAGAGATCCCAACTGTCGAATATATTTCAAGCTTGTGATGCTTATCTCACCTGGAAAGTTACATAGATATGTTTTGTAATTTTAGTTTACATAATGAAAAAGATTTTACCATACAGAAACATGTAGTGAGGATACATTTGAAAGCTCCAAGAACATCCCCTAAATCAATATTTCTACATTTCTCAAAAGAGCTTCCTCCATTGTTTAGAACTGGATTTAAAATCATAAATTTATATATACTTTGTTTACATACTCGATGAATAATTGCCCTGAATTTCACCCTCTGGAGATGCATAGGAAAAACTTCCCAACATGTGACATTCTCCTATAGGAAATAAAAGAATATCTCTGTTTTAGACTTCAAATATATTTCCTTATTATATAGTATGTAAAGCAATCTGTACCTCCTAACTCAAATGCTATATGAGCTCCATCTTCTCTTGCCCTACTTCGAAGTGTCCCTATATTAGGATTGTCAACATCAATGATTTCCAAGTGACTTGGATTCCATTCATCAAATTCCTCAACATCATCGTCTAGCCTTAAGTCAACCAGATACACATGACCACCATCCATGCCGACAGCAACTGCTCCAAACATTAAGCGCAACTGAGCACTACGGAATAAACAAATTCATATCTTTGTGAGCCATGACATGTAAAATATCAATTATAAGTGAGGTATTCAATAGCTTGAAATACCTGATGGAATGATGTGGGACATTAGCTCCACCTGACATTGTCAAACATTCAATTGTTGTGACAGCCATAGGAAACTCAATCGCTTTGATCACTCTGGATAGCATTGGGTCAAACAAACACACCATTCCACAAGAACCTGTTTTATTCTGCAAGCCAACCAGCAAGTATAGACCATCTGGGGAAGGAAATTCCTCCACACAATTAATCGAGAATGATAGTCTTTTGCTTGTACTCCATCCAAACCTCCAAGCTGAGAGACGCTGACCAGTGCTTGGATCAATCACCTACATTGGATTAGTGGAGTAAAAATGTGAACTAAGTAATGAAATGTTTGTTAGCTACATACTTTGTAGATCATAACAAGCGTGCATCCTGATCAGTTAATATATGATTTTATTATATGGCAAGCGCTTTTTTGGTTAATTCTACAATTTGATTGGCTGCTGACAGGTCCGGATTTTCCCGTATTGCCCACGGGCAATACGCAATTCTTATTGCCCTGTGAAAACAAGGCAAAACTCACGGCAAAAACTAACTAAATTTAAACTGAAAAACAGATTAAATTCTTAAACGGAAAATAATGAATTTGAAATAAAAATAATAAATTTATATTTTACAAAATAGAGCGGTTTTTTTCACCTTAGGCCGATGTTTTGGTGTCGTGTGCCCGGATGAGATTGATCATTAAAATTACTCATAAAGAATTAATCATTACAATGTCTGCATGAAATATGCCATATAATAAAAAACTTACTAACTTTGACAGTTCGGTCTGTACGGTAAAATATCAAACCTCGGTCTTGGTGTATTGACCTCGCTATCGCTCGGTCAATATGGCACGACCTCGGTTTGATATTTTACCGTACAGACCTCACTCTCAGTCAGTAAGTTCTTAATATTCAGTATCTTCCCCAGCATGATTTTCATAGATTTGAAATGGTCTGGAAAATTGGTAGCCAGTCCTTTTCCTATATTTACACTTTTAGTTTAATAAGATTAAAACAATGAGCACCATGTTGAAGCTTCCTGAGTCCTAAAAAAAATGCACATGGAACCTGGACGAAAATATTTGCATAGTAAAGTTGGCCTGGAATTTTTACGTTACCTCAAGTGCAGAGCCGCGTACAAGCCAAGAATACTTTCCACAGCGACTAGACTTTCCAGAGATTCTCGAGGACACTTCATCGCCTCCTTCTAGTCTTTCCAAGCACTCGATCGTAGAGCTTGAGTATGCTTTTAAAGTGGATGTGTTTATCGGTTCCACTTCTCGCAAAGGTCGTGTCATTTCCAACGATATTTTTTAACAATCTTTGAAGTCCTTTGTAAAGTTTAACGAGGATTTCGCGAAGATAGGCTTAGTTAGTTGAAGATCAGCGGTAGTTTGAAGCCTTATATAGCGGCGATTGGAAAGAAATCGCAAAACTTTGAATCAACCGCGACAACGTGCAGAAACATCAAGAGATCGCCATGTTGTAAAATTAGACATTCAAATTTCCTCGGTCCAGACCTTTTGCAAATCCCGCGCTATAAGCATTCCCCACTCCCCTTTTTTACTATAGCTCAGTGGCACACCATCGCCCCAACTTATCCCTGCCACATGGTGGGCCCAGAGGTGTCACTATGAATGTTCTCAGAAGAAGTTAGATGATAGTTCAAGGCCTATTTCTGCCAATATAATTCCCCACTGAGAAAATGAAGAATACAACAGACTGCAAACACATTCTTTTTTCCTATATATTTCAACCCTTTCCTGGTCTGGGACATAGCTATGTCAGTTGAAATTAAATGTTTTTCACATTTCATAAAAATGAGGCAGGACCACGAAAACAGAAGGCTGTGGACACAGCACAAGGTTTTTACAGAAGGATATAAACAGCTTTTAAATGTCATGTGTAAAAGCAAAAGTTTCTGCTGAATAAATAGCCAATATTTTAAGATATTCTAGCATAAAATTCTTCCATATGGTACTATATACACAATCCTTGTGTAGCTGGACTGACAGCATTGTTCATACTCTGCAGAGATGTATTTCCTCTTATTTCTTTTTCTTTTCTACATTGCATTTTGGACAGTACCTGGTGAAGTAAAAAATAATTATGCATTTATAAATGTGATTAGTTAAGCTAGCCGTTGCACAAGGGTGAAGAGAAGCCCAGCTTTCAAGCCTAATTTCTATAGTCCTTTGGGTAAGGGCTGGCTTTCCTCAGTTATGGATATGTAAAGTGCAATCCAGGTCCAACCAGACTTGCAGGTTACGGTATGTGTTTATTCAAACATGAAGTTTATTTGCAGTTAATGGAAAAGGACACCTACCATTTTCCTTTTGGTTTTGTTGTAAGACCAACGCAAGGGAAATGAAACCACTCAATAGGACACTAAATAGAATTGAGAAATCATTTAAATTTTGAAATAGAAGACTTAATATTCTCATAGCAAATCTCCATATTATGTTTAGTACCTCAAGATTATCACAACCAATCATTTCACCATAAGATACCTGGTAAAGAAAATAAATAAATTTCAAAATATAAAGTCAATGCATGTAGTTGTAAGAGAATTGACAATTAAAAGTTATTAGTTATTTGTCAAGTGTACTGACCTGGTGACAAAGACAGTATGTGGGTTCGTTGGGATCTACAGGCATATCAAGTACTTGTACGTCTGGGCTTGGTATAAATGCAGTCACCGCTGCTAATGGTGGAATAACTGGTTCTTCAATTCTGAAATGGTATTCAACTTGGTAAATAAACCATACAGCAACATAAGACTATATCTACCATAGCATATACCAATGTAAAAATGGTAAGAATGCAAGAAGACAAGATAAATAAAGAACAACAAACTACCTACCTTTTCTTTTTTCTTGACTCAGTGCCACCACTTGATCTTCCTCTGGATCTCTTCCGCTTTTTCCCTCGTGATTTTGGCTCAATAATTTCTAGGAGGGAAATGGCTGTAATATACTATGTATGTCTTGAAATGCATCATTACATGAGTTGCTTTAGTGTCAAAAATTGTTAAAATCAATTGTACCAATTTTCATTAACAGAGGCCATCATTACTACTAGGACCTACCATCATCAGAATTGGCAAGTTCTTGTTCATGCTGTTCTTTTAAGTCTGCCTCAAATCTTGCCAGATCAAAATCTAACTTACGAATGTGTTTATCAACCTAAATATGACAGAGAAATATACATAGAACTGGCCTTGCTTTCAATAAAAAGTCAGCAACTGTCAGAGTTTAAAAGCAGGCAAAAGATATTACCATTTCGTATGTTTGCATGGCCAATTGAACTTTGTCGTCTGATAACTCCCTTGCTTTGGCAAAAGACTCTTCAATCTTCTTGAGCTTTTCTGTTTTTTCAGCTGGAGAAAGATTTCTTACGGCCTCAGTATACTTGTCTGCCATGTCATCGATTTCCTGAAGTACATCTGCACGCAAACAAATATATAAATGGTAACTAACACAAAAGTATATAAGAAGCAGAACGTAGTGCAAAGCAAGCAGTCACACTCCATCTACTTAAAAACCTGGACGGCAAATTGCAAATAACATACGCACCTTGTGCCCTCTGATCAAGATCTCTCATTAAAGTGAAATTCCTTTGCAATTCATAGGGAAGATTTTCAATACCTTAATTTAAAAAAAAATTAATAAAGAAATATTTGGTTGCATTAACTAGGGTCTTTAATTCCTAAAGATAGAGTTCAAGATTGTTAATGTTTTAAATGAACATTGATAAAATATATAATCTGAATTTTTCTGGAAAAATTTTTATCACTTATTAACTGAATAATAAAAACTGATTCACTATAGCTTAGTCTTTCAAAGTTTAGATATTGGATTACTGAAAAAAATTGCAATTCTTCATTCCCCGGGCTACACATTATCCCACTACACATATTAATTGCAAAAAGAACTAATTCAAGGAAATCTGAAATGTCTTGTATCATCCCTGGCGATTGCTTTGGAGAGCATATGAAATTCAAATGAAAATGACGTCTATAAAACGATGACAAACTTGTGGTCACAAGTAAACAACGCAAAACAATACTCAAACAACTAACTATATAATTAATGGCGGGAAGGACGAAAATGTATTTCGCGAGATTAGTTGCAATATACACTTCAAATTTCATCTATATTTGGGTTTTTTAATCAAAAGTTAGGAAACAGTGTAATTTTTTAGTCTTACTGTCTAGATAGTGTTCCAGGTACATGGCTGTACACATAACACGCTGAAATATCGACGTTTTAGATCACATTTTTATTCAAAACATCAAACGCTTTCGAAAATCCAAATGCAAAATATTTGATTTATTGCCATTGTCGACAATTTCCGAACATGAAAGCCGGGATCACATCGGGCATTTTCCGGAAGAAGAACGTACGACGCCGCCACACTGATGACTGATCACAAAAAATATACGAACTGGATAGTCAATAGGACAATGTCGTCTGGCAGTAGATATGCACGATAATGTAACGACATCAACTCACTACTCATATAACGTTCATTAAAACCTGATCTAGTGATCTTATCAGTGTTCATGCGCGTAAGTCCTTTACTGCCATATCATATTTATTCAGCATTCGTGCTCTCCTTTCCACTCGGGGGTAAACTTGTGGATATTGGAAATGAGAAAAAAACAAATGCTTTACTGTTGTGCATAAGTCACTATTGACCGGCCTAAGTAAAATAGTGCCATCAGTCCAGCCAAATGGTCTAACTTTCCGGGTCACGTACGGCTTAAAATTCATGTATAAGGCCTAGGAATGACTAAAAGTGGTTCTGACGAGATCTATCAAATGTGATCACGTTCCTGACGAAGTGCCTTAATTAAACGCTAAATATTTCACAATTATTTTCAATTTTCTTGACCCAAGGCACAATAACTTGCTCGCCAAAACTTTACGCTTCGCGTATTATATAATTAATGCAAGCATAGACAATGATGCAAGCAAATTGCAGCAGCGCTGTAATTGCAGGTCTTGATACAATTAAAAATATAAATTTGCAATTTGTATTTATTTTAAGATGACGTGCTATTTATACGCGTGATACAATCGCGCTTGGCCATGAAATATTACAGCTTGACAAACATTGAGCTTTATTTGTTTGACCAAATGACTTGCCAAAAAAAGAAATCTACGAACGACATCATGTTAACCTTAGAGAACAACAATTGTATGCCAATGAAATCAACCAGCTTTTGACAGCCAATCAGAATAATGCATAATGCGTTCGCTAACCAATTAGAATGCAGCCGGCACTTGCTACACTGTCGCAAGGAAACCATGTAAACATTGTAGCTTTTACTCGAATTCGGCGGCAAATGATACGTTATAATTTCAAAACAACCGTCAGTTTCAGACTAAAGTTCTGTGTAGTCAACCGCTAGACACTACTGTATTGATTCCGGGATAAAGACAGAAATTTCTGCTCGCTGTTTGACGACAATTGCATGATAACTCTTTGACCATTTGGCGAACTTCCAAAGCACTCGATTTGAAACGTTGTTCAAGACTATGTAAAATTCCCACGAAAAATTATGGCTGAAATAATCAACGAGGATAAACTCACAGTCACAAATGATGATCAAGACAAAGATTTTAATCAGTGGAGACAGCCTAAGACTCCGGAATCACCAAAGACACCAGAGGAAATAAAGTCAAATTCGCCCGAACATTCGTCTGTGCAGAATAAGAGTTTGTGCGGCGTCAAAGATTTATCGAGACTTAGTCGCAAACGCAGGACGATACTATCGGTGAAAGGCGCTCGAATTTGTTCAAGAAAACGAAGTGAGGACAAGCCTTTTGGATCAGGGCATGACTCGAAACCGAGAACGAGTAAAAAAGGTAGATTTGCGTACGTTTGTATACTTCGTAAGATTTAGTTACATTTTGTGTAATAACACAAGATTTAAGGAGTATAATTTGCGCCCAAATCATCTAACATCGGGAGCGTCGAAATACATTGAAAATTTGTCAACGTAACTTTCGGCTGAAGTCGTGTATATGTTCGCAATAAAACGGTAGATTCTTGCTGTACGTCAGTGTAGTATTGCATGGAAATTTTTTTAACAGTACGCTTTTGCCAGGTGGTTGCTAGTATCGAGGCTAGTATTATGTGTTTGCTACAGCTTGTGGCTGCGTGTTTCAGCTTTCAAATCGTGTCCAACATGTGCACAAAATACATGGAAACCACGAATGATCGTTAGCTTAAAATGCATCATATTTCAACGATATTTCACCGTACTATTGTAGTTTGTTTGGGGATCAAGCAACGCGCGTCCCGCCCTAATGCTTTGATGTAATGACGTAATTTTAAAATACTACAAAATATTGCCCTCTCGAGCGCAAAAAGCTCTTTGAAATGAAACACTTAAAACAATCGAATAAATACACAATTTATCGCTGAAACGCTGGCTTGAGGAGTCCATATGTGGCCGTACTGTGCTTTACTATAAATTGATAGGTCTATACATTAATAGTTCCCTCAAGGTTTGAAGACAATGACGTGTTTTTCCAACCAAAATCGAGCCGCAAAAGCTGAATCATGACCTGTTATAAGATATTTAAATGTTAATGGGGTGATTAATCTTGCTTTGTGACCCACTTGTGGAAATAGCTCGATATTGGCCCTGTCGCTTTTGCTATGTTTTGACGGAAATATTGTAGAAAACCTGCGCGTTTAGATCTTATCTATACCTAATTATTGTGCTAAATAACTTGCAAGATTCACTACATTGGAACCCTTGAACTATGCAGTTAATGGAGACGAGTTTTATGCCAACAATATTAGCCCACGGATACTTTTGCTGAGCAATCGAAACGCTTCTTCTTTGAGAGATTTGAACGTCTTACTTCTACGTGCAGTGTCTCATTTTACCCTGTCGTCGTACATGTAAATAGAGGATCAAAATTCTTCTTTTTGAATTCGGACAAAGCAAGCCAAACCGCAAAAGTTAAGGGAGGCTAGAATGCAAAGAAATCGAAATTATTTAACGAAACGAAAGCACAATCACCAGCAGTTTGTGTCTTTGTGATACACACTTGCGTGTTCGAAGTTTGATATCACTGAAACTTGCGAGTTGTCGTCTTGTCGACCGTCGTCACACCCGACAGGTGAAATTATAAAATGAAATTATTAAATGCGGAAAGACGATTATAGGAATGAATGTAGCAAACTCATGCAATAATTGCAACTATTTTAAAAGTTTAAAAAGTTACAATATAATTTGTACACGAAGCATTTGTTTCTCCGAAGTTAAGTCTCAAGAAATCCCAGCTAAAATTTTTTTCCATTTGCTCGTGTTTACGACATAAAAAAATGACAAATTATTTTCATTAAATAATACCCTGCGGGTGGAATTTCTAATTCTTTCAGGAAGTGCTGGGTTGTCAATGAGTATTACCACTAGTCTTTTGTAGTAGTCTGCATTTTTTATTGCCCAAACACGGTACATTTTAGGCAGATTTTTAGTTCGCGATGACGTGGACCTCAGAAACGGAATAAAATGGCGTTACCGTATGTGCCATCTATCATGCATCAAATTTGAATACAATAGGAATAGTATATACCCAAACCCCCCTCGGAAAATAGCTTTTCTTAAGATCACTAGTTATTTGACTGCCGGACTAGCGTTCTAGGATTGTCGTTTTTCGAATGCAGGCATTTTTCAAAAGCCCTATTCAAGTTCATGATGTCATTTAGATGTAATTCATACACTGAACAGCCAAGAAAGTCAATAAACATTACGGGGTTTAAGGTATAGATGTGACATCACATCTTATGTTATTTTACTCCGTAAATAAATGGCAAAAATAAAAGATTAATGGTTCTATTCTAAGCTGTAGACTGTCCATGTTGTATTTTTGAAATTTGAAATTGCAGATTAATGATTGACAAAAATGTCAATCACTGTATTATTTTATTTGGTCACACAGCTTAACACTCTCGGTCTATTGTTAAGACACCTATTTGCGAATAAATTGTGATTGTTTTAGGAGGCACACCCAATGACAAGCCGGAAACATCTCACAATAGTTAAATAACTATTCCGGGGATTTGCATAGTTAATATTTATTCAGGAGTAAAAATCAGCCCACATCCAACACAAAGGTTTTGCACGGATATCCTGAAAAAATACCTCTTTTAGAAGTCTGAGGTCTTTAAAACGTTTTTAAAACTCGTGAGTTAACGGTGACGTGGGTGTATGGAGATTCCAAGTCACTCTTTCCTAGTAATTCTTGTGACTTTAACAGAATGAACGGATGTTTTGAGCAGGCGTTTTGATCTGAGAATAAAGACTTTAAAGTAGAGTTTTGACGAGTAATATCCCATCGCCGATTAGACAAGTTTCCTCATTCCTATAGCGAGTGCTAAGAACCTTCATTGATTCAAAATTATCAATTTATTCCTTTCAGAACCACTACCAATGAAACAACGTTCGCTGCCTCAATCATTTTGGCTTCAACCAAACTCGATCAAATCCAGCTCAATGGCGCAAAACACGTATTCCCGCCTTCCACCCCTCTTCCCTGAGGACCACAACCCAGACAAGGAGTTAATGGAGAGGCCCGTCACCCCACCTGAGGAGAGACGAGAACACCAGCCTAGACCGCCAAAGAGAGTGGTGACATCTGAACCAGATACTGAGCTGTTGTTTAGTCTGTTTAAAGCCGTCACTGGAAATCCTTTGGAAAAGAAGCTGATCAAGAGAGGAAGGTGAGTGATTTGAAGAAACTAGCAGTGAACTCTATTTACACTGGAGCGATAACTCATGGTTTTTTGGCAGCCATCTTTGAAGCCAATATATTTGAAGCCGAATTAGGGACCAGAACCAATCGCTTTTAGTTTTTGTTGGCGAGATGACAAAAACAATTGAAATAATAAATCTAAAAATGGCAACCGAGTTGTCGTCCCAGTTTAGATATAGAGTTCACTGGGCCAGTCATAGAAGAGCGTCAAATCCATCCTAAAATGAGTAAAAAAGAAAACAGATCCTAGCACCCAGGACACATTCTACCCAGACTTTAGAAGGTTGAGTGAGATTTGATAATCTCTTACTATATTGGCTCCCTGTATATTGTCTTGACCAAAAGCTTCAGTTCACATACATGAAATATCTACATACCATAAGAATATTCACAGTGGGAATATTTTGAAAAGTACTTAATATGTTTATTTGCTAGGCCTAAGAAAATCCACTCTGAAAAGCTCCCCATAGTCAGTCACGAAGATGACCCGTGCATGGTTGAAAATCTCACTGGCAGACTCTTTCCCCAACTATCCCTCGAAAACCATCACCGCTCCGCCGACGCAAGACTAGCTTCGTTAACCGTCCACGCTGGGAACCATTGCATTCAACTACCCACACTTGCTGTGGATAATAACTACCCTCAGATGTTGAGTCAGTTGGCACAAGTTCTGTGAACAATGCGTGTAATAATAGGGTTCAGCTTAAAGCCTGAACCTTAATCCATCGGATAATTTTTCTCTTTTGCTGAGCAAAAGCTCAGCTCTCTAAAATGAGTGACATACATTTCTTCATGATTTCACCAATTTGCAGACGTTTTCCGTTTTTAACTGCAGTTTGCAATACATTCGTGCACAAGCGGTATTGCGCATGTGCAAGTCGTGAAAGCATGTTTTCGCCCGCCAGAAGGCAGCATCGATAGATGAAATTGGTGGAAAGCGTATTTTTTAGCTCGACGCGTTTAGCTAAGTCGTACCTGCAAGTTGCAGTAAAAATCGTTTAGTCCATGCATGTGTATACATGTTCGTGTGCATCGTACAGAGTAATTTATGGCCGCTGTAAAAAAATGTACGTATATATATATAGAATATATGTAAAATAGAGATCTTAATATATTATTATTAAGTTGCAGTTTTAGAGAAAAAATAAAAATGAAGAATATTTCATTCTACATGTATGGCTACACTTTTTTTATGTTTTCTAACCGAAAGCTTGCTAAATATTGCTGCTCTAAGTAATGTCCTCTTTAAAATTGAATCTCAAATTAAACTGTTTACCTGGCCTGGGAGTCACCCTCTCACCATTAATCTTTTTTCAAAAATAGAATGTCAATTTATTTAAACATTTTCATATTGAACATTATTCATAACATTAAAAACATCAAAGGGATCGTCCAACGCTATAAATACTTGTCAATAGGACCAGGGCCATCCTCGATTTGGTGCACATTTATGTATTCATTTTCACATACCGTAAAAACAACCGCTTTCGCGATCGAATGAAATCAGTCAAGCATAGGACGAATATATGAATATGCACCGATTAAGTGTCGGCCCAAAATCAGCCTTGTCTCCAAGCGCTTCATTGGAAGACAAAGATGGCATTTCTTATAGAGATCAGTAGCTGAGAATAGCAAGTGTGTGTGGCTGCCCTACTGATCTCTAAAAAACTGAATACAATTCTTTGTCTTCCAATAAAGCGCATTGGTACGAGGCTGGAGAATGGTCTAAATTTAAGTTTCCTCTAGAATATAAAAACTAACTGATAAATTCAGCATGACAACTAATTATGTGAAGTCTTTCTTCCGGATTGCATTATTCTATTTTTATCAAATTTGATTCGAATGTGGCGCGCAATAATTCTTGCTTAAATACAAAATAAATCAACTAAGTCTAAGTGCAGCCATTGTTTGTCAATCTCGTAGGGCATAGCCAGCTTCGTACCCAGGCTTCCGCCATTGGGAAAACCCTGGGGACGAAGTTGGTCAGGTTGATCCAGAACCAGCGATCTGACCAACCATTCCCAGTGTCGTGGTTAACGTTCATTCATTCTCAAGGCTCTTTTTCATTCGTCGCAAACAGTACCACGCTCCGACCGTTTTCATCCAATCAAAATGCTTCTGGGTTCATTATATGCAAACCCTCAAAGCGCGCGCGTGCGCGTTTCTGGATGTGTTAAAAAGAACCTTGCAAGTATGCATACGTTTGTGAAAGACAGCACCGAACCTTATCGCGCCTTCCTACCTTGTCGCGCATTTTCTATTCACCTATAGATAACTATTCAACCAAATTCCGTTCACAATCAGTTGATTTCGGTCGTTCAATAAGAGACCGCCTGGCAGTAACATTTCGCTTTGGTGAAATGTTCGGGGACACATTCAGGGCGTCCTGGGTACGCCTGCTTGGTTCCAATAACTGCAAATATATAATTTGATATTACTTACTTTTTATGGTGTAATTTTTTTATCCACACAAACATAAAATATACGCTACAGATACACAGAGGAATCTTCGAACTGTACATCGGTCTGGAAGCGGATAATTTGGCTGATAGTGAACTTTTACATTTAGAACTAATCTTCGTACCATTAACTCTAAACTGTTCAGTCTTCGCAAACTCCCCTTTGTACAGTCTGACACTACAGGGAAAATTAAACTTTACACTGTTCTCCCTACTACCACTATTACTATCTATTGTGGCCCCTAGGCCCAAGAAGTTATCTTGATGATGAATCTACAGTAATACGGTAGGAAACTCTAACATTGTTGTAGTTATACTAACCCTATTAACTTCATCATCGTTGCTGACGTCATACTCTCCAGTGCGACGACTATGGCGGTGAAAGCTCTTTGATCTTCCACGAAGACTTCGTCTCGTGCTTCCACGAAACTTAACGCCCATGCCAGCCCTTCACCATGCAACAAACAAATATTGATACCTTTACTCTCTGTCTTATGATTGTTTTGATACAAACAGAAACAAATGGGATTTATCAACTAATCCGAGATTAGCTAATCCGAGATTAACAAAGCGAAATGACTTTGAGGTATTGAAATGAGCAGATAACATGATCATGGCAATATATAATCATCCCAACAATAGCATGCGCTTGATTTGTCTCATAAAGACTTATTTCAATACCTATCTCACATTTCGTTTTATCTCGGGTAAATGGGCTCATGTAAACAGCCCCTCAAGTCCTTCGACTTGTATACTGACTCTTCTAATGCTTTCCTTAGAAAAGTCAGTATTATCTTTTGACGCACAAAGCAGTTTAAACAATCTACCTGGCGTTAATCATCAAAGATGACAGCTCCCCAATCAAGTGCTTCCTGACGGCCGTTTTCTCCGCAGGAATATTCAAACACAAAGCAAGTTCCTCAGGTCCGAATGAGTGATTCAGAACCAGAAGTCCACCAAAAACACCACTGGAACGTAAGTTATTGGAGTACTCCTAAAAAGAGAAGAAACGATCACTTTCAGCTGAGAACATGAACCTCAAGTTATGTTGTAGCATATTTAGAATACGATCTCAGTCAACTTGAATTTAAATATCTGAGCAGGACTATTTCCTATTCTCAGTTGGCTGGAATCAAATGAATTTCATTGACATGTCTGACATCGCAATCATAAATCATAATCCATCCGAACCTTCAAGTTAATGGATTCACACCATCGAATAACTCGTTCATTACTCCAGACAATGGGGTCGTGATCGTATTCATCGCATTTTTCCTTTCGTTTTGCAAGAACCTGCAGGAAGGGAGAAAAAACGTATACAATATCTCCAAGTCCTGCCCCGGTATCTGACAGAATCTAACAGTGGTGTGTTCGCACTTCTTTGCCAGGTAACTTGATGTAACATGCCAATCCTCTAGGAACCTTTGCCAAATAGGTGGGCCAACGATTTGTACGCAACCGTTGTATAATTGATCAAATTTAAGGACACTGGTCACCCTCCTCTCCTCTCTAACCTCCCCGCCCATACGAGCCTCGAACCTCAACACCTTAAAACAGATACCAAGCTAGCTGAAAACAGCTTTACCTCTCTATCAAATCCCAGATGCTTAAGAAGTTCAACACCAAACAAGATGCTATCCTATAACGAAAGAATTTGTTTCATAACTTACTGCAAATCGGACCAAAAAGTTTCAGAATTCACAGATGCACATCTGTTTCGAATAACACGTATTTTACCTGATGAGGTTTGGAAGTAATGTTCAAGTACTTTTCAATATCTTTGCGCGTCATAGTGCTAAGCAAACGGCCGTCGACCATCTGGGTCTCAAACGTGAAAGCGTATTGGCTAAGACCAATGTGAGTCAACCAATCATGAGCGACGTAATGATGATCAACGTCCCCCATCTTGGGATATTTCCTAGATCGATACGATAGAAAATAACATCAATTAGCAAAATAAATTGTCCGATTTCGTGAATGCTGCTCTAACTAAGAGTGCTTCACGCCTCACGTAGTTGATTTAGTTCCTTAGTTCCTAATACTTACACCGAAGCGGGATGGCGAAAGTCTTCAATTGCTAGTCTTATCTTTCTGCGATGGATATAACTGATAATCCCTAATGATTTGGAAAGTTCAGTGTCGCTCATATCAGCCAAGATCTTTCCACTCTTGACGTTTTCCATACAACGATCTGTGTACATAGGCATTTGCAAGTGTACATGTAGGAAGGCAATGACGGCTGGGGATTTCCATTGCGAAATAGGGATAGTTTTGTGCGACTGCCATATCTGGGCCAAGTCCGATACATCATTATCACCATCGCTGCTTAGAGATGACAGAGGGCGACGTCCTAAATAGTCAAGACATGTGTGTTTAATGATCGATGTTAATTGGATCAATGAGAGACGAAGGTGATTATGGTAATTTTGCGGCACACACAATCCTTCCTTACCCCTTAAGTCTACGGACTTCTTTTTTCCACGACTGAACACTCGTACCAATCCCAAACGGCCGTACCTCCTTCGTTTCTTGTAATACGTCAGATCGTCAGCCTCGGTTGCATGATTGGTATAAACCTCGGAGTTCGAAAGAACAAAATCACTCGTGGGAGTCTCCGGTCCTGAGACAATACTCGTAGCCAAAGAATCTAGTAATATTTAAACCACAAGTTAAACACTTGTTGTATGGATGTATGGAAAGTGAGATCGCTGAAGCTACCATATAGAGCTAAGTTGGCAAACTAGGAGGTCTACACCCACACGGGAAAACTGTGCATGACGAAATCTTTGTAGGGAGTTCAATCCTAGATTTAACAATCCTAGGTGACGAGTGATTATGCACAGAAAGAAATTCCAAGCACGATCCGAGCAAGAAATTGTGCCTTATCATGTTCCGAGGTGATGAAATATCCCATTGAAATGCGGCAAGGGTTCGAAATCGTGACGACAGACGCACGTTTGTGTCTTGTGACACGGGTATATTGTTAACAAAATCAAAGACCTTGAGAATGTTTAACAACACTTATCGCCCATTCGTTTCTCTAAACAGAACACACGGTTTAGGATAATACAGTTTTCCTGTACAAACACATACTGTTTGGCCTTTGTTTACTACTATCATTTCTCTAATCACAGCAGGAATTTTGCAATGGTAATTCTCAAAGCGATTTGATTGCTACCTGTTTCAATTTCCATGAACATTTCTAGTAAATCTTTCGATATCTACGATTTACCATTCGTGTTAACATTTCTGGTTTGATCATAAATGCCTTATAGTGTATAAGCGAAAGTTATGTTGCTAAGTTACTATATATACGGCTGTTCACAGACGTTTTCATGATGTTAATCGCACCGCCTTTCAGGCTTTGACGAAATTCTTCCAGGAAATTCCAACCATAATTAGTAGAAATAGCAATTTAATCAATTGTACAAAGGTGACGAATTGTCTCTTTAAAAAGATGACTAAGATTCAGGGAAGTCTATGATGAATGAAACTTTGAGGACCTAGTCCTTTCAGTTTTACAGATCACGTCTCGAAACAAATCACATCTTGAAGTGGAGTAATAAAATAAAAGGACGCACGTTTCTTTGACATTTATGTGAAGGCGATTGGTTAGGTCGAAGACGACTTGTTAGGTCGAGTGTAAACAAAAAGAAAAGGGGTTTTCATTACAAAGTTGACAGCCAAACTAATTAATTGCAGAGGCAGATCTAATCACTGATAAACTTTGGTCCTACCTAATACACCTGCGACCTCTGGCTGTCACACCTACGTTGGTCAGACCCCGATGACTTTTTTGGGCTACCTGGCACCATATATTCAAAATTTCATCACAAGCTTTTGATATGATAAATGTTTATGTAGGTTCTTAGCCGACGAGATGTTTTGATTAATTACAAGTCAAAGAGAATACTAATACTAAGAGTAATACAATGAAGGTCAAAAGAACGAGCTATGAAAAAAAACTGATGTTGAAAGAGCCAAAGAGGGTAGTGTAAAACAGCAAGGAACGAGTAATATCCCCAAAATAACTACATTTCAAATGCGGAAATAGGTTATTTTCATTCCATATATCAAAAGTTGGCTCACGTTCGTCGCTGAATGCACGTTTTAGGGAGAAAAAGATGCCTAATAAGTCCTAATAGCTAGAAAAATCAAAATAGCAGATGTCTGTTCCATGTTCAAATGATCGATTTCTAATCAATTGCACATTCTAGACTATTCGTGATTACTTTTCATTCACAGGCGATATAATAATCGTATCATTTCCGCTGATATTGGGCGTTGTAGGAAGAAATGTTGACCTTTACTTCATTATTATTGGATCTGTTTTGATAGCGCTCTCTGCCGGGGTACTGAGTGAACAAGAATACAATATAATTTCAAAAGATCGATAATGGCAAAAATGAGGAGTGATGAAAGCGGTCTATATTAAAGGCTGGTTTTCACGTGTCGTAATTCGTATATCGAAGAGTGTCGTAGTATGTCGTAATCCGAACGTAAATAGTGCAATATTCCGGATTATAACGAATTACGACTCATGAATTAAGACAAAATACGAAGAAGTTGAGAAATAAGGGAAACAAGCTCTAAACCGACCATAAAGATCCACAATATGACTGCTCAAGGAATCGTTCATTTCTGAGAATTATTTAATCAGTATTGCAACATCACGAATATTCCCTTTTTTGTTCAAACAACTTTCATATTCCAGACTATGTTTTGCAGTACCACGGTGACTTCAGCGAGAAGACAACATCGCTTATATTAAGTTAAGTTATTTTGGAACAACGCACTATGTAAATACATTGTCATCGGAAGTCTCATTTGCTGGCATAATTCCCAGCCTTGTACACATCGAAAACCATATCGGGGCATTTTCGATGGGGAGAATAAAAAATAGAAATCTTAAACTGTGTAATCCCTACTCTCTTATCAAACTACACCCTAATTCTTTACGCGATAGCCCTTCGAAAGTTATTACGTTTTTCCTGAAATTCCACTTTTTGTTTAAGCTTTCAAGTGTCGACTTTGACTGTACCAGCACGTGTGAAGATATAATTACGTTTGAGAGGTGCATGACAACAGTTTTGTTTATTTTCAACAAAATTTGTTAATTTATCACAGCGCGCCAAACCCCGCCAATTTTATATGAAATATGAATGCGCGTCAATTTCAAAATGTAACAGCAGCTGTAACAAACAAACGAGAATTCCTTGCGAAGATCAAAATGTCAACAGAAACGTAAAAATAATACTATAGCCGGGAAAGCCTCGATAATGCGCCTTAAATCTTATTTAAGCAAATATAAAGGTGCGAAAATAAATAATTCATGATTTGGGGTAAAATACAGATCAAAATATAATATATTTCGCATGAGTATAATAGGACGCCATGCTGTGAAATATAGTGAAATATCGGAGAACAATAAAGGTCAAATTTCTAAAATTAACTAAAAATTTTCCCCACTTTCACGAAGGGTACAGTTTCGAGACAAATCGATAGCACACGGTCGATCGTATGCTACTAGTCGGGGTTATTTATAGGGTTTTTTATTAAGCCTTTGAGGAGCAGCTTGTATTTTATCACATGTAGATGTTAGTGAAGATTTATTTATAAAAATAACTGCATTAGATTTGACAATAAAGCGATAAGATAATTCATTATAAAAGCAATACTTTTCGCTGGAAGAAAACACAAGCTGGCATTAATCCAGAAACGATTGAAAATCATAATAAATCGTTTCTCACTTCAGCAAGCAACGTATGCAAAACAGGCACACACATGCTAAGGACTTTCGAGTTTAAAAACTCAAACGAGAAACACAAGTGTGGTTACCCGCAATTATATCAAAGATTAATGTAGAAAATTGATCTATTTTTTTTTAAAAACAACTGTTATTACACATACCTTCGGTGGTAAGGCCTTCTGAGGCAGATTGCAGACCAGAATCGTGAATTCTTATGGACGGGACGGGCAAGCGTTTGACTTGTTGCTGGTCCGATTTTGGAACGGGGTAGCTCAAAGTTTGTTGTAATTTCGCGAGTTGATCTTTGACTCCTGCCAGCTCGGTGTGTAGTTCGTTTAGTTGGCGGTCTTTGTCGTCTAGTTGTCGCTTTAGTTGTGTGAATTGCGTCGGAGTTGTGCTGGTCATCAATCGCTTTTCTTCCATCCATTTTTGCTTCTCATTCGCAATACTTTCGACTTGTTGCTCAGACTCACGCATTCGCTCTTCGTAATTCTTGATAAAATCTCTCAATTCGCCCTCTTTGTCATCTATAATACAATAAGCTTCTCTCAACTGCCCCAGCAATTTCTGTTTTTCAGATTTCAAACGTCTTCTTTCGATGTTGATAACGTTTATCGTCTCGTTCGCACGAGTGATATCGTCCTTGTACGAACGAACTTGTTCACCCAGTCGATCACAGTTCTTCGACTTTTCGGTCAGCTCTTGATAAGTAGAGTTTAGTGCTTCGTACTTGGCTTGTATTTCAGCCTTCTCTGCTTTAGTCTGCCGTAACTCTTCCGCAAAATCTGCAGAAATATCCTTCATATTGCCTTGAGAATTAAGCTCGATCAAGCGACGGTCTTGTTTCTGTAGCTCAACTCGTAGTTGTTCGACCTCTCGATTCACAGCCCCCAAAGCGCTGCCGATTTTTGTCGATATTAAGAACTTTTCCTGTTTTAGCTGTCTATTCTCGCTTTCGGCTTCTTCCATAAGCCTTCTCATAACACTTAAACAAGAAATAAGTTCATCGCCGTACTCCCGAAAAGCTATCTTTGATTTTGTATCGTCGGTCGAATACGAGTTGCTACTTGTAAACAAACGGTGTTTCTCCGTCAACTTCTCAAACTCGGATATCGCAGCATTTAGCTTTGGACAAGCGCTTTCCGTTATTTGAGACGAATTTCCGTCGCTAGGCTGGGCCATTCTATTGATGAAGTCTTTGTCTCCACGCCGAACAGGCCGTGCGAGCCAAGCCAGGCGAACGATGGTCGACAAAAATTATAATTTCAAAACTAGTATATTTTGACTTTTGGGCAAGAGTTCGCTGACAACGTCATTTCCGATATGCAAATGTACAAAAGTGAGTGGGTAAATATGGGAATAATAAGAACTAAGAAGTAAGGGATTAAGAATAAGAACAATAGGGGGATTAAAGCAATTGTGCTGGCTGTAGATACTTCGACAGAGTCCCAGACACCCAGCAACAGGCAACAGAAAAACCATGAATGTTTTGATTGTTTTCTTTATTGCATTGATATCCCTGTGTCGTCAGTGCCTTTAAAAAGACAGAACTCTGGAAAAAATTCTGGTCAACATTGCCTTCGCATTAGAAAGTAATCCAGGTAAAAAGACATATTATGGTCTTTATTACCTCAAATAATGACAGAAAGCGCGAACATCTTTAAACAATACAAACACGATAACCTATTATTTTCGTTGCTAAGCCCTCGCAGCAGTAAAAAATGAAAGCATATTGATTAAATATTGGCTGGGGTTGTCGTTTTGCGTATGAAAGGAAATATATACCACGAAACTCTAAGTATGTACACAATGTCATTCATATATATTGCTGCAAGATGACACATATGGCGTTCCTCTGGACGCCGTAAGGAAATAAAAGCTTTTTATGACAATGATGATTGATATTTTCCCAGGGAGTTTGAACTCAAAGCCAGAGGGCACTCTATCTATTCAATTTTTCACACGTCAATGCATGATTTCCATCCTTATCAGCTTACGCTTGGGTCTCTCCCTTTGTTTATTTTTGCCATTCTTGTCAATTGGCAGAGACAAAAATATGACCACCGCAACACCACCCTTTTTCACTTTCCAACAATCATAGCAATATAACAGGGCGTATCATCTGTAAAGTATATCAAGACGATTTAGGTAATATCATCATCCAAACAAAACAAGCCAAGTTAATAAATGCCTGACTAATGCGCTAGAAAATTTCTCGAAAAGTATTACAAACTCAGTCTCGAAAAAGCGGTGTAGAAACATCGAGAACTTTTCTTCATTACACAGATAATAGACCGATTTGGTGGCGATGATGTGACCGTTTATACCGAGAATAAAAAAATCTTAATCAGTTTGGTCTAAATCATTCAGGCTTGTGATGATTGCTCTACGAGAACGGGTTCTGTGGATGAAAGGGATTTGGTGAGGCTATCCTTTACATTAATGTGCATTTCATAATTTTCATTATAGTTGATAAGAATCGGAATATAGATAATAGATTATCGATCAGATTATACTGGATTACTAAAAGACTAATGATGATCGTTGAGGGCACATATATATAATTGGTAAAGTGTAAATAGGATTTTTATTGATACTACCACGCTATACATATATTCAAGTAGATAAACACTTCAAATGTAAGTATGCACAAGATAAAGTGCGGGGATAAATTATATTAGCCTAATTTCAGCTGACACCCTGAGGAGTTTTCTGTACCAATTTGACTACAAAATACAAAGCAATATATGCCGTTAAAAAAAGCGACGGGAATCAGCTGATCAAACATAGATAAGCGTGAATCAAGTGGGATTCCACACGCGAGAGTTTCCATTCGTCAACCCTAGCTGTTTGTACAGATCTCACAGGGTACAACAGGGTACTCGTCCCTAGTTCCTCCCTGACCTCCCAGGAACGGGAGTCTCGGTTCCAGTGGGGCGTGTATTACGACAGGAAGGGTGACCTGGACTACAGTAAGAGCACAAAACGTTATAAAATATTACCCTGTGAGACCACGCCCTGATCATTTCAACAAGACTATATAACGATTCCACTTCTGTATTGACGAATTATTTTAACTTAGAAAATATTAACTCTCTATACACGTTATCCGCCATGAAAAAGAACGTCTGTATATCTTTGTGGTAAAGTGGTATCTTTGTAGTCTAGTGCATTGATAATTCTTTCTTGTGATTCTGAACAAATGTTTCGAAAGAGCAAACTTTCGGATTGAGTTTCTTCGTTATTTCAACACTTCGTTCAACTCCTTCTTGGTAGAACTGAAACATGCTTGCCATTTCAACACCAGAGGGATATGGCAGGACGGCGTGGCGTTCTAATGTTTGTTTCGTATCCTATAAAGATTCATATTTAATCAAATTATCAGGCAAATAGTTGGGGATTGTGTGTAATAGGAAATTAGTGTTACACACTATAACACTGGCTGAAACCCCACCCCCCCCCCCCACAAGCCAACAAGACCTGTCCCTACACTTAAACTATATTGGTTTATTTACAGTACCTTAAACACTAGTGGAGAGAGATGTTTACTCAAGATGTCACAGTACTCCTGGACAGTGTGTATTCCACCTGCAAGACCCAGAACATTTTGTGCGTATGTCTCCGGATCATCTAAAATAGCTGTGAAGAAACAAATGGACATGCTTGAATGTGACCTCATGAGAATTCATCAGAATTTACATTCTTGGGCAAACTTCAAGTTAACCTTAGCCTGCACACGGTATTTACGGAATTGATTGCTGATATGATGATATGGAAGCAAAATAATGAGGAACCACTGTTTACTCGGCCTTCGTCTTAGCTTGAACCGCGAGGTAAGTCCCCCTCCCCCTTTTGACGCTTTTGGCTTATATTTTAAACAATACCAACTGTACCAGTTTCTGACAGATATTCCTGCATAAATCAACCGAACAGGCCGTGAAACTCCCAATGGTCTCTTAGGTTTAAAGTAAGCTAGCTGTATACTTACTCACGACGCATCTTCCCACATCGCGGACATCAATCCCCGGTAGGGGAACGTTCCCCATGGGAATCGCGACCAATCTGTTGCCATCAGAATCAATCATAGGCTTGCTGGCGGTGAGGAAATTGTTAAAATAAAAAGGCATACGAATAATAGTCCAGTCCATTGTCGATGGCACAGTTTGTTGTATGTATTCCTCGATTCTACCTTTGGCATCGAAGTGAGCTGAAAGGATATCATTTTTAGGTCAGGCTCGGTTTTTATACCAAGTTCAAAAAATAATGTGCTTATAGAGGAACTTGGGTATTTCGTCGAAGATTTAGTTCAAAGATTGAGTCATTCAACCAGTCAGTCACTTGACTAACTTGACTCTGTTTAACGACGTATTCTCGCTGTATCCCCCGGAAAAAGTGTGACCCAAAGCAATGTTCATCTAATTGGAACATACATTGCTGGGGTGTTATCGATACGGTCAACAAAACCACGCAAAATCAATCCATAACATCCATATACTGGGTCTCTGTTACTCTGCATGACCTGCCATTATAATAATGTATTGCATGCTTTATATATAATAAATTACCCATTATTATCTGGGTTTTTGAATTATCTGATCGGGGTAAATTGAGCATGCTGTCTATATTAGACTGAAAACTCGAGTAACACAACTTTGCAATCCGTAAATTTCTGATCACTTCCAATTAAATCAAAGGCTTGCATGTGAACTGAGAAATTTTCCGAAACAAATCAGTTCTATAGAATCGAACAGTTTAATTTTAACCAAACCGTGAAAAACAAACTTCAAAGGCGTAAATACTAATCTTTGACATAAAAAAGTGTATAACCACTTAAAGTGAAGCTAAATCCTGACTACAATTGGAGTATGAAGCGGCATTTTTTTAAATTCCAAAAAAAACATTTGACGTTGTGTTTATTATACTTTGTTTCAGGACATTAAAGTTTATTGAATGTAGTCTTAGAGAGAACACGCGAACATGCTTAAGGGGATTAAGGAACGTCAAACGGTGTTTCGTCCATTGGCCATTCGTACCAAAAAAGGACAACGGGCCATTTTTTTTCTCGTGCAATATACAACTCGCCTGAGTAGGCTATCAGAAACGGAGATGTTTTAGGTTGCCATGGATGAAATTATACACAAAAACGTTTATTGACAAATAAAGAAATCTTTCTGTACATTGCCACTGTGGCGGGAAAATTCTGGGGCGTCGTTATACTTCTAGTCTTCCCTGCTAAATTCCACACATATTTTAAAAGGTCTCTTCCATGACGAAATAAACAAAACACAAGAGATTTCAGTGTTCTCGTGTCTGTTCCAGGCTTCTTTCTCCCAAAGAAGGGTAGACAGATAACAGGTATACTCAATGCAAATCCAATATCACCCTTCACAGCAAGACATCCAGCCTACCCGTCGAGACAAACATCGTGCTTTTGTCATGAAAATACAACCTGAGAAGAACTTTCTAAACGTATAATCACTAGTTAAATTGCTTGTTGGTTTTGTTGGCGGGAAATTAAACACTTTGAAGACAAGAATCTAATTTTAGGATCGTTAAATTGAGCGGTTCGCGTGAGCGAATTGAAAGAGTCTTTTTATAAACGTCTCTGCAAAAATGAATAATTTATCTATCGCGATGTAATTATCATGACATATCATGCACACGAAATGAACAATGCGAGAATATTCACTAAAACTAATCAAAATAAGTTGACAAAGCTTATTTGGTTGTAGTATACAGATAAAACATCACATATTTTCAGCAAAAAATTGTTTCATTTGTTACACTGAAACTGTATTTTGAGGAGGACTGGTATACACAGAAATAGTTTCAAAGCAATTTCCTGCCATTCACAGTTAAATTTGCAACAAAGAAAGTTTTATTTGAAAGTATAAATTAAAGCATGTATTTGTCTGAAATTTGCATATAAACTACCCGAAAAAATATTTTACTGTCATTTGTATATTAGGTGCCCGAAAACGATCTAGTTTGTATCGAAAGACTATAGTGACAAGTGATAGCTTTTCTCTTGCCAAGAAAAAGAGATGAAAGAGCTATTATACGAAATGAAAGAATTGATTCGTGGAATAGCGAAGAGTGCACAAGGCACGCTTTATATTGTTTTTATAATCGATATGCAGGAATGTCGAGTTTCGTTATCAAAACATAATAAAAACGATCACAATACTTATGATAAAATCACCGGGAAAATTTTAATGATTTTTTGGGGGATAAAATCCAAGCATGTTATGAAAAATTTTATCATCAACAATCCAAAAAAAAACAGGACCCGAGGGTTCAGAGGTTCAATGAAAATTGTCGCTAAAAATACATGGAATGGCGATAAGAAATGATATATATTTCATGCACCGTTGTCTAGAAAACTTATATCTGATTCTCTCAACCTAACTCTTCTAGTAGAAACCTTTTACTTCCCATATTGTTTCATCTTAATTAAACTATGTAGCAAAAACCGTTTTCTCGGAGATACAACCGTTTCTTATAATACATTCGCGTGGCAAACTATTTGAACCACTGCATTCACCTTAAACCAGTCATGCAAGGATTTCAGCAAACACAGCGGATTGGATAATGTTAATACTCAACAATGCTTCCAATTGCCATCTTATTTGAACAACATTTAAACAAAGTTTGCGGAGAGCTTAGAGGCACTTAGCACTGGCTATCATTATAAGCCTTTTGACAGAAAAACTGTCGTGCCTCTTTGATCGAATCGAGTTGGCATGCATGATGTTTCTCACGGACGTGACCGGTACGATATTCACCAAATTTAAAAATATTTTGATAAACATTCCCAGTACATATCGACAATTATATAAATATATACTTACGGCATTCATAACCACGAAGTTTCTGGACATTTTCCTGACCACTAAAGACAAGATGTTTGACTCCTTCTTCAATGCAGGCATCAACAGCATTCTTCCCTTGTTGAAATTCACGCTTCCCATCGCGATGTTCCCAAAAATTCGTGACGAGAAACACAGCGTAGGCCTCCTTAACTGCCGCCTTGCAAGCGTCTAGGCTATCGAGGTTAGCTCGCGCTAATTCTGCACCTTTCCCCCGAAGCATCAACGCTTTTCTGTTGTCCGTCGACTTTGCGACGGCGCGAATGCGGTATTTTCCATGTTCCAGCAATGCGTTAACGACGCTGAAACCCTGGGCGCCCGTACCGCTGAAAACGACAACAGTTTTGCGAGGCATTTTGAAAAGTTGTTGGCGAAAGTTCGAACTCTTTGTCACGATAAAACTTCGTTGGTGGTAGAGTTAAAGATGTATTTGAATATGTTAAAATAATAGCGACGGGTTATATATTGTCTTATTGATGTATATAATTACATGCAAAATGTTGAAGTGGCAAAATATCGCAAGTAATTTATGCACGCCCACTTAATCAATGGAGTACTTCACCCCCATACAGAGCCGCAAATTTCCGTGAGATAAGAGCGACGGATCTCAAAAGGTTGGCTGGATAGCGGAATTTGCTAAAAGTGGGGTATATAATTATGCTCAACTAATGTGCTCATTACCTTGTGCATGTTTACCCGCATATCGTAATCACGAATACAATGCACTTCATATTTGATATTTCACCTCCAACCACGGTTAACAGAACTTACAAATATATTCATCCGCAATTTGTTAAAATTCAGCTTCTACAAATCTCAGATTATTACTACATTTGAAAAAAGACTAAAAACAGCCTTGAAACACGGTATTCATTTGGATCTAACTATCGTGAACTTATAAAGGCTATTCCTAGCTATATTCACCCATGCACGTGTCGTCTAGTGTTAAACTATGTCCTTAGACAAATCTGTCTAAGACATAGTTTAGCGACAATCACTTTTTAAACATTTACATCAGTATGTTGTGTTGTGATAAAATTTGATTAAAAAATGTTCACGTTTGAAAGTAAAAGCAAAACATGTCGAAATGTTTAAGATGCTTGATGTGATTAAGTTTAATAAAAATAAAATTCACTTGCGAGCCACAGCTCAAGAACGCGATGCAGATACCAATACTACCATACACTACATATTTCCGTCGGTTTCTTACAACCAAACGTTTTGCTGAACTCTGGGAAATTAGAAATTGGAACCCGAACCCTGAAGAATAAAGAGAATAAGGCTTGCAAATGAAAGGTAGATTCTTATCAACGGTAAAAAGTTTCACGTTTAAAACGATTAAAAAGTTTTGGAAGGAAATCATGAAATTTGTTTAACGGTCTTCCGGATAATAGGTGAATGATCGTTGATCCTAGGTGAATGATCATTGATCCTAGGCGAATGATCATTGATCCTAGGGGAATGATCGTTGATCCTAGGCGACTGATCAGAGATCTTAGGTGAATGATCATTGATCCTAGGTGAATGATCATTGATCCTAGGCGAATGATCATTGATCTTAGGTGAATGATCATTGATCCTAGGTGAATGATCATTGATCCTAGGTGAATGATTATTGATCCTAGGTGAATGATCATTGATTCTAGGTGAATGATCAGTAATCTTAAGTGAATGATCATTGATTCTAGGTGAATGATCATTGATCCTAAGTGGATAATGATTGAATGATCATTTCGATCATAGGTGAATGATCATTGATTCTAGGTGAATGATCAGTATCTTAGGCGAATGATCAGAGATCTTTGGTGAATGATCATTGATTCTAGGTGAATGATCATTGATTCTAGGTGAATGATCATTGATTCTAGGTGAATAATGATTGAATGATCATTTAGGATCACAGCAGGTTAAAATGCAGGATCTTTGATGAACACTTACCTAGCTGGGTTCAGAGAGTGAGTGTCGGACTGTAAAAGATGTGAAATAGCTTCCTCTCGATATTTTGCACACCACGCCTAAAAGGTGAAAAAATTCCCAGAATAAAAAAAGATTCAGTACTCCGTACACTTTACAACAACTTAAGGACCTTAATTTCGATCTGTGGTTAAGTATAATAATAATAATCAACTTTATCTCGTATACCTGTGCAAAACCGATGAAGAACAGTTGATCATTGTTAAAATCGAGTCCAGGTAGTTTATCTTCTTCGCCATTCGCCTCACGCCACTTTTGATACGCCTTTGAAATGGAAACGACTGGTATATCAGAGAGCATCATGATTACAAAATGCAAAGAATTGGAAAAACTTACTCGATATGAATATTTGAGACCACCGTTATCCGCTATGTTTTCAGGTAGCGTCTTAAGGCCGTCTAACTACGAATGTGGAAAAAGAAAAAAAGCTTGTTAGGTTTGACCAAGGCCGATAGTCTGCCACTCTATATCTTTCTCCTAGTCGCTTGTCCACGCATATGCAAGCACGGTGATTCGGAAGACGATTGGGATTGAAGATGGATGAGCGAGGTGGGTGTGCTCTTCTGTCAACGCTGACCAACATCGGCTAATACAGGTGGTATACTTTGACCAGCCTTCCAAAGTGCGCGGGCAACTTGTCTAACAGGCTCCCCCGAACAGAGGTAGTTAGGATAGGAAGTGCATGGCGTAGCCAGCCTGACGATTTTATATCGTTATGGAAATTTAGAGTTATTATAATCATTCGACACCAAAATATTAGCACAGCGGGACAAATCGTCAGGCTGACTACGCTACTAAGGATAGGTGAAGTGTGATGGGTTTTTTTGGAGGGGGAAGCATTCAATACTAACCTTCCTTCCATAGACGTATGTGTTGTTGTATTGTTTCAACATGCAATTGGATCGTTGTTGATAATTCTGGTGAGATTCCGGGGTCCACCAGGACCTCAGATTTCCCTTCTCGTCAAACTGACTACCTGGTTCAACCCCCCGGAATAAAAAAGAAATTAAATGTCTTGCAACGAGTCATACAGCATCACCACGTTTAACATAAGGCAATTAAGAGTAGCCGCTGAAAATTGTGCATTCTTTCACGTTCTCGAACAGAACTTACCTGAAGTATCAAATCCATGTGTGATTTCATGGCCAATGATTACTCCAACAGCACCGTAATTCAACGCCCTTAAAATGATTCAAGATACGATTCAAAGAAAAGATCTACACATTTGCTTTGTGAACTGAGGAAACTCCTTGTCGACAAATTAGTTAACAATCAAATTCGTAATTGTAAACGGAATTTTGAATTCCTTGCAACTGTACGAAGTAGAAGTCTCCTCTTACTTCAATCTTTCGCTTCCGTAGAAAGGTTCCTTTAGCATTCCGGTCAAAACCGCTGTGAAAAAAAACAGTTGAGATATATACAAACATCACACAAATCCCTTATATATGAATTATGTAATACGAATTATAAATAAGTATTAATAAGTATTTTTCTCACTTATTTTGTTAGATTGAGGATCATAAAAGGCATTCACACCGACTGGAGGTTGAGGAAATCTGTAAAGAATCACAGAAAATATCTTCAGAGGATTCCCAGCTATCCATGTGGTTGTGAATAACAATTCTAGCGCAAAAGTAACGTAACACACCTTCTGTCGTCAGGCGCTTGGTCAAGTCCTTTAATTCCTAACACAACTTTGGCTTTGTCGATATCCAGTTTATTTTGAAAGAGATCATAGGGATTCACCGGGAACTATATTTAAAAATGCAACATGTATATTATACTTTAAGGCTTAAGGCCTCTTCAAACAGAGCCATTAATACATACTGCCAAAAGAATGAACGGCGGAAAAATATATGTCTTGCAAGCACAAAAGATTTGAAGCTTGCACACAGTTTTTACGAATCGTCTGAATTAATAATTTTGTGAGCTGTCAGAGGTGCATTATGAACTGTCAAAAGATTGCAGAATGCGTATATTCAAAAGAATAGTTGAACTTTTTAAAGTTATTCATGGATTTTCTCTTTGATAGCGATACAGAAATAGACAATTGTGAACCAGTGATTAGATTTTCGGTTTGAAACTTCATAAATACCCGTTTCGACGGTGTTCATAAGAATATTCCAAAAAAACAACTAGGATCAATTCTATTCGAGAAACCTGGATTTCTTGGTGCAGCCTCTATTCATAACTCCAGTTACAGGAAAGATCTGGGGCCTCGCAGGGGAATTGGGATAAGGACATGAGGTTTTTGGTTCAAACATACCGTCTCATACATACTGTTCAAATATGTTTTATTCTTTATAAATAGAGGATAACCAACACTCTCCTTCATAGCGAGTAACTATAAACAAGGAATATTTCAAATGCTTTCGCAAATGTAGTGAAAACCAGTTACTAAAATTTGTTTTGCACATGACTAAAGAGTAACTCACTTTGATACGAGCTTGGTTGCGAGTTGAGTTGTCCATCCAATCTTGCTCTTCTAATCCTTTGATAAACTGCTTTCTTATCTCATAGAACATGTCGGCAGCCTGACATTTGATAAAAAGAATAACCACTTATATCACTATCTTTTCCACGAACAGTCGTGATTGTCAGTAGAGGTACGAGACGTGGGGGCAAGGAGGGAGGCCACCTTCCCCCCAACTAAGAACTGAGGTATTTGGAAAGATAGCTATGGTATATATTTGGGCGAAATAGAATAACATTTGTTCTAATGTTGCAATTATGGTCGGTTAGATATACTATGCATGCTAACCCTATTTCTAGCCATCTCAGAGAGAAACCTATCGGCATATAGCGATGTTGTGGCGTATTCGAAATTGGTGTTTGTTAGTTCCCCGCATCCTTTCCATCTCGGTGGAGGAGTCTCTATCCCAGAGGAAATCGCGTTCAACTCATTCTCAGCCTCTCTGAATTCCTTTGGCATTGAAAATATCATGTTTTTTACAACACACCAAATGATTTCGTTGGCCATTTTGCTACAAAGGAAAGAACAACCAGGTTAGACACGGTCAACTCCTAAACCACACCAATGCCACACACAATTTGTCGATATATATGACTGTACCTCTTAGGAGTGTGCGTCGTCATGATAGCGATAACCGTTTTAACATTCTTAGGCAAAGCAACCATTAATTTTTCGTCTTCACCGACCGACTTTCCAGCGACGCTGAGCGCTTCATTAATGTAAGTCGTCCAGTTGAACTATAAGCAGTCAGTTGCATTACCATCTAAGCTGTATAATAGGCTATCCATTGACAGTTGTTCTTTGTATATACCCAAAGGTGCCATGCACGAAAGCATATGCATTGAGTGAAATTGTGGATGTGGTTTCGAATAGAATGATTAGTCAATTTAGGGGGCACGTTGCGTGGGGTTTGCCGGGCATTCACGTCAGCCAATAGAATTGTAGCAGCCACAGGTACAAGAGACTACAATTTCATTGGCTAAGCCACGGCCAAAGTAGGCATAGGGGGGAGGGGGGGGGTTGGAAAATCAGGGACATAGTCGGAGACTTTTAGCAATCTGGACGTCCGAATTTCAAAAACATATTTCTTTTTGCAATTTTACCTGTAATTCAACACCTACCTTGTACTCAGTGAGATTATTCAATTCTCCCAGGGTCATTTCTTGAACGGCTTTGTAATAGCCTTCAACGGCCGCTGTCTCCTGAAGATTGCCTTTGGACTAGAAGCAAAAAAGTCAGTTTGAAAGGAATTCATATACAACTAACTATGTTGACTAACAAATATTATAAGAAAATCAAACACCACTATATTTTAGTGTTATGTTAACAATTAAACAACTAAACAAGCACTAGACGGAAAAAACCCTCACGAAAACGAATCCATAATTTAGGGTAGCAGTCTTGCGTTGAAAGCGACTCTAAAGACCAGTTTACACTTGCAAATTCAGGTGTGATTTTATGTGCGATTAGTTCTTTTGGTATATGTGAACGAGTAATAAGTTACGTATGCTCTGATACGTATAAGAGCTCTTATTTGGCTTCCACATTGCTATATCCAGTGAAATATATGATTAGTGAACCAAACAAGCGTAATACTAAACTACTCACCAAGACAAAACTGGCCTCCAACAAGAAGAGTTCATCAACAACGCTTTTCAAGACTGTCTCATTTTTTATTCCAAGCAGTGTAAACACCGTGGTCATATATTTCTTGTATCCAGCTATAAGCCGTGCTTGCTAGAATATAAAAGAAGTATATATGACATCATCAAAGTACATTATCAGCTGGCTCCAGGACAGATCACTCGACTGTAACCCAGTTTTTAAGTTTTATTAGTTATAGCCATAAACTTTTACGACCTCTTCGAGAGGGCCAGGTTAATCTGCCACTGTTGAAATGAGATTGGAAGACATGCATGGTTACCGACCTGAGTAGCACTAGACAACTTTTCCTCAAACCCCAAACCACTGATCCCACCGCCCACCTGAAAACATACAATTTTAGTTAGATAAACGTGTGAGAAAAATCCCTAATGAAACCCCACTGAATTCGATACCGAGTTCGCATCATTATGATATCATAATTATGCATATTTATGTAAGTATATTTTGTTATATTGCATGTTGTCACATGGAATGATTACAAGTACGGCATGTCTAAATTGCCATAAATATACGAGCGAGGTTAAGATTTGACCCACCCTACCAATCCCTCGGACCATCTCAGGAAACACGAACCAATCACATGCGATAATTCTATCAGATTAACCAATCTCGAGTACAATAGGCCAAAGATATCGCTACTTACACCAATCATACGACGTGATCTATCCCACAACGATTGCGTTATATCAAGTGAGACAAACACTCCAAGCCCGAGCTCGCCCATCAATCGTCCCAAAGTACGCTCCAGGTTCCAATCGGAAGCATTCCAGTTGTTATCCAATAACGGACTGGATCCATATTTCTTGATCAAGTCGTTAATAGGGGTCAGTCCTGCTTTTTCGATATGTGTCAGGTTGACACAAGAACTGTAATAATCAAACGCTTTTGATACGGCTGAGTTTGGAAACTATAACGTAAGGATAGAATCAGTCTTGACGGCGATGAGGAGGCAAATAACAAACTAAAACTACAACCAAAAACACTAACAACGATGAAAAAACAATAACCGTCACAACAACAGTCAAAACTGTCAACCACAACAAGCAACAACTGTCAACCACAACAAGCAACAACTGTCTACAACAACCGTCAGAACTTCACTGAACAACAGTCACAACCGTCAACCACAACAATGCAACAACAGTCAACAACAGTCAACAACAGTCAACAACAACAACCACAACTGTCAACCACAACAAGCAACAACTGTCTACAACAACCGTCAGAACTTCACTGAACAACAGTCACAGCCGTCAACCACAACAATGCAACAACAGCCGACAACAGTCAACAACAACAGCCACAGTTGTTTACAACAACAGTCACAACTGTCAACCACAACAGTCAACAACAGTCAACAGAAACAGCCACAGTTGTTTACAACAACAGTCACAACTGTCAACCACAACAAGCAACAACAGTCAACACCAGCAGCCACAACTGTTTACAACAACAGTCACAACTGTCAACCACAACAGTCAACAGCAACAGCCACAGTTGTTTACAACAACAGTCACAACTGTCAACCACAACAAGCAACAACAAGCAACAACAGTCAACAACAAGCAACAACAGTCAACAACAAGCAACAACAGTCAACAACAACAGTCACAACTGTCAACCACAACAAGCAACAACAAGCAACAACAGTCAACAACAGCAGCCACAACTGTTTACAACAACATTCACAACTGTCAACCACAACAAGCAACAAAAGCGGAAGGGGAACTAAAAAAGTCACAACGAAAACAGCTACATAAGTTGGCTACCTTTGAATGGTTTTTCTTTAAGCCCTCGTCCTCCAGTAACCTTCTTAGGTTGTTCTGCACAGCCTCCCCAACAAAGTTGAAGGAGTTCAGAGTTGCTTTGTCGTCCGCGATATAGTTCTTTCTGACAAACCCACCACAACTGTATTGATAAAAATCATCGCAAGGACTCACGGAGAAGTCAAGTTTCTGAAGGATGTCTAAACAAAAATACGAATGTCGTACAAGAATCGGGAATACAGGTAAAAAATCATGAATTGGCCAAAGGAAAATGTCTGCATGTCAAGAATGTTCCCTCCAACGAAATGCCACTCTCTACCTTCTTAACTCCAGAGGCCGCCTGTTCTATAGTTACTGATAGGATTAGCCATGGAACGTGTGCTTTGGAGATAACTACCTGGGGCCAGTTGTCCAAAGCTAGGTTAGCGCTAACCCTGGGATAAATTTTAATCCACTGTTTTGGTTTAAGTGCTTCTGAGCCGCAGTTCGTTTTAATATCTTTACAAAATACGGCTTTTGTCAGTTCAGAAAATATTTACGGAAAATATTATTTCAAAGCGTGGGAAAAAGGTCACATGTCTTGAAAACATGAAAATGAAATGAAATAAGGATCAATATTTTAAAATCGTAATTGACAATTTGGCATTCGAGTGATTTGAATACAACGCAGTAACCCAATTTCGTCACTGGCCAAAATAGTCTGTAATCATTTAAGACTCACGGCCCTCACTCAATCACTGATTGAAAGCTACTAAAACCCATCTATACGTTCTTCAGAGAAATCCACGGTATTCACCTATCGCCCTTGTCTTCTTTTGCAACTTTGCGGCAACGCTATTTCGCAACTTTGCGGCAACGCTATTTAATTATTATATTGAATTTTAATTATCGGTTTCTGGCATGTTTTAATTACGCAAAGCCAGTGAAAAATCTTTTCAGTTTAAAAGAGTGCAACGTACAAACCATGGAGTTTCTCAATCATGCAATAGTCAATTGAAGAAGTGGGATGGGATGCGGCAAAGGAAGAGATAAATGGGACTATGAAATATATGACCTCACTCAAGTCAAATCAAATAAAATCGACATTTGACTTTTAATATTTAATGGCTTTCACTATGAAATTATTTGAGCACGACCTTTTAGAAAAATTACTTATGATTTTTTGTGAATATTTTTTGTGCAAACAATTTGTGCAAATAATTAAACAATTTAAACATTCAATTTTAATACATGGATCTTTCATCTCTGCCGACATTTTTGAGATACACTATTCTGATCCTCACGGGGGTGGCTGAAGTGCAGAATGTCCAGAATCAGAAACTCTGCCCAACTTGTAGCCTTTTCGACTCTAATCCTCCCACTTGTGCGCCTAATGTTGATGTAGAACTCATCACAATCAAAAAGCCTATTAGACTATCTTCAAATTGCCGGAATTCGAGTACAGCGATATAAACAAAATGATTATCGTAATTATTACGACACCTTTTTATAGCCCTACGGCCAGTACCTCACATGACGTCTATATCGTAGGCTATACCCCACCAGTCATACGTCTAAATTTAACCTGATATATTATACTAAGACGAATTTTTAGCAAAATAGTCTAATTTGAGATCCAAGTCCCAACATGAATTTTGCTAATGTTCACGTCATGACAACAATGTCTTGACAGAGCATTGTTCTCGTTTAAATATTGTTAAAATCTTCATTGAAGGCAAATGTCTACGGCATGTGTCAAATGTCTTATATACTCACTACACTCTGTCTATAGAAACCACTGAACGTTCAGATAAAGTGAGAACCGCGCAGATGAACCGCAATCTTTTTTATTGAGGGTTTGTCAACAGTACCGTACCAGTCTCAGCTGTGAGAGAGTAGAATAATTTTACGTATGAATAACAAGCCGTATATGCCGCAAGCAATCAATATTCACTATTGACGTAAGGCAGGTTCATAAACATACAGTGCAGCCTATCTTACATATGACTTATCAATCTTATTTCAATTATGTGCGTTAACCTAAGATGAGACGCAAGATATTAATCTCCCATCAAATCTTGTTGAAATATTGAAAATTTATTGAAGGGCGAAAATACCCAGGGACTGAGATGTACAGAAGGATACACTGACAGTAACGTACAGTATATAGAGAGAAAATTTCACTGCCGATGAAGATTGATTATTTTTACCGCATGTGGTGAATCGTGATGCGACGTTAACGATGTCATTATCTTAACGAGAGTCGCGATATTTTTTCACCTTTCTTCGCTCGCACACAAATGAAACACATTTGTGATTGAATATAATCGTTAATTCAGACTCTAACAGAAAACATGTCGGTCCTCCGAAGTTTGATGTTAGAGGCTGCTCTGATAATGATTAAGTATTAATTCAAACAGGCGTCACAACAACGCTTAATACTGTATTAAGCCGCCTACCTCCTGCACTTATTACACAAGACGTATCTTCGCAAGATTGTGTTGGAGCCTGTGTTGGACTCGCCGTCGAAGTGGTTTTATTTTTCCCGCCTTGTCCTCCCTTTTCCCCGATATTCGCTGCATCACTGTCGTCATCTTTTTCGTTCACGTAGAGGACAACGAACACGATTGTCAACACAACGAATATTATGAGCAGAACAGCAAGGATCAGCCTAATTTTTGACGCCTGACGAGTCGCCGTGACTAAGTTAGTCGTGGATGAACCGCTCTGACCAATTTCCATCTGTCCCGAACTGCCCATAGTCACAAAATACCACGGAAAATGTGATATGCACGAGCCTTGAAAAATTTGTTCAGCTTGTGGGCGGAGTACAGAATTTAGCCGAAAACGACGTAATTAAATTTAAAATAATAATATTATTATAATCAGGATTTACCTACGGGCTTTGAGTAACATTGCTAATTGGTCAGTAATATTGCAAATTCACTTTATAATTAATCTCAACAGAGTATACCGAGGCGACTATTGCACAATTAAGTGCACTGGGAAGGACGCTGACAACAAGCGGTGTAGTCAACACAATGGGTGGAAATGAGATTTTCAATCATCAGGCTCATCACATGGTTCATGAATGACTGTGCTCATGGACTTATCAGCTAATATTTCGCACGGACGAATTACTCAAATGCCAGAGTCACTGCTGTGCCAAAAAGACGGAAACTTGTGATCTTTGCCGCGACTTAATGCCTCTTTTGATAAATGTGAATGAGTAATTAGTTATGAACGCTCTGATGTACAAGAGCTCTTATTTGAACATCAGTAACTAATTCACTCGTTCACATCTATCAAAAGAATAAAATCGTACATAAACCCCAGCAAAAATTGCAAATGTAATCGGGCCTTAATCCGACTGACTCTGTTGAAATTCAATTTACCCGATCGACTGACTTTGTTTGATAAAAAAATCTGAAGTGGAAAATTCCGGTACTTTCGCTAACATGTCCATTTCTTAGACCAAATGGAACCATTTAATAATTTTCGATAATTGGAACGATAATTTTCACGTCACCGTTACGATTGACGTCATCTTGCCAAGTGAGAACGACAGACAGTATATTAGTTATTAGTGCATTTGAAGTGTTTGTATCTATAAATAACGAGGTTAAACACCAGAGAGAATTATCATTGAGACTGTATTTGCCTCACTTGGCAAAATGAACATCCATTTCATAAGTAGAAAAGGCAATACATGGGGTTTTCTAGTCTACTAAAAAAAAGCAAGTCCGTCGCCATTTTTGCGTTTGTATGATGTAAAAACTTTCCCTCAATCGACGTGCATCAACGTACTTTAACACATGTCACATATCCTATGGGCTCCAAGATTAGAGTTGTTCCGCATAGTACAATATACGCTACCTTCCTTGGTTTGGCATGCCTAACAAAAGAAATGGATTCAACCAGATGAGAGCTGTTCATCCTAACATGAAGTTTAGCATTCTTCAAAATTTGCAGCATTGGTGAAATAAGTTTAATAATTAATTTGTGAGAACACCGCGTATATTGGCTTAGTGCAAAGCTTCATTTCAACTGACCGAGAGCTTTGCAATAAACAAGGCAAGTGTTCCCACAAATTGATTATTTAACAAGTCGTTTATTCACTAAATTTGAACTAATCAGCATAGATGGTTTTAAACGCGTTAGACACGCGTTATTTTAAAATACAGTTGACCAACATGTACAGTAAATACAATTATACAAAGACCTACAAACCTTGGTTTGGAAATTGTGGAAATCCAAATGGCATCATTGGCATTCCAGGGGGTGGCATCCCCTGCATATTCGGCATTCCCATCCCTTCTGGTCCAGGCATTCCCTGGGGAGGACCCATACCTCCATGAGGGAAGCCACCTTGTGGGGGAAAACCTCCTTGAGGGGGCATACCCATGGGCATACCAAAAGGCATCATGGGCATTCGTTGGTTTTGGTTTGGTGGAGTGGGCGGTGCTCCTCTGTGTTGCTGTTGGTTGGGGAAACCTTGAGGCGTGGCGGACATCAAGGGGCGAGGAGGAGGTGGACGGATATCGCCGGGCGGTCCTCTACCAGTCTGAAATAAGAACATTAGAATTCAATAAAGTTGGAATAAAACAATCAAATAAATGCATCCAGGCTTAATGCTGGCACCCTACCTGATCTGATCTTTCATGGCCATGAGGTGGACCTCTCATAGACATAGGAGGTGGTGGTGCTGGAGGCATTCCAGGAGGTGGGAGACCTTGAGGTGGGAATGCTGGTGGAGGCATTTGACCTGGCATCATACCAGGGGGAGGAAGACCTATGGGAAAAGTGGCAAGTTAATTTTGGGCAATATAATTGAGCAAAAGCATAAAAATATGTCTTCATACCTGGTGGGGGCATGGTAGGAGGAGGTGGAATCCCACCAGCCATCATCATGGTGGGATCAAAGGCATTTACTTGGGTAGGTGGAGCATCAGCAAACAACTGATGAGGCTTGTCAGCTTGTGCCAGAGGATTCTGGGATGCAAGTAGACGTTCTAGAGGGGCAGCAGAAAAGAACACATGTGAATAAGGTGAGACAACCAGCTTCCATGAAGGTTATTTGTGGCCTAAAACTATACAAGGCAAACATGAAAGAATCTGCCTTTGCTATGTATTGTAACAACACTGTCAGTTATCCTTGCCTGCAGCTGAGCCATGCCTTTCACCCTTGGCATCTTTCTTGAATGCATAAGAAATGCTGATGGGACGATTGCATAAATGTTGACCATTCATAGCTTCGATGGCTGCATCAGCTGCATCAAAACTAGCAAAGTTTATAAAGGCAAAACCCTTTGAGTTGCCGGTCTCTGGATCTCTCATTATCTGAATGAAAATGTTATAAAGAGGATACACACTTCGCTTACAATTTTAAATGTAAAAAACTGAAGAAAAACTAGATGTCAACTTACCTTTGGTGTTTGTAAAATGACCCCAAAGGCACTGAATGTGTCGTACAATAATTTTTCATCAATTTCCGGATCCAAGTTACCAATGAATATATTTGCTCCAACATCCAGATTTTTATTATGAGATGATGCCTTAATAAATAGTAACTTTAGTTTAGACAAGACTTTGGAAAGAAGTGAAACAAATCTCAAAACCAACCTTGTTGACCCTGACAGGTTTTCCATAAACTTTTATCATGTTCATGACTTTTATTGCATAATCGGCATCTTCTTCGCCGAGGAACTCGACAAAGCCATAACCTTGATGAAGTTGAGTGATCCTATCTTTTGGCATGTGAACATTTACTACAGAATCATATATAAAAAACTTTGAACCATTGATTATGAGGATTGTTGTTTCAGGAAAGGTCATCCTGCACAGCACAACAATAGTTTTGATTATTAAGTAGCAAAATATGGTTGAAATATTGTTGAGACTGTTTGTGGGGTGACACAAAACTTTATCTAATTCAGCTTTTATCAATATAGAACAACTGAGGAATTTTGCCTGGAGGATTAAGGAGCTCTTCACTTACCAACAGGCCCGGCTTGTAGAAACAACTCCCAAAGTAGGGTCTCACTGACTTTTTCATCAAGTCCCCCAACGTAAATTGTTGCATCTGAAACCAAAATATCCGCAAGATTTATGAGTGATGAGTACAGAGCAAACAAAATACTTGCATGTTCTGGGAAAATGATTTGTAAAAAGATATAAACCCACACATTATGTGCAACCATGCTCTCATGAGCTGGGTATGCAGTCCTTGCAATGAATTAAAATAAGATCCTCATCCTTTATACGATGATACAGATACTAAGATACATCGTTTACTTGCTTAAACTTTTTCAAAATCATCAGATAACCAGCATGGGATTAGGCAGAAGCATTATATGTTATCTAGAAAGTCCATTTGCAAATTGTAATATGCAGACAAAAACTGAAAATAATTTAAGCTCAAATACGAGTGAGATTTTGGTCATTTCAAATCAACAAATACACTGTGAAAAATATTCAATATTTTCTCCGATTAGCGAGATCGTAGCAATCAAGCAAATAAGATATAATATTCCATTAGAAAACACCAATAATTCAGGAATAACTTCTTATGAAAGAAGGAAAACAAATGTTTAAAACTTCACCTTGATTACGTTCTGTGATCGGTCCGGCCGCCATGCTTCTTTTTTGTATCGAATTCGTTACCAGGCCACACGCCATGCAACAAAAACCACTGACTAAAACGTGATGATCGCGGGGACGGGAACAAAATTGGCCGCCACGAGAACACCCCCCTGCCTTTTTTAAAACAGTACTAATGTTTCTATCTTTAGAAAAGAGGTAGTTAATTACGTAATGATTCTACCAACCATACTTTTAAAATTCTTTTATGCCAGTGTTCTGGGTTCGAACCCAGAAGCCATAAACGTGTTTTTATCTATCAACGAACACGTTTTAACTTGGCCCCAGACATGGACACTGTTTTTTAAAGCCAAACGAAAAGGAGGGAAACCGGAGTGCCCGGTGAAAAACCCTCCAAAGGTAACCTGAGTTTCAGGTTACCTGACCGGCGATCCGAATTTGGTAGTTTTCGTTTAGAAATCGTCCGCAATACAGTTCAGGTTTTATTTACAGTTGACCGCCCATCCGAACTGAGTCCCAGGAATTTCATATAGCTATGCAATTCTTCAGCTTTGTCGATTGAATCCTGGTGGTGGTCTAACGTGCGTGGCTCGCATATCGTTCGTTGCAAAACAGCGGGCTGTTAAAAATTTTAATTAAACCGCGCTTTGTCCGACAAGGGCAACAAAAATTATTTTAATTTTTCAAATGTTTTTTTCATGATCATGCTTTTTATTGGAAATTTGGCATTTTGGAAACAAATGCTTCGTATTTAGGATTTGCATGCTTTTTTCATCTGAAACCGATGTAGACAGCACTCTTCTATTATCCCTTTTTTATGACATGCACCATTTATCTTTTTTTATACTTTTTGGATAACGGCTGACCGAAAATTGAGGAAATAAACGTAATCAGGCTCAACATGCAACTTAGGGCTATAGTATGGCTAAACAATAATGTCCCTTACCTTTGGCACTGTATAATAATTACCTTCGGTAAACAGTATATTAAAATTTCACTTGCTTCATTGCTCCATTCCAAACAGTCGCGTTCTTCTTTAACATCATCTCGATGGTGGGGCGTGCAAGAAATTAAACAACATAGTAAGTGTGTCAAAATTGAAAGGCAAGAGTTTAAGTTCAAAGCAAGAGGGTACTATCAATATTAACCTACTGAGTTAAACACTATACCCTCAAATAACCCATATTATATAAGTGTAGTTATCATGCCAGGATCATGCAAATATCATGTAATATGCAGGAGAGGTATATTTTACTTCTTATTAAAACTTAGTTAGTCAAAAAGTTAGTCAAAATGATTAGATTACGGTTTATTTCCTTCATGCTTGAGAAAAAAAAAATCGCAAAACGAAAAGTGAATACCAGGGAAACAGAAGAGTGAATCAACATCAACATTTTTTTCTTTATTTCAAAAGTTCAATAACTCGAAATTCAATGTTGAAAGACTAAAGTATAATTTTTGATGCCAATGACGGACGGTCTTTGGAACGGATTATTGCAATTGCCGCATTATAGCAGACTGAACAGAGAACTTATATAATCATATAAGTACACTCACTGGATTAGATTCGTATTAATCTAAAATTAGGCCAATACGAATTCGATATATTTTCTCGTTGCGCGCGCGTCGATCATGCTAATTGCATTTTCTTACTTTCATTTCAACGCTTTAAAGCCATCATGCATCTTCCGCAGCTGTTAAGTCGTTCACACGCAAGTGACAAAACTAGGAGTGTTTCATCGAGAAACCTCGAAAACGCCCTCACAAGAGCTGCGAGTAATTTTCTGTTATCATGCAGTGTCGAAAAGGGTGAAATGTCACTTGATGTGTGAATATACTAAGGTTAGACCACCAGGAGGAATCAATCCGAGAATAAATCATGCATTTATATCATGCATTACTCTAATTAGTATATACCAATAGTATGTACCTCAACCAGCTTCTGCTTGTACACCCGTCTCGTCGTCCATCATCTGATCCTGCGACGATCCTTTATCATCTGATTCTGCGACGATCCTTCATCATCTGATCCTGCGACGATCCTTCATCATCTGATCCTGCGACGATCGTTCATCATCTGATCCTGCGACGATCCTTTATCATCTGATCCTACGACGATCGTTCATCATCTGATCCTTCGACGACCCTTTATCATCTGATCCTGCGACGATCCTCCATTATCTGATTCTGCGACGAAGATACAAAAATATGATATAATTATTTTAACGCCGAGAAATGTAACTTATGTATAAAGCATTCAAAATTATATACCTTCAACATCTCCTACGCCACTCGTCCAAGGCCTTCGCATTGCGCACGCGAATACAAAATGTCATGCATGTTTTGTAGGAAATATTCATCATTTTTTTCATGCTCCAGAGAGAACTAAAACACTCGACTATTATCTCCTTCTTGAAATTTGATTTACCATGCATTTTTATGTTTTAGGTGCTCTGCGAGCGATATTTTTGTTCCGGATAATTTTCTTTCAAAATGGAGAAAATACAAGTGATGGGGCCCCAGATCACTTGCATTTATTCCGCATGCACTTGACACGACCACATTCATGCAAAAACCGCAATCCGAAAAGTTAAAATCAAGGAGGTAAACAGAAGAGTGTTCAGCATATTCTCAGCCAAAAAGCCAAATCCCATGCATATTTTACTCATGCAAATTTATTCGAAATCGAGTTTTGTATTTGCGTGCATAAATGTCGCCCAAGGCAGCTCCGACATCTCTCCACCCCGACGTTTCTTTCTTTCTAAAATAGGAAAACCTCGGTAAAACCAAAAATTCACAGACATATATAAAGTCTAGTTAGACTTGACATGGGCAGCAAAGGACTCATTCTAGTCTCGCCCACTGTGTACAAACGTGTTATTTCAAGTCACAAACACGAAATACATGTATTAATAGAACAATACCTATTATTCGCTGCGAGCAAGCGTTTGTGTTTCGCCTTCCCCATCTTTCGGCGCCGTAGTTCGGTCTGAAATGAAACAAGAAAGGCAAAACAAAATCAAGTTAACGCCTCAACTTGTATTTTACATTTTCAATCGAAATATCACAAGAAGGCAGTGAAAATCTGAAAGAAAATGCTTCCATCGTCAATGTCTTCTGCCTCTGAGTTCTGGCATGCACGTGGTTCTGGCTATTCAAATCAATACGACCACAAATTAATTTGCAAAGTGGCCAAAGGCAAAGACCAAGCCAACACTTGAATTCTTTCAAACATCCATGACATGTACCTGATCAAGATCCTTCCAACTTTTCCCTAAACTTCTTCGAGTTGTCTTGTCCTCTCTCGAAGCTACTAAGTATGAATTCAACGCCAATGGGTTCAACCACCTTTTATTACCTGAAAAACATTCCAACGGGCAATGCAAAATTAAACTATGAAAGCGTAAACTATTGTCAGGTTTATGCATATATTACAGTACTTTGTTCTTTAATGAGCAGTAATAAATCGTGCCATGAATTAGATTTTATTCGATTGTGCATCAGTGCATGTTTGTGCACCTCTGGGCTTAGAAAATTGACCAGGGACCGTTTGGCGTTTGTATCAAACCCGTTAGCTAAACGGTGGATAAGTGAAAATTAAATAACACTCTTACATCAGTCTCTTGAATCAGCCAACTTGAATATTATGCACTGAATATGTGGTTGTAGCCAGTATCTTTGTATTAAGGTCAAAAACATTTAGTTCGTTTGTTGAATAAAACGATAGACCTGCTTTCTATTTTGAACTTATCCACGGTTTAAGATAAACGGGCTTGATACAACCGGCCCCTGGGGCCGTAACCATTTCAATTTCATGACGTTGTTTCAACATGACTAAGAGCTTGAGTTAAATCTTGCAAATGATGTAAAGACATCGTCATAGAGCAATAAGATGAGTCATCTCAATCATGAATATGTTTTGTAAAAGAGACATGGCCAGCCTCGTACCCCCAGGCAGTTTAATAACTATAAATACAGGCACACTACAGGCTTTTAGATAGATCAGTGGCTGGGACATGGCGCAAAATATGTACCATTGTTGTTTCAACGTTGTTTCATCCTCTGGGTACACGGTTAAAAATTGATCAGGTTGTGCCGCACACTGTGAACAGTATTGTTAACAATGTTGTTGAAGCTTGTTGAATCATCAATGTTGTTGCAATCACGATGCAATGTTGTTGTAACAAGTTGCATTGATGATTCAACAAGCTTTAACAACATTGTTAACAATACTGTTCCCAAGGTGCAGCACAAAATTGTTCACTCCTGTTTTTAACAACTTGCATCAACATGATGATTTTTACGCGTGATAGTGCCGGGTACCCACGGGCGAAAAGACGGGCTTTTCCGAGGTACGTGGTTTAGCAAAAGTGCGTTCAGTCAATAAGTCATCAGACCAGCTCAATACTACACGATTTTCTGTATGGAGTCATTTTCTATTCCAATTTCGTGTGCATTCTCCCAATATCCACGCAGCATTCATTTTCTATTAGCCTATACGGACAAAAATTATCTCGAATACAAAGTTCTCTCGAAGATACATACGAAAATTCTTGGAACAATGTTCATTATATAATAATTGCAACAGTATTGGTATTTTAATAAATCATTAGTCATTTTCCTAGCGTAAAACAAAAGACAATTGAAAAAAAAATTCGCGTCCACTGCAGTGTAGGGATCGTTGTTCTCAGCATCTGGTCTCGTACAACCCACTGCGAGAGATATATCTCACCCACTTGATGACGTCATGATCGCTGTAATTGAGTTTGTGTTCAAATACTTTGAGATAACGAACTTTGAGCCCCGAGCAGGCAAATGGAACCTGGTGACAAAAAGATACTGGTGAGGAAGTGAAATTAAATTTAATTCTAACCTAAACCAGCTAAGTTACTCACCTCAAAGTTAAGTGATATTGGTGGTCTTGCCCATTTTTTCCCTTCTTTTGCAGGCATTAGCTCAATCTCTGCACTAATCTGAGATTCCTTCATTCCTGCCATTCGCTTGATCCTAAATATTTTCATTAAAAAACGTGGTTGCTAGTTTAAGTTTCAAACACACAATATTTTTTCTTATATTCCAGCCTGGTCCCACAAAATCCTAACAAGTGAACAAGTGAATTCGGACAAAGGGGAACCCAGATTTGTAGGACAAGTGTACAACAGGTTTTTATATACACAAGAAAACAAATACCAAAATATTTACATACTTCCACACAATGGCATTCTCGCTGGACTTAAACTTCGCTTTTCCCTTCATGCACACAACCTGTACACCTGCTGTTGTTGGAGGTGTTGGTATACGGATCTAAGAATGTGAAACATAAGTAAACATTATGGGAACACCATCAAAATCTTACACAAATACTCCAGTAACGTACCTCAATCTTCTGTCCTAAAACTGAAGGTTTGAAGTTGGATTTAAGAACAACTTTGACTTCCATTCTAGTTTTGCCAACCTCACGAACCAGTGGTATGACCCTGAATGGCAGACTGATGTCCTTTGTAGTACGGTACCTACAGAATAGTAAGTGATGGTCAAACGCATGAAATATACCTCCCTTTATCTGTCTTATAAATTGACACATTACTTTACCTCATCAATTCAAATTCACCATCTGGGGGAACAAAACTGATGCTTCTTTCTGTCTCAAATTTGCTAAGTTTAACACACTATAAAGACAGATATTACTATTTAAACACATACACAATGTCATTCAAACCTAAACTAAACAAGACGCCGTTCTGGCGTTAACTCCGGCGCACGTGCCAGTCTTCAATATAGAGCTTCTGAACATAAACAATACAGTTCGCGTATTGTTTCGCATACATATTCGCATTTAGATGCCTTGCGAACCTAAATGTTCGATCGCGAAATTCAGAAGCACATCGCAGTATAGAAGTTCAATTGTTCAAAAATGTAAATAAACCGCATGATACATTCGCTTCGTCTTACACTTTGCCTTTGGAATTCGCGCTTATATAGTTGTATTAAATCTTCGATCCTGTGCAAACTACGCGACGTGTCAACGCGCCCATACACGACCACATCATCTTGTTAAACGGCGAAATAGCAGCGATATTATTAAATTAGGACCGAGTCTACATGTATTAAATATATTCTTACCCCAATTCAATCTAAACTTAATCGAACAGCATGAAAAGAGCGGTTTATTTGTTCCTCTTGGAGGAATTGCCATATCATGCGAGCGAAATCGAATCGCGCATTGGAAAATTAGCCAAAGCTGTGCACCACAACTCTTGGGAGATAAGACTGGGACGTAGATAAATACGGTCACATACACATTTTAAATACTAGTATATTTCGCGCCATTACAGACTTGCGACGACGAAAAATAATAAAAAATAAAAAAATAAAAAAAACAAAAAAAACAAAACAAAACCGGGGCGAATTTTTAACTCCGTCGCTGACGCCGGAGTAATAAATGACATATTCACTTAATTCTTTTTACCTGATGGAACGTACAGTCATCAATTGCAATCCCACTTTTACTTGTATTTCTAATAAACCAGAATTATATTGTTTAACATAATGATTGTGTTAACATGTTCAACACTTACTGCTCTCACAGTTTATAAACTGTGCTGCTATCTGAACATAATACTTTGAACTTTACAATGACCCTACTCACTTTTTAGAGCTGGTATCAGCAGCTGCTGCAGATTCAGGTGTAGAAGACTTGGCTTGCTTCTCCAACAGTAATTTATCATTCATTCCAAATTTGCATTCAGGCATTCCAGAGAGATAACTCTTCATCACCACCTTGCCACTCACATGAGCACTTAATGTCTGACCTGATAGGAAAAAATGCTTCTTAGAGACATGCTATTGATGCAGCAGAACTACAGAATCTAAACAAATTATTCTACATACCTTGTGGAGACATCAATAAATTGACAGACTCCAAGACATCTAAGAATAGTTCATTACGACGGTATTTAATACCCTCTCGTCTCCAACCGATTTGGCCTGTCACTTGACTTGTGATCTGGGCTTGTTCTTCTCGACTCTGTGTCTTTATGCCTTGCTGTGTAATGAACGTCTTTAAGATGGATGTATCGGTTTTCTGTGGGTACCCATAATCACAAATTTCTGAAATGCATAGTTAAAACACATGTCTCATTAGCAACGGATCCAATAGCCAATAAAAGGTTTGCACTGAAAATCTACATACCATCTAGTAATTCATAAATAAGAACAAAATTATTCTTGATGTTTTCCTCCGTTAGTTTTCCAAAGTAAGACTGCATTACTTCAACCACTTTGAACAGAAATTCAAACACCATGGCAGCATTGACATTCTGCCTGGTAACTGCCGCTATCCACACATTTCCACGTTTTGTATGAAAGAAGCTTGTCCGCGCAATGTTTGTGACAGGGGATCGCACTAAGCCACGAGCATGGATCACATTCACACGGAAGGCATCAATACAATTACGCCTAATTGCGAAAAGGGAAAACAATGTGACATTGACTTGGTATTTGTGACAAGGAGAACTTGCAATGTGACATTAAATTGATATTCTACTTGTTTTTCGGAAAACAAATCAGCACTGGTAAAGAATAAGTTGAATGCTGCAATAATGTAACCAATTCACGATCTATCTTCAATATCAAATAATCGATTTATCATCACCGATTTAATATCAATTTCATCAATCATCATACAAGTTTCTAGTACACTTTTATTAATTGTGCAACTTGACAGGCGAATTTTAAATCATGTACAAGATTAAATGAAACGCATTCAAAAAGGATATTGAACGATCGCACATTTCCACACATCACATATCATAAACACTTCAAACATATGGAATCGCACAATTCGTAGTCACAACTCACAACCTACCCAATATCATCACGGAACACCCGAGAAATCAACACTTCTCCCTTGTGATTGTATACAAAAACACCACCAATCATATCTACAATTCTACCCAACGACGAAGAGATATAAGAAATGCCGTATTCGCGTGTTTACCAGCTAAAATTCATGAAATTCACAACATTTTATCCAGGAAAACGGATAGAAACGACTCCATTAAACACCTTCGAGTGATCACCCAACATGCAGTTCGAGTTGAGGTTTTGCACTTCCACTTGTACATTATAACTTTTCTTCCGGTAAAACTACGGTACAGCACACAAACACTGAATTTTCTGTTGAGATCAATGAGTAACGACCACTCAAAACTTGATATTTATTCAGAATATATTTATTCTTCAAAATAACAAATAATAACTTTTTGCGTGTGTGTGCTATTTTCCAAAAATATGGATAAAAATTGGGACTATCACGTTTAAAATACATTACATTTTTTTTCTAATTTAATGGTGTTCCTCTATCTACACCGAATATATGCAGTTCCAAATAAAGGAATGTGATACGTAATTCTATTTTATTTCTATTCTGTTTACCATCTTCACTTCATTGTGCAAATATCCGGATAATTCTAGCTAATATATAATTGAATTATAGATTCAAGCATTATATTATTTTTAATATTATTTATTTATATATATATATATATTATTTTTAATATTATATTCATTTTCTATTATATCATATCTATAATAAATTTGCACACAGATTAATTTATACATATTATACATTTTATAATATTCACACATAATTAAATATAGTATATACTATTTGGCCCAGAATTGTCAAACTGAACATGATAATATGTTGAACTACGACTCCGAAATCAGAACAGAATAGGCTTTCTATTATAGACCTTTCTTATAAGACGTCAAACGCGGAAAGTCTGATGTTACACGAAATTTGATTGGCTCCACAAAACTATCGAGCCAATCAAACTTCGTGTAACATCAGACTTTCCACGTTTGACGTCATTATGAAAAAGGTCTATTGTAACGTTTCTAGAACGGCCTTCCTCTCAATTCCAAAGGCACAAGGTAAATGCCTCACAATTTCAAGACAGAGGGCTCCCAGACGCAATTTTTAAAAACAGTTACGAACGAACTGTACAAAATTAAGGAGCCTTTTCGCACATAATTCTGAGCCGTTCTGATTACACACTTTATAAAATATATACTATAGAGTAAAGGATAAAAATATTTCTTTATATTATTTCTTTATATATATTATTATTTAAATACATAATTTTATACAATATATCATTACCTTAGGCTCCGAACTTGTTCAGAGATTTTCGCTGCAACTTCTTGTAGGTAATTTGAATAATTTTCTTTCTGTCCAGCAGAGGTTTGCTTTCGTATTTCAATCTCGGCATTGCTTGAATAGTCTCGGCACGGTTCTCCGTTTTTGGCCACCTATGACCAGATACCTCTCAGCTTTCATTGTTTGGACTTCTCGTAAGTCTAAATCGTAAAAGATGAGCCGATTTCAATTAGAAAGCGACGTTTCAGCAAACAACGGTAGCAAGTGGATTAAATTTTAATACACATATATGCCTGTGTGAGAATATCTGTTGTATTTTTCATTGCCCATCCTTACGAGTGCACTTAACTGTTGCTGCATGGTTTTTGAATGAAGACTGAGCATACGATTGTAGCCGAACAGTAGACCAAAAGTGATAGAATTTTAGCAAACTGCATGACATCATCTGTGAAGGTGGCATCAATGCTAGAAGGAAGAACTTACCAAACTCTAACGAAAACTGAGTTTTGCCACTAGATCAACTCTTCTCGTTTTCCTAGCTTTGTCTGTGATTCCATGGGATGGAACACTTGCGACCTGGTCTCTGACACCGAGTATTTGGCTGAGAACATTTTCTCCTGTAAGGTAAACAGGTGGAAAAAGTTTAAAAGCTTGTTGTGATTCATGATTTGGCTTTTCCAAAATTACCAATCATGCAAACCAAACAAAAACCAACAACAAAGTGCCAAAGAAAGTATAGCATGCAAGCAATCCCGATGTTAAAGTTCCTGGTACCGGTTATATTAAACTCTTCAACTACATTTTGCATAGTTAAATACTAGTCAACTGAGAAATAAAAGACTCTGATTGGCCAATTCTGTCCTAACTATACAGTTAAAGTCGACTAGTCTTTTATACAACTGGCCCCTGGTGAATTATACCTTTTGAATTCACATTGCTTCGTTCCAGCATGCCAAAACATCGAGTAGCTCCTTAGATGAAGGTCTTTTATCGGGCTGGGCACTCCAACAGCTCGTCATGAGTTCATGATATTTGTTATCTGGCATATTATCTGGGCTAAGTTTCGGTCTCAAACCCTTTGATACGACGCCGAATATAACTACATGTTGATTTTTGCCTCTGTATGGTATATCCCTGGTCCAAAATTGCCACAAACAGATTGCCATTGAGTAGATATCGGCCTTGCAACTAGCTGACTGTCCCCGCAACAGCTCCGGTGCTCTGTAAGCGAAGGTGCCAGTAAGATATGATCTAGTTGGACTCACAGGCATATCTTCAACCACTTCACAACAACCAAAATCACCTAACTTGCAAACATTCTGTCGTAAGAAAAAATTATGGTAAGGTCTTGTTGCATTACCTGCATTACAGATCTGGAGACCTTATGCATAAACATGGTTAAACTCTATTTTGGACAACCTTATGAACTGAATAATCAAGAAAGGAAAAGCAAAATATCTTTCTTTAATACATGCAAAACGTATACTGTAGAGTCTTTGAAAGCTTCAACACGAAAATAAGACTCGCACGTCGTAACTCAATTGGCCTCATTTTTATGCAATTAGCTTATACTTTCAAAAATAACACGTATGGGATATGATTTCTTTCATTTTTTGAGCTTGTTTTGAGGAAGACAGTTCTGCATCAGCGCTTTGAAATCATAACCATGCATATATTCTACCAACCTTACCTTTTTTGTAACAAGCACATTGACTGGCTTCAAATCCAAATGGGCAACATTTTGTTCGTGAATATATTCCAAAGCACTCACTATTTCGTAGGCGAAACGAATCCTTCTTGGTTCATCGACGAGTTCCTCGGGGTCGTCCAACAAATGCTGAAGCGTTTTGTTCTCAATGTACTCCATTATTAAAAAGGGTGAATCCTCGATGGTCATTGCTTGCGAAACGAACAGAGTTCTCACGATGTTCGGGTGGCAAAAGTTTATCACTTCGGGGCGAGTTTCAGAACGAAAACTCTGCATCGCTGCCTTTTTGTTCTTGGTGTTCGTGTGAAGTTGCTTTAAAGCCACTGTCTCACCTTTATAGCTAGCTTCGTAGACCGTCCCAAAACCGCCTGAACCTAGCATACGGCCGATTTTTAAATCGCTCACACATGCGTATTCGACTTCGGGCATTTTCAATATTGTCGTTTTTGTGATAAACGGTACTGCCGAGCATTGATAGATTAAAATTCTACACACGCGAAGTGTATTTAGAAAAGAATATGGTTAAAAAAATGCAAAACGCACACACAAATGTACACAGATTATAAAGGTCTTGCTTGGTTCGCCGTTAAAGCGGAATGATGAAGACTTTGTCGTGGGTGAACGCTTAGAAGTTATTGCAAAATTTCGAATTGAATGCCGTAATTGTTGAAAGATCGTAAAACGTTTCCTTGTGGAGCCTTCCGGCATCCTGAAACGATCGCTGGCATGAGTGGACAATGGAGCAAAATGATTTAAAAACAATAAAAATTAAACGGTATTGGTTCTTGCATGAATAGAGCATTTGTTGAAGCTAATGATATGCACATGCAGCACAATGGAAATTTTAAACAAAAGCAGTCAAATGGATTTACTAATCTTACTGCTGATTGCAGATTTGCATATGAAGAACATCCGTTTTCTGACTTTGTCAAAACTTGTTTCTACATTTATTTATCTCTAACGATATCTCTAATGAAAAATATTAATTTAAATGCCCTTCTAATATTATATAAATTATATTTTGATCGCACCGAGGTAGCGAATGACTTTGCAATCTTCCTATAGCGTTGTTCAGCCTTTGGTACTGTGTTTGAATGCAATGCAGCTAAAAATACAGTCCGTTCTCGCAATCAGCATTACAGATAAAGACGTAGTTATTTCCCGCCTCACCAAACCTGAACGTTCAGTTTAATTCTTATCCAAATTTCCCGCCAAAGTCGAGAGCTTCGCCATTTCTGAATGAAGAGACTGGATCTTGTCAGGAACGTAGTGTAAGCGATTCTGAAAGAGAACAAAAGAGGCATGACAGCCTTCATAGAGAATCGTCATATACGAAAATATCGAGTTAGAAACGAGAAGGAAACCAGTAAACCAATAAACTTTGTTATCATATAAGTTTGAGCAATCAATCAAACGTTACCACTCGTTACCACTCTTCCTCAAATCGCGACAAAGGAATGCTCATTCCAGTCTAATTTCCGATCAGTCCTCCTTACCTTCAATGTATCCTCGACCACGGGGAGAACGGTGTCCAGGATAAACGTGGCGTTTTCGAAGATAAAATCAGCCTGAAAAGAAAGACGAATTGAATCTCATTCATATACGGTAGGGGGAAGTTTTTTTCATATTTCTCCAGAATAAAAATATTTACATCCGAGTCACCCAGTGTATATTACCTGTTTTATGTTGTGCCCAGATTTGATCTTTGAGCGAAACAACGAAACCTGGGTCTCGAATAAATTGTGAAGGCAATGAATGATGTCATGATGAAGCTGAATACCAAAGAACATAATTTCGTTAGAAGCAAATCACAGTGCAAATTGCATCGTATGAGATATCACACACGCATATACTCACGTCTGATGAGTAAAGTTGAAGGCAGTCGTACAGAAAGCCACAGGCGCTTTTGATAAATGTGATCGTCGAGTTGCTAAGTCGAACGGATCTTTGTTCCGCTTCTATAGAACCAAAAGCAATGCATGATTGCATTGTTATAAATAATAATTGCTTATTATCTCGGATTAATAAATTACACAATTTCGAAGTTAAAAGATTTACTTACGGAAAACGACGACTGTATTAAAAGTAACAATGCCCATGCTTTCCATTTCGTAAATTAACGCATCCAGCTCATCGTGTCTGTATGTGTAGTCAACCGCCTGCCACTGCTCTTCCTAGAAATAATATATTGTATATGGATAGTTGGGGTTGAAGGATACACACTACCACCTAAATGATACTCACTATCACCTAAAGGATACTCGCTATCCCTTAAAGGATGCTCACTATCACCTAAAGATACTTATTACTACCTAAATGATACTCACTATCACCTAAAGGATACTCATTACTACCTAAATAATACTCACTATCACCTAAAGGATACTCGCTACCCCCTAAATGATACTCACTATCACCTAAAGAATACTCGCTATCCCTTAAAGGATGCTCACTATCACCTAAAGGATACTTATTACTACCTAAATAATACTCACTATCACCTAAAGGATACTCGCTATCCCCTAAATGATGCTCACTATCACCTAAAGGATACTCGTTACTACCTAAATGATACTCACTATCACCTAAAGGATACTCGCTATCCCCTAAATGATGCTCACTATCACCTAAAGGATACTCGTTACTACCTAAATGATACTCACTATCACCTAAAGGATACTCATTACAACCTAAATGATACTTATTACCACCTAAAGAATACTCACTATCACCTTCATGAACATCCATCACCATGCACACTGACCAACAACAATGTATCTTGATGTATGATACTCACCACCACCCTGTGTTTTATGGCCTCCACATGATGACGATGACTTTCATAAATGGCGTCTTTGATATTCTCCATCAGCATCTTCTTCATCGAAAATGTCAAATCTAGACCGTTCTCTTGAAGCTTAATGGATAAGAAAGGAGAAAGTCTTGATGCGGCTTCCAAATCATACGTACAATGACGTCAACTACACTTACCTTGTTGCAATGTCGCGTCGCAATCCCAACACAGATACCAATAGCAGACAACGTAATATCACAATGAAATACTTGTCGCGATAGCTTTGATACAAAATACTCCAGTTCGTCGTTCGCCCACACAATAAACGCTGAGTTAAAATGAAGAATGATTCATATCATGGATATTTTTAAGGCACTACACTACACTACACCGCACCACACTAAACGTATGAATTGTCATATGGAACGAAACTTCAGTCAATATTTCTATTGGCTTTAGCACACTGTTACCGTATTACCAAAGGAAAGCAACGGATTTTATGGTCTCAAGTCACACTGAATGTGATTGAACAAAGGAGACAATTTTCTTTAAAGCTTTGTTGAAAAGGGAATACAAAAACTTCAGGGGTATAAAAGACTTGTTAACTTTCAACTATAGTTCAGGACAGAATTTGCCAATCAGAGTGTCATGTAGGTTAACTAGGATTTAACTATGCAAAATGTAGTTAAAGAGTTTTACACAACCGGCCCCAGGAGGGTTTTTCGCAGACCTGATTTGAATCCTTTGCACTCCGAGAACAGTTTGCAGAATTCCTTATGACATTCTACAAGGCTCGTGAAGAACACGTTGCTTAGCTTCGTGATGTAAAGTGCCGTGGCTCCCTCTATCTTCAGATGTCTAAATATTCAGATGATTGAGCTGATACTTTCCACCGCAATATAACAGACAAACATACTTCGAAGAAAGACAAAATTACCTAAAACTCTGTTTCATTGCCTCGCTCCTATTTCGAAGAAACAACGTACAAGCCTAAAGAAAGTTGCAGAAATTAGTTGCAGATAAAATATCATAAAAGTTATGCACTCATTTTGTAGCACTTTAATAACTTTATATATAGGGTGTCCAAAAAAAAAAGCAACCACTTAAATATGCAGAACATTAATACAGCTCTAAAGCGCAATAGATAAGCACCTCTGGAAATTGAAAATGGCTCTTAATCCTTCATTTACAATGCTAAAAGTCATTTTAGCTGAACTATGGTGCAAACCCGAACAATATTAATATTCTTGCATATTTAAGTGGTTGAGTGAGTTTTTTTTGGGACACCCTGTATAGGAATTGCCTTTCTTTTTTTGAAGTAAAAAAAAATCAATCTTCCTTACTAACCTGATGGGCTTTCCCAAGTTTATTAAGTAGTAAAACTGCTCTCCTACTCGACTGCGGTCCACCATGCAGTAATATGCTCTGATTTGCCTCTAATTCCGTCATTAACGCCTCTGATAATAACTTCACCCGGTGGTCAACTCGACTTCTGTGATCGGAAGGAACAAGTTACGGTGTGATTACTGTAATATTAATATCGTTTAGTAGACAGGAACAAACAATCGAACCAAATAAAAAGAAGACGAGCAAACAAAGCGACAAACAAGAGAACAAAGAAACAAACAAACAAATGAAAAGAAAACCAAACATTTCCATGTCTTTAAATATAGTTCATAGTGAAACAATTTTACTTACCTGACTTCATTTAAAGCGTGGGAACTTGGGGAATCTTTTAAATAATCATTGACTAGAAATACAGCAACACGATATACCCATTCAGCATGGAACGCTTCAATTCCTACAGCAGAAAAACTACAAATCATTTTACCTTTCTCGATGAGAGTCATGGCTCCTTCAAAATCTCTCTGTGCAATACACACATCCAAGTCGTCAGGAATATCGCGAAGCCATTCAACAGCTAAAAGATCGCTCTGGAAAAGTTCAAATTTTGAAACTCAAAGACCCGTTGCGAACGACGTTCTAACTACGAATCATTGTTTCCTTGTATTTCAAGAAAAACCAACCTTTGATAAAACAGTATGTGTGCTGCTCTCATTCGTAAATATGCTATCATTGTCGTCTTCATCTAGAGGTGGTAATAAGCCAATTTCCTGGTAATTTTGCATGGTATATTTCATTTGCATGTTACATTCACTGTACAATTAGCTCTCACCTGACTCATAAAATGGGTTCTTATCTTTGTCATAATGTTCTTGTGTCATTTGACTTTGTGCAGAAACTTCTTTTTGCAATTGAAGTTTGAAACGTTGACGTGTCTCCTCCAGCATTGACAGCCACTTCGCCTAAAATTAAAAGATTGTTTTTCATTGTTTTTGTTGTTTCATAAAGTCCGCTTCAAAAGCCCTGGTCCAACAAAAATCTTAGAAACTTGGGAGTTTGCATGACTTAACAGCACAGTCATCAGCCATCATCAACTAAACTAATGAAAGAGATGCTTTCACAAAACTCAGCAAACTGGTGCATAAGTTAGTTGTAAATTGCATTGAAACCATTAATGCTTTCCCTTACTGATGAGCTAAAGCCTAAAAGCCATATGCTTCACAAGTTTACCTTAGTCTCTGAGTCCTCAGCTTGGAATGTGACTGTTTCACCAGTAGGAAAATTCATGATTCTGAAGGCATCTCTCAATCCTAAGTCACAAACAAATGATTATCACCTGTCTTTTGGCATCATTACACAGGGTTGTTGACCAAAAGAGCATGCAGCCTTTTGAGATTTGCAAGTATAAGGCCTTAACCACCTTACCTTCCATATCATGGACATTCACCACCCCAACGTTATCAACCTCGAAAACTGACTTCAGTTTAAAACGGCCTGGCCCAAGCCTGGATAGAGATATCCCATTGAGCACACAGAAGTGAAAATAATGAGGTGAAACCACAACAGGGCACAATAAAAAGGATGACATACTTATTGCTAACAAACATTGTTATGACCAGAAAATCGTCCAGTAAAAATCCTTTCACTCGCTCTACAGCTCCCAAGGAATCCTGGTCTATTTCAAGCAAGTCACCTTCCATCAGACAGTGGTGATCATGAACATCCATTACACTCTGAAAATAGAAATACCCCCAATTAATGTGTGAAAGTACTGAGCAAGCCAAGTTATACATGACTGATATACAATTCCATTATATATAGGTTTTTAACTGATCATTAGGGGACTTACAGAAAGGCCATCTATGTTTTCAAGAAGGGACATAGTTTCATTGTAACTATCACTTTCTGAGGGCGGACCTCCATCACTAATATCCATTGATACTGATGACTCTATGCCAAAAAGACAAATCATAGTAAATGCCAAATATATTCAAGAAAATTAAGGATGTACATACAGAGCTTTAAGTAGCCAAAAGTCATTGATAATTTTGCTATATAGTAATGGAATTTGTGTGTTAATATGAGAAAAACTTTAGTAACACATATTTCTTATAGCCAAATTCAAGAGACTTACCTGATCTACCAAACAAGGACATCTCAAGTTGGGTTGATAGATTAGATTTCTGATCTGTTAACAAATGACTCAACTGATACATCTCTGCTTCTAAATCTGTATTTGATTGTCAAGGAAATCCATCATCACCATTTGCATTGTTAGTACATTTTATGATATTCTCAATCCATAACGACCTTCAAATGAAAAGAGATCTTCTGCTCCCCCCCTGATCCTCCTAGTATGGGGCAAGGAGGGCAGCTATTCACCCACCCCCCCCAGTTCTGTTATTGCTGATTTTAATCTTGCATTTGACAGTAAGGCTACTACAAGGCTTCTTTCTAAAATGATACAAGAAATCTCTCTGGATGTTTCAATGAACTGTTGATAATTTCTATAAACATTTCTCTTCAGTGTTGCTGCAGTTTCCTCATTCAACGTCTTGATCTTTTTCTGTTGTTCTTTCAATTCTGCATGAGTGTTACAGTTCCCACACATATCTTTTACATCTACAACATCAATAGCATAGGTATTCTATAGTGTACAATACATCTTCTGGGGCAATTATACAGGGTGTATCAAATACCTTCATAATTCCCAGGGACCTACAATCTTTTGCAATTGAATAGAAGCAAATATATATGAATACTAAGTGGTTGCAGTTTTTTTTATACATCCCATAGAATACCTGGCCAACCCAACTCTTAACAGTGAATGCCTTATAATCTTATAGATATCTGTATCTTGTTTTACGTTACTTAATGCAGGAATTAGACTTTCAACGGGGCAGTTCTATAAATTGATCCTCTAACAAATCATTAACATAATGCAATATTGGCCTGGTATTCTATAACTGTACCAGACTAAATTTACAGATCAATTCTAGGCTAGCAACCTGGAGTCCTGGACAGACGATGCATGGGTGAATCAAAATATTGCCTTTAAATAACAATTTAATTAACAGATCTTGTCGTTTTATAAACATTCAAGTAGTTGCACGATCTGTAAAGATTTGCATTACTTGTACATCTCTTCGAGGAAAACAAATCTAAAAAGATACAATGCTTTAATAGTATATGTCAAATAACTTGTACCATACTTACACTTATCAGGATCAAAATCCTCCTTCGACATTTTCAGGGCCAACACAGGCGACGAAATCAAGTCCATTTTAGCCATTTTCAAATATCAACAACCACCAAAGGATAGTATGATTACTTAGTTTAACGATCAAACCATTTAGTGAAAGAATGAAAGTTTGCTTTTGGAAAAATATGTCATTTTCCAAACATAAATTTTAGAGAAAATCAGAAAAATTCATCAACTTTAAATGTTTCCGGGTGCTAGGCTGTCAGCGGTAATAGTAATTACTATACTTTGTGTAAACAATATGCAAAAAATCGCCAATAAGATTAAATTCCCAGAAGTGAAAGAAGTCAAAGAATGTCGTTTCGACCGGAAATTTCCTACTAACATAATAGAAATAAATAAACGAATCAAACTTGGTTTAATTGTTTTTTCACAATTATTTACTTTTCCAATTTTTTTCATTGATCTCAACATAGACAATCCAGAAGATAAGATGTCTTCTGGATTGTCTATGATCCCAAATAAAGAGGTCTTCCTACACACTCCTTATGACTTATATGCTGCTTGACATTCGTTGTTAATATTAAAACAAAAATGTATTTTAGTTTGGCAGCATTTAATGAGCGCGGTGTAGTTGAGAAGACGGCAATATTGATAATGAAATATGACTCCAATTATTAGTTTCGGAATCACTGATTTGGACATGCGCTAGAGTGGGAAGTCAAAACTCAAAAACGAGAGCAAAACACTATTCGTACACATTTTGCCAGCATATAAATACGACTGAGCTGATTTATTTTGTGCTTTCCAGTCGAAACGTATTAAATATGCGACCGATTCTTTGTATTTACTGGAACAATATTTGGTTGTCATGACTTTATACTATATTAGGGACTAGGACTAAGTCCGCTAAAGGAGGCAACCTTGCGTTATATTGCAGGTTAAAGCTAAAATAGGTGTATAAGAAGTAGAATGCAACATAGCTGAAGATTGTTCATCGCTATCTTTGTGTACAATTACGAAATATGCATCATTATTTGTCATAAAAACTACCCATACTTTTCCCCAGTTTTGGTGACACAAGTTTTGAAAAGCTTGTTGAAGAAAGTTGATTAAAAAGATAACGATTTAATGCGAAGCTGGTTGGTACTTTTTCAATTGAAATAACGCGAATATGGGCGACCAGAGGCCGCCAAACACTTCAGAGAACGACGAACACATATATCTGGACGTAGTTCACATTGCCTCGCGCCCTCCGTCGAAACGGTCACTGTTTCCGAGTACAGAAGAATCACAAGAGAAGCCACCAGCCGAAAATGTGGCACCGAAGAAAGAGGGCAAAAGATCGAGCGGTATCCAAATATACATTCTTTACTTCACGATAATATTACTGGTTCTTGCTTGCTTGGCTTTGGGTGCACTTTATGTGATTGAAAGACGGCAAAGTGCTATGCTCGCATCAGAAAAAAGAAATACATCAGAAAAAAGAAATACCACAGTCGCAACTCCAGTACAACCAAATTGTAAACCAAATGTCTGTCCAGGTAAGAACAGGTCTTATCTCATAAACTTTAACCTATTGTTTGCGAAACGACATATTATTCTCACCTTCCAAACTAATACCGTAGGTAAACGAAGCTATAATAAATTATTTTGTGATTTTTTGTCCAGCCCAGCTTTAGTGACTAATCAGGAAGGCCGTTCGATTTTATATGCATGTCGAGTTCTTTAGAAACCATATCTAGGGCATGCGCAGCTCAAAAACATTGATTTAACCGTGTTATCTCGACGGTTTAGGCCAACTATGTTGCTTTTTCGTGAATAGTCTGAGAATGATTTCGTCTGGAAAATGCGAGAACCCTCATGGTTCCTGTCCGCCACAAAATGCAATCGTTTCCTTGTTCGCTAATTAACCTCATGAAACATTACCATATAAACATTGTATAAATATAAATATAATATATATTCGACTCTTAATAATGTCACTAAATCAATTTCTGCGTTATTTCTACTGTACATAGAAACAGCGGACGAGAACCTGGATTGTGTTTCCATGAAATTGGAGCTGCTGAGAAGGGAGACGATTTACAATAACAACTGCAAGACACAACTTGGTGAAGTTGGAAACACTACTCCGAAGCAATGTACGTTGCCATTTCAAAACTCTCTCTGCCTATTTGCCCCAAACTTATCTTACTTCACTTGACGATTTTGAATTAGAATTTGAACTACTGCATGCAGCTAAGTAATACGTCGTTTATTTATTTATTTATTTATTTATAAACTTGGTCGTTTAGACGAGTTCACCACAATTCCAACCGTAAGAGTTTCCACTGAAACAATACACTGGGGTAGACATCCTGCCTAGCTCATTCACGTTGTTGTGCATCGACAAGCTACAATACGTGTGCACTTCTTTTTAAGGTACTGCAGAAGCCTTGCAGTTCCAGTCCCCCTCGGGTGCTGTGACGTCACATGGTTCCTTGGCGATGGCGTCAGCAACTGTGTGTTTCTGGTGCAAGTCATCGCAAGGAGTGCTCCACCATATCACATACGACGAGCCATCTAGTAAAGGTGGCTTTAGTATTCTCGAAGAAAAATCAATGCAAAGGTGAGATTGTCTCTCAGCTCGTCGAGTTTCTGTATATTTGAATATCAGTTATATCACGCCATTAATTTTTTTTACATTTTCGTTCAATTATAACACAGTTCCTCTGATACAAACTGGCATTCGTTCTGCTGGATCTGGTCCACTGGTGAAGAATTTTATCGATTTTACAAAGACGGGAAACTTCTCAAAAGCAGGGAGATTAATCGGGAGCGAAGAATGACCGCTGGCGGAACCTGGAAACTAAGGCTAAAATTGGATACATCAGGTGCTCGAAATGCTGGCGGAGGAGGAACGACGCCGAAGCAGTACGGGGAAATAACGTCGGTCAACGTTTGGAATCGAGTTTTGCGCAAAAATGAGCTTGAGAGAATTATGACTAGCAGTTGTGCATCAATGTACAAAGGCAACGTAAAATCCTGGAATGACTTCAAATCTGCCGCTAAAACAAATGTTAAACTTGTAAAATCGACCTGTTGCAAATAGATGTATGAAGCCCCTCTTTTTGTTCATGGATTACCTTATACCAGCCGACAATTCCTCTGCAACATAATTCAAAGATTAGCGTCTTTGAACCCGAAAACTTATTATTGTCTTGTTTAGACAAATATTCTAGGTTTTAAAACGACAATCTTCGAATTATGAAAGAAGCACAGGCAGTTTTGAAGAAATCTCTGAAAACATTTCATTTAATTTTGACTTGTAATTTAATTTTTAATTCATAGCCATATAAGACACTGCATTGTAATTTATCAAAATATTGGATGCTTGACACAAATTTTAAATGTTTTGCATCCTGAACGCAAATACAATTATATCGTTTTCACTTTCTACTGCAAACTATTTGACACGCGGTACAACCAACAAATGTAAAAAAATTCTTGTTGAACCGGTAAACATATTTCCACCTAGGTAATTTTGTGAGTTTTTTACTTGTTTTCCTCTTTACTTGGACGACTTTGACTAGTTTTGTACTTCAAATTGATAGACTATCACAAACTACGTGACCATCGTGTTTTGACATATTTGCTGATGAGGAAAACTAAAATGTTAAAATTTTTGTATTGAAATTAAACAAATTTAACAAACGAAATCTTTGACTTTTATATATTAGTTGTACCATCGAGAATTTTAGGCAAATGCATCATCGGTCTAATTTTAAGACTAGGTGAAACGCTAGTACTATAGTTGCCAAAGTCATTTTGATGGAATTTTAGCAATAAACGGCGTGAGGGCGACGACAAAAGCACTACACAGTTAAATACAAAATTTAAGAAGAAACCTAGCATGTCAATAAAAGTGCAATTGATCCATCATTCCATCAAATATAAACACTAAATGACTTGCAGTATACATGTCCGTCGTAGTTTAAAAATTCAGAATTGTACCCAGGAGCCATCTTGTGTTGGCCTGTAACGAATTGGGAGAAAGATTTATTAGTTTATATGATGATACTTGTGGTATCAATTGATAGCCACCTGGTTGTAAACTGGCAGATTTTCCGAGAAGAGCTCTTCTCAAGAAAATTTTATATCTCTTGAATATAAAATGAGCAAGAAAATAGTTTGGGTTTGGACAGTGTAAATTTGTATCCTGTACAATAAGTACTCAAGAAGTTCTATACAAAATATTATCACTAACTGTTGTGATGAAGCTCTTGCCGTTGTGAAGTCCCCCCAATCTGAGGGCGGGTTGGATACTGCAACATTTGTCGGCGGTGTGGGTTGGAAAGATGGGGCATCTGTGCTCGGAGGCACCACTGGTCTGGAGCCAGCTCCAGGAGAGGGTCCTGCAAGTCTGGGTATAGCACCACCACCACCAGGGGGAGGGGGGAGGATACCAAAATTACCACTTCCTAGAGTCAAACAAAAAATTCTAATTTTCTCCTCAAAGAGACTTTTTAGACTTACACTTTAAGATGAGAAATACCAAAATACAGTACCTTCCACTTTTGGTTTGTTGGCCTGTGTGGTAGAAGCCTTTTTCTGAGAAACACATTGAAAAAAAAATTAGAAATTAGAATTTATCATGATATAAAACTCTTAAATGACAATATCTCTAGATTCTGCATTGCGCATTGTAGGAAGTCCAAACAACCTACCCCAAAGTTTATTCTAATAGTTTGACCTTCTTTAAAACCTAAATCTAATTTTGGAGAATTGTCTGTTTGCACATTCTCTTGTTCCTGTTCTTGTTTAAGTCGTCTGGAAATACATGAAATTATGTCATTTCTTCTTCAATGTTTGCCGCACATTAATGATACTTCTTCTTCCAGTTTAAATAAACAAACTTACTTAAAGTGATCTTGAAGTGAGACATTGAAATCAAATGAATCTCCTCTGTCTTGAAATCCCATGCCAATAAATGCATGACGACCTAAAGACATTCATTGTTATCAATTACACTCAAACTCCCCAATTTTTACCATTAGCTGGTAATCCATGCACATGGGTCCACAAAGTGGTACTTTTGTGTTGGGCAATATCATACCCAGGGACAGATCTAGAAGCTTAATTGGGGGGGGTGCATATTCATATATTCATCTAGGGCCTGTTAAGCGCTAAAGAAATAACTTTGTACAAAGGAATAATAAGGATGACATCTAGATAATAATACCCACCACTGTCATCTTTAATTCTTAATACAAAGTATCTACTGCTATCTGTCACAGATTCCACAGCAATGCCAGGATGTGCATCTACAGGACACTTGGCAAAAAGTTCACCTGAATGGAATAAAACAGGTTTTTTAGCAAATAAAAATCCAATGTTTGGTTTGGGCATCATTCTCACTAAACCAAAGTTAATCCTATTAAATATTAATTTAAACATGTATCAAGCATTCTTTACCATTTGAATTATCTTCTAGTTTAACATACAGCTCACTTCCTTTCGAACATACTCTCATGCGGCCTGTCCAGTCGGGTTGGTCTAACTTCCAGTCAGCAGCTCTGCAAATTTTATATTTTATGAACATGAATATAGCTAGCGTTGTCTGCTTGGCCCAAGACAATTACTTTCGATTATAACTCTTCTAATTCCCATTGACACAATCAATGCAATTTATCTATCTATTATTTTTAATCAGTAAATATCAAATATGTAAATTAGTATGACATATTACAATGCCACAATGGCAATTATTATTAATCAAAGTAGCCATAAACCAAACTCTCTCGATGAATGGTAACGTAATCTAAGTAACTCATTCGCCGAATATTACTGTCTAATTGTCCGCCTAGGTACAGTATAGAAATTATAGAAAATGTGTTACAAATTAATGAAATTATAAACATAGAAATAACCAGTCATAGGGCCATAGCGAAAGAACGTCAAGATCTTGCCTAAAGATAACAATGTGATTAACACTGAAAAATTTTCAACATACCTATAGCCTCTATTTGTGGTTCTCGGTGGAATACGAAAGACGAAGACTTCGTTTTTTACACATAAAATTCTTTCGTAATCATTACTATCGGCCATTTTGTTAGCATTGCTTCCGTCCACGAACGAATCTCGAAAAAAAACACGCGATACATTTCCCACGCGAGTGAGCTCAATACAAAGGCAGGAAGCTGGAGTGGAGTCGGTCGTCATTTGCAACATATTCCTGACCAGAGTTGGTAGATTTGCAAATATTTGAGGATAAATTGTCATTAGTGCTATCAAGAAAAGAAAGAAAACAAAAGGCAAAGAAAAGAAAGAAAACAAAAGGCAAAGACAAGACCAAGAAAACAAAGAACTAGTGTGATCTTGTTTGGCCTGAAATATGCAATCAGCTATTCACTGTCTCTGCACATATTTTTTTGAGTTTTTATTTAAAAAACATTTATTTACAAATAATGCTACATACAAATGCAAAATTTATAGACAACATACTATAAATTATAAAAGTTTATATAAGCTTATAGCAAAATATATTCTTGTAGTTATAAGAGAGATTATTACAAAATTCTAAAACAAATTCAACATTTTACCCTGATAGCAGTTTTGGGGACATATTAGTCATCGGATTGGAAAGCATGCATAGTACTCTCCATATATGTACATAATATTTTCTGATTATCCTGTTCTTTACACTGTTTTCATCTGACATGCTTAAAAATCTGGATCAGAATAATCATCGTCTGAATCCCATCCTGAAACATTCTTTCCATTCTCAAAGTCGACTTCCACTTCATATTGAAATCCCTCATCTCCAGGCCTTACACGATGTTTCTCAAATACTTGGTCCATTTCAGCCTTCTTTTTATTAAGTTCAGTGTCATTGAGTTTATTCAAGTCTTCGCCATCTGCATTTGAAACTACTTCATCCTTATCCTTTTTATGTGGGAAATTTTCTTGAATCTTTGATAATAATCTATGAATCTAATGTGAAATAAACAGTGTGATAGTATCCAGTATTGTCCTATTGATTGTTCAGTGGCAGGATTACAGAAAGTTTGATTGGTTAAAAACACAAGTGGAACATTCAGTCATGGAATGTTTTCATCAATTTCCTGCAACTGGCTACAAGTTTATGTTATGTCAAGCTCTTAGACATACCTGTTCTGCAGGGATTTTCTCAAGATAACGCTTGTGTTTTCCAGATTTTAAATCTGTCACAGCCTCATCCAAACTACAGCCATAATTTGAATACAAATATACAAATTAGCAAACTTGAAACTTTACACAACTTCACAAACTTTACATGTGAACAGAAGTTTAGTTGAGTAATTTAGCTTGTAGGCACACCACGTACTATAAAGTAACACACGTAGTACTTTATACGTGGTAGTACTTGCGTGGTGTACCTGCAAGCTAAATTACTTATTGACTGTCAGCATGCAAACATACAAGAATATTGTTATAGAAGTTTAGTTGACGACTTACTTGCTTTTCTCTGAAAAATTTCGAAGGGGCATCGATCGTCGATGAACTTTACCTTGAGACAATATTTATATAAATGATATTGTGCTTCTATTTGCTTCAAATTTATAGTATAAAAGTTTGCAGTGAAATTTCCAAATTGGGAAATGTGTGTATGTACAGGACTGACAGGACTTACCTGTTGCGTTCATTACGTAGTACAAAACGAGTGAAGGCGGTTCAAATTTAACTCCACACTGACGAGGGGTATACATTTAGAAATCATATAAACCAACAAACAATTTTCCTTCAAAGTTTTATAATACTACAACAACTTCCTTTCACACCTTCACACTTTGTCTGTATGGAATTACACCGATCACTGATCTCTATATGGTTTGTGTTTCATCGTCATGTTTTGAAAACAGAGATGTGTCACCTTAACAAAGATAGCCGATAACACTCACTCAGTCTCACTGACTCGATCTGAATTCAAAATCATTTTTTTCAGTCTGGAGAAAATCACCCTATCAGATTTTCGCTTACACGTCTAATGATGCTGACTGTAATGTATGAATAAAAAACAAGAAACTTTACAACAGGAGTCAACCAGGCTAGTACTGTGAGTCAACTAATTTTCGGTATCGGGAAAAATCGGAACGCGATCGGTAAGTATCGATAATCGAGCGATTTAGGACATTGAATGTCTTTCTAGCCAATCATAGTTCACTAAATCAGCCAATCACAAAATTTATCGATCGTATGTAGAAATAGGAATAGTATAATCCCAGAATAGAGCAACTCCATACTGATTATGTGTATATTATGTGGTTCGATTCCTGTCGGAAGACCTATAGTTGACTCATTTTTCATCAACTGTTCCTGGCTTGACTTGAGTGTATGTAATTCCTTCGAAATTAAGACCCTTTAAACCTCTAAAATTTATGTGCATATTCATTTCAAAAAAAGTGCGTCGCGTGCAGAACATACGATAACGGATATGCACCTCCCAAATTATCGCCCTCAATTTAATAGTCTATTAGGACTATCTGTCAGAGATCTAAGCTCGCTTTTGGAATTACAGATTTCCGTAGATCAGTGCAGGCATATAGACATAGGCGTACGGGGCAGGGGGCACTTGCCGCCCCCAAAATTTCGAAAATCAAGACATTCGGGCAAAGTTTAGTCGAAAATTCGGGTAAACTGAAAAAGAGTAACATAAAGGTACCTTTTTATTTAGATTTATCTAAACTGAACCAGTTATCAAGATGAACGTGAAGAAAAGATGAAATAGAAATGTTTTTTACTAGTCTTAAAATCTCTGACCTCACAACTTATCGCATTTTAATAATGTTTTGTATTAGTGCAACAATATATGTACTCAGTGGCTTCTGAATGATTTTTTATGTAATCTTCGCACCAGTAATCCTGTGATTCATCTTTTCATAAGACATAACGGAACCCTTATCGATATTGCACGACTATTTTGGCGACAGGATTCCTGACCACAGCATCTCATTTAAATCTATTTTCATCTATTTGAGGTATTTTCAAGCCCACCCACAAACTGAGAAATCAATTAGTTCATTGAAATGAACACATACTTGGTCACGGAATTTGCCACAAAGAACGGTTTGAAAGTGATTTGCGAAAAATGCCGCCTCATTCAGATCGATACCTATCAATGTGTGCCGGCCCGATTATTCAGTTAAATTCATTCCCTGTTTTTACCAAAAACTTACTCAATCAGCACAATCACGTACACAAACTAAAAACATGACGGAATTCGATGTTTCTACGAAGCGCCTTTCTTCTCTTATGTATTGCACGTACAAATCAATGAAATCATTGAAATCAAAGATTGTTTTCATTTTCAATGTAGATGTTTGCTACGTCTTTGTCAGGCTGACGTAAAAAACACTTATGGCACTTAATGCTGGCATGGACTAATCAGCCAGCGAGACGACAGCAGCGGTTATTGACAGGGAACATGAACTAAACAAATACTGGCCTAAATTGGATTTGCTGCAAAATGGATTTGCGTAGATCAGTTGTAGGTAAAGGGGAAATGTATCCAGGATTGCAGCAAAAATTGGAAGTAAAGCGAAGTGCTCTCGCTGTGTGCTATGAAATGAAATTTACCTGCTATCACGATACAGAGTTTTTCTTTAAAACTCCCAGGTGATAATATATATATATATATATATATATATATATATATATATAATATATATATATATATATATATGTACATATTATATGAAACACAGCAAGACCAAAGGAAAAGAGAAAACTGAGAAAAATTTAGGATTATTTTGAGCCGGAAAATATTATGAGTTTGGCTAATATGGAATTGTAGATAAGCGTAAAAGATTTTGGTCAATTTTGATAAATGAGAACATAAGATCGGATATGTGGAGGTGACCTGTTCCAAACACATGCCTCAGAAGACAAATATTCATCACAGATCTTGTGGAGTGAAGAAGAAGCTGGATGTGTAATGGTTTATAGACAAAGAAAAACAGAAAAACAAGAAGATAATCAAGATATATATATATATATATCATCTGAAAGTATGAAAAGAACAAACAAAACCATGAAATAAATGCGTGGACAATTGTAGCAAAATAAGAAGACAGTTAGCAACGATATATGAATATTTAGCACATAATACGGAAGAGATAATTCAGATAAAATCTGATTACAATATAATCTATAGTGTCAAAGCCATGACCATGTAGATGACAGCGAAAACAAAATTAGTGTAAAACATTTTATTTTATATACATATCGCAGAACTAATATTGGAACAACCCATGATGTACGGAATTGTATTATAATCCATGATACTTGTATATTTCCAAGGTATGTTGTTCGACAAATCTATACCGTGCCTTACTATCTGGAGACTATTACCATGAAACTGACATATCAAGACAGTGTCTTAATCGATAATAGTTCATAAACATTGCAAAGGTGTGCATTCAGATCGATGATATGACACGTCAAAATTTGACGACATAAGAGGCGAAGAATAGCATTGAGGATATTCAGTCCAAGTTTCGTGCACGTGAGTCCACGTTATCCACGAACCCACGACTGTCTAAACCCAATCAATGCTACGTAACACGAGAGACAGTGAGACGGCTGCGAGGCGAGTTCTTCAAACCACGCTGACTGCTGTAATTTATTTAACGAAATTCCAGTGTTTCCGGCCTGTCAATTGAGGCTTATCATACGCCTTTGAAGGCGATCTTTTGTGCTAAAGTGCTCCTTCCTTTTTACACTTGGCAAACATTTTAAGCAGGAATTTGTCTTTGGGCGAGAATATTGTCTAGTTGTCTGCTTTTGTAGACGGTGTCTCGACTATGCTGGGGATAGCAGACCGGTCGTCTTACTCCAGTATTGACGAGGGATATTGTTTATCTTCGCCATGTACGTCATTCATTAAGTTGTTTTCATCAAACCTCACGCTGACAATGCCCTGTGGCTGTTTGTATTTGAATTTTCTTTTGTCAGCTGAGTGCGTAAGGCTTCCGACGTTGATATGTTTGCGTGCAAAGAGATGACTTGTACGTACGAACATGTACAAACTTAATTTAAAATGTCCTAATCATTTTTCGAAACGATTATCCTTCTCACGCCATTTTTCGGTGGCGGACGTGCCGTTCACGTGGCAAGCAACGAATCATTCAAAACTACATTAAAAACTAAAAAGAAAGCACATGCAATGATATTGTTCACAAGTGCTGAGCTCTTAATTTTTCATTCTAAAGCGGAGTAACCGTCAGATTCATATACACGAGAAGATATATAGGATGAAGAAAATCTCAAAATATAATTTAAATGCAAAAAACCACAAGTCCAAGATATAGTAAAATCAAAAATACATTCGGTGATATGAAACTAATTACTTGTGACCTATCACACGATCAGCTTTGAGATAATTCATATAGTTCGGGAAAAGTGGAGTTTGATAATCATCTCAATATATTCTAGCCGCTCAAGTGAGTTAAAAACAAGAAAGTTAGTTCGGAGATGTATAATACTTTTGAAACTCCTTGAGTCTCAATTCAGAGTATAATTCTTGATTTCTTGTCATGAAGTTTTAAAGAAATGTTGTACACTCTCAAAATTGTTTTTGAAGAACGAAGCAACTAGCTAAACTACAAGATACGTGCTGTACTGAAAAATGAATTGGATCTAAAAATAGGAAGTGCGTGGTTAAATCTTGACTCATATCAAATGCATGCGCATGGCATATATTGATAAGAAGAAATGGGCACATGCAACTCCAAATTGATGCTTGTCACATATGGCGTGAAAAACCACGACCACTGCGATATTTTTCCTCGCCTTGAGGCTTGAGCCAAACTAAGACCTTCTTTCTTATCAGTATTGCTGCAAGGCACAGAATATCATATTGCTGAGGTGCAACGTATCTCACCCCCCCCCCTCCTCCTCATGTTTTCGTTTTGTAGAATCGTCCGCGCACACAACCCGAGCAAAATAAACACAAGGCGACTATAGGCGACTATAGATGGAAAAAAATGGCCGATACCGCGTGGCGTATTCACACGTTTGACTGGCACACCTTGAAGGATGTGCATTATAAAACAATCCGGACGCCATTCTTTTTACTGTTTAAAAATTTTTGCATCAGCCGGTGTTTTTTTGTGTTTTTTCCAGTCATTTATCAGTTGCGTAATCTTGAACTTTTTATTATTAGCCTGTCCCAATTTATTTTCGTCTGCATGGCAGCAATTATGTTACTTAAAGCTTGTAATAGGTCTAACACTTCCGACATTGTTTTTGTCCCGGAAAGCTGACGAAAAAAAACGAAATCTGATGTAAAAGCTTAGCAAAACGTGTGAAAACATAACAATAGTAATAACCCTAACCCCGTGCATATTGGCCATTTAATGGCGTAAAAATTTGCCATTTGACCTTTGGATGAAGATGAGCAAATTAACAGAAGCCGAGTATATCAATACAAATTGCCGAAAAATTTCTCGGCTTAAATTTATCACGCGCATGCAAAATTGGATTGCCATAGTCAAATGCATGCAAAGACTGGAAACAAGAGCGTAGACTTTAGCTAAATCAGAGTTTCTACCATAAAAAGGCATTTTCCTCTGTAGCCAGTAAAACCATATTGCATATACTGTAAAATAATGATATATAGGTGGGAACAGGCTCACAGCGTCTGGGCGTGAAATTCTTCTCAGTCTCAGATGCAATGACAGTGAATAACGTTCTTCATTATGTTAACTGTAATGCTAGCAAACAATTGTAGTAAAACATACATGGCAGCCGCGGTGTCTTTTAATTTGAGAACATAATTTTCCGTGATGTTTGTACCGCCTACTGCACTCGAAATATTGTGTATAGGCGGTATAATTGGCCAGTCCGAAGTTATTGTTGAGGAGGACTCTGAGAGTAGCAAGGTTAACAATGCATTACGGGCAGATTTAGGATGAGCCTGCTGTTCACAACCGCAATCTCGTACGTGATGCATTGTCGACCTTACCAATTACCATGCATCAACACTGGTCCTTGTTTTATTAATCTTCCACGGTTTTATATTTTTATATTTTTTCCTTTTTGAGTCATAATATCAGGTAACGAACTTCAAGTATGAAAGCATGATACGTTTCCGGAACGTAGATTGTTTTGCAAAAAAAGCTTATAATGCCTCACATGAAAACCAGCTGTTTTGGGTTATTTTAAACCAGCCACTGTAATGAAGTGAAAATATTATGAAAAAATTGATTAAACAAGTTTTGGATATTATGACTAATAAAGTTATAATATTTTCATTCCAAAGACGAAGATTGAAAACAATGACCTTTATTTAACCTGGATTATTTGGTCGTCGAAATAATCTCGGAAATTCACATGGCAAAGTGATCTATATGCACTGCAGACTATATGAACATATGTATATTGTCAGTATTTTAATCGTATGTCCATCTCTTCACAGTTCACTGATGAATGAGTAAAATCCTTTGTACAGTATATTAAAATATTTGCTTTCCTGCTACAAGTATATAATAAGTATAGATTGCGAAAGATTGGTCAGTCACGGAAACACATTTTCAGACTGAGTGACAAAGCCCTTTATTCGTCAGTGACGATTCTAAAGATTCACAGTAGTTCCCAAATGTCCCCGACAGTGGACGATTAATTTATCCTCGTCGACTGGCCAGTGTTCAAAGATAATTGTTCCGGCAAAAAAAACACCGAAAGCACTTTAGTTTGCTTCTTTAGTGATTGGCGAATAGTGATTTTACTAACCTATATAGCTATATCCAACAAAAATACCAATATTTCTCAGTACTTGGAATACAAAAGCTATACACATTGTCACAGACTTATAGCAACTATAGTGGTAGTAAACTGACAATCATGTAGCATTTACAATCATCTTGAGAAAATGAACAGAAAGAAAATTACCATAAAATAATAATACGGTACCGACGGATATATTAGTGCGTGCAATCATCTTAAAAAGTGTACATGCAATAATGCATCACCGATATAATTGAATAGATCTCATTGTATGAAAAATACGTGGAAATATCGAAGGTATATTGTCTTCCTATTATACTCTTTACTCTCTTTTAATTCATTCATATATTCATAAAGGAAATGAAAATGGCTACCCATATATATATATATATATAGATATATATACTTGTTTCTTTGCAGTCTAACTTCATGCGTTAATATTTACCATTAATTTTCTTATATAATGTCAGCTTTAAAGAAAACGAATGGCATAAAAACGTCTGGGAGAGCGAGTGAGGTCTAGACGAAGCGCATTTTAATATAGTCTAGACCAACGCGTCTCGACCTCGCGTTTGTAACGCACAGGCAAAACTAGCCTCAACTCAAAAACATGATTGTGGATATTGTCTTTATTATTTTAGCATCAGCATCCCGACCGCGTGTCTCCTGCCGTTTTCCGTTTGTTTTCAACTTTCTGACATGCAGTGAAAGACATAAAACAACGTAGAATCAAGCCAATCAACTGCAATGTGCCAATGTTGACAATTTAACCCGAGGGACAATAGAGATTAATAATTAAAACACTTTTATAAGATGGCCTATTTTCGTGTCACGCAAAGTTGAAAATCGCCTTGTCGGCCGGACTTTCGCGAAAATTGCGATATTTTGAATGTTTAGATCAGATTTGCGGGTGTTGTGTTTCAGAAAGATCCTTGCAATGGGTTGAAAAAACCAAAGGAAATCTAAACAGGTTTCGTAGCCAAGGTAGAGGTCAAGTGTCTTCGCCCACGCTATTTCAAAACGGGTGGTCATCGTGACTGTTTTTGGATTGTAGCTCGAGGTTCGAGACTCGAGTGATCGTCGAGGGTCGAATGCATGGGCAAAAACATTGTTCATGCCGTGGATGACATATCGCGTGTAATCATGATGGAACCACTTATGGTTGTCAGGTAAAATTGAGAGGTTTTCAATAGAATTAGCCAATCATGTTCGAGTAGTTTCTTAGTGTATATTATCAATACTCAGTAACTCCCGGCTATTCTATATGCTCTTACTATTAGATGGAAATAAAAACGGAATGAAAATTACCTGAATCTGGGGGTTACTTCAGCAAAACTTAACCTATGCAATATAGTGGAATCTGAGGTAGACTCAATCGTTACTCTCGATCCCAAAGCTCTTTAGTATCATCTTCAAAGTTAACTCTCATTTTATATTATAGCTAGGAACTATTCAAAATATGATACCTCTATGATTTTTTCTATTTCCAGTACTTCATTTTGTATGAATCTTTGTGGGGACTGAAGCAGCATTTTTTTACATCAGTGAACAGAGTGGTGGTAAAGTCAACTTAGTCAAGGCGACACGAGCCATTTTATTTAGTCTTCTTGGCGTGGTCTTCAATTGAACGAGGAAATTGCTGACGTTCAAATTGGCACAAGCCTAGGTTTTGACGAAAAACGATGCGTCTGATTTCCGTACATATATATACCTAAGTGCAGCATAAAGGAAGTCAAATAATGAGTATGATTATTCAGACTCATGTTTTATAGAAATTGTAATAATCACAGACATCGAGCTTCGCAAACGGACAGCAGAACTTTATAACTTCGAACTATTGTAGAAGATCTGAGAAAGACAACTGACTCCGAAGTCCAAGTTCATTCAGATTTTTACCTTTTCCGATCCGCGCTGTGAAAACACGCGATCCTCGACCCTCGCGGCATTCAACCTCGACGTGTTTGGCCATAGACACGACGATATAATCATATTTCTGGTGGCAAAGGCGTCGAGACAGTGAGTTTTGTCTGCCGTCATAAACCAAGCTCGCCGTGCGATGGAAAACAAAACTAGAGTGGCGGACAAAGCTTTGATACAAGTGATCTTACAAGAGTACCGCGATCGATCTGCCGATTCGATCACGGGCCCAACAGCTATACGAAAATACGAAGCAGCTACGGGCAGACATCGCGTTTGGCCCGGTTTTGCTACAGACATTGTTAAAAGCAAACGCGACCATGTTACGTCTAGGAAGCAACTAGACGGTGGCTCGTTCTCGACAGCGCGTTTGCTTGCCCCGTCTGGCGTCGCTGCCGCGCGTAGAAAGCCGAGCAAAGTCAAGCGGACTCTGTTGGATGGTATTCCCATCGCTTGCTTTAACATCGGAGGGGAGAAGAGGCTTTGTTTCGAACAGCTTATAGCGGAGGTTTTGAAAGAATTCAGCCTGAGCGAAGTGAACAACTCGAGGGATCATTTAAAAATATACTGTCCAAAGTGTGACGAAGATCAACTGGAGTCGCTGAAGTTATCGAAGGCCATTCCTTGGTCCGACTCGTCATCTCTTCTCATCACTAAAAGCGATGCATACAGACTCTGTAGCGCTCTCCTGACAAACAAAGCACCTCAGCGACACGACAAGAAGTACACAAAACCGTTTCTCGGAGTTTACCACGAGTGCTTCGGCGGCTGCGAAGGTATCTTCGAGCCTGAAATCTACAACGAGCCGCACGCGAAATGCGTTACGTGCTTAGAATGTTACCGAATGTTTTCGCCACGAAAGTTTGTGACGCACTGTCATGCGACGATGGAAATACAAACTTGCCATTGGGGCATGGACAGCTCAAAATGGCGAGACTACCTGCTCCTACCAGACGAGAAAGCAGACGATGAATTGATTACGGTAAATATATCGGTTTTGATTATGTGTTCTTTTCTAGCGCACGTTGACCGTAATGGCTAGGTCTGCATGGGCTTGTGTGAACGAAGGCGTCAGAAAACGTTGCGTCGGATTTGTCCCGGCGGGCTTAGCTTATAGCGTATTGCGTACATGTCTGTGCATTTTTCTCGTGGTTGACTTAAGGGTTCATGTATTATCGTAAGAATATAATAATAATGCCTGACCGAAATTTTACAAGTTCGTCAGGGAAGCTGTGCAACATCTGCTCAAAACATTGTGGAGAGTTTCAGACAATGTTCTAGATTGACTAATTTCGGCCATGTTTACCACCAGTTAACTGAAAAGTTCTCATAAGATTTTAATGAATCATTTTTTAACCCGTCTCGTGTACACAGTGACTAGACCACAGTGACTACTAGTCTGGGAGTTGACCCCATCTTATTATTTGTCCGCATTGCTGACGCTGTAGCGCACATACTTATTGTTCAGGCAAGTTATGCTTTTTGCTGCAAAGTGACTTTTCTGGAAATTTGTACACTAACATTTCATAAACGTAGAGAGAGGGAAAGGTCCATCGCTTTCGCAATGACGCTAAATCGCTAAGGAATGAAATGAATCCAAAGATCGGAACTAAATGATCATTTTATCTCACTGTGTCACCATCTTAGTTGTTTTAATTAGTGTTACCACACAAAAAATGCTTCAAATTTGAAAGTCTTCCGTTAAGTATTCAGGAGAGGAGAAAACAAACAGCACAGAATCGCTCTAATGTTGAACTAAATCAAAACCCAAGACATTAGTAGATTAATTCCCAGGGGTTGCCTGACACTTGGCCATTATGGAAACTCCGTTTACATAAATCATATAAGACAATATTTATATCACCGGTCCTATTATGAATATTTATCACACTTTATCTTTCATTTTGTTTAGAAATTGTGGGAGGACGTTAAGAAGAGATTTTTTGGCACGATACGAAAACGCAAGCTGTCAAACTCAGAGGCGGAGAGCGTGGCTGAAAGCGAATGCAGCGAGACTAGCGTACGAAAAAGAAACGTGTTGACGTATGCTGTGTCTCCGAGTGTCGAGCGTTCCAACGGTACTCCGAGCAGCTCGGTCAGTTCGCCCAGGGAACATGGTGAAGGGAATAGACGTTCCGCGTTTCGGCCGTGGTCACCTTTAGAGGAAAAACATCGCGTTGAAACATCGAGTGGTAGTAACAGCCACACGCAAAGGGCATCAAGCCCGAGCCAAAATCGATTTGCTCAACCCTCATCACACCCAATACAACCCGCGTCACATTCAGTAGTAACTACATCACAAACGATACAACCCGCTTACATCTCTAGAAACAGCGCATGTCCACCGCCTGCACCTTATTCCCCGATCAACGGCTATGTACCCCATTCGACGCCGATAAAAAGCGAGTACTCGAGCGTAATATGTTCACAGGCCGAGGTTGCGCACAGCCCGAAATCCCGGGACGTTCGATGCGAAAGCAACTCAAACGAAACGGCAGGGATCACGCAAGATTTTGCCTCCCCTGAGCGGGTTAAGCAGGTGCTCTCGAAGTACTGTCACAGAGGACATCTGCCTTCGGTGGACGAACTGAGTTTTGCGCTCGCAAAAGAGCTGCAGGAATGGAGCTACGGGCAGTCGCGAGTTCTGGACGAGTTGAAAGAAAAAGGAGAAAAATTGCGCGAGGAAATGAACACTCTAAGACGTGAAAACACCTCGAAGCTTGACACAACCTGTGAGGAATTGAAGTGCTGTCAAGAGAATCTCGATCAACTCAACAGGTATGAAAAACATGAGACAGATGACACTATTAACTTGTATTGCCTTAGTTCATTGTGGTTCGTTTTGCGTGGAATTTTGCAACTCACGATTCAGCGAACGAGAGTCGTGTATAGTTGAACCATGCATGTTATGCGAAGATATCAACGCCTAAACAGCGACGCCTCGTCGATATCGCTATTTTTCTCTCACCTTTAATGTGTGTGACAAATACCATGCATGATTATATGGGAATGCATCAGGTTTTATTGCATAATTCATCACACGCACCTTCAAAATGTCATTACAACCTATCTCGAACGCAAGAAACAAAACTATTTAAATTTCCTGATTTCAGTGCAATGTAACAAAGTTTTTTCTGTCATTTATAAATTCTCTGGTGTGTCTAAAGACCAAACTGACTTCACGATATACTTATCTGATTATTCTGATAACGCGCACAGGAATTGGATGTGGATATTTAGAAGCGAGTTTCGTATATTAATCCCTCACATTTTGCTGAAGTGCCTTCTCATAAGAGAAATATTTGGAAGAAGACCTAAACATTTCAATAACAAAACACTTTCAGAGATTCTTGTTTACGACGTGTTTGACCAAGGTAAACATGCCCTGAGGTAATTTTCTTGTAGCAGAAAAACAGGCAAATCCACACTTATGATGCATAAACTGCATATATAGTTATGTTTTAACGACACATCCAGTTTTTTCCTTTCCATCTACGAGTTCTCATGGAGCAAAAAATAAATCATTTTGAAGTACCATAACTGTGTAATCCGCACGAGAATGCGCTATTTTGCGGGTAATTTGACTCGTCATAAATAACATGAACATTCCTGATATGATTATATACTCAGTATTACGCGCGATTTGTGACGCATATCAACTGGCACCGTTTAAAAGAGAGCCATTGCAGGAAACTTGAACTATTTTAGACACGCATAATGCACGTATTAGGATGTGCAAATAGGTGTAACATATACTTATCTTAATGCACACAAGTGTGTCAAAGGCGAGTTAACACCATTTATAATAGCATTATGTAAATACTATATATGTATATATAAATTTGTTTATCAACCATGCAGGGCCCTCTATGAATATCAGCTTTACAAAGACGTGCGTTTCCACGTTCTTTTCGCCAGGGATATCCCGCACGGGGCAACTCTGTTTGTCTATTTTCACGTTAAAATGCAATGACAACCTCGTTTTAAACAAACGTCTTCGGTAAAAACGATGCAATAGCCTTTAAACAGACTTTATTCAAAGATTAGACGAATATTGGTTCGCCCTAAGTTCGCCCTAATTCATTGAGGGATAGTAAGTTCGGGAATACTGAAAATATATAGTCCATTGTCCACGGTATATCAAATATACGAGTGTCTGCTATACCTTGTCCATGTTTTTGAATTGATTATTAATAATCTTGATTAACACAGAAAACGAGACGAGGATATCAAAGAATTCACCAAAACTCGAGAGGCGCTACAACGGCAGGTGGAAAGCCTGCAGGAACAGCGTTCGTCGGAATCAGATATGGTGAAAAAATTGATGAACCAACTCAACGAAAGAGACACACGCTGTCGGCTTTTAGAAAAAGAACTGGACTACATACGTTCCTGGTATATTGCAGGCTCCCAGCCAAAGTACCCCCCGTTTCAGACTCTACCAGTCGCTGTATACGGGGGGGCTGCTGGACTTCGAGATATGTACTGTAATCAAAGTGCGGTGATTCAGGAGATTCCCGTGTTTTCGCGCAACGGCGAGAGTCCTTCTTTGCCGAGCCGAAGTAAACCGGGAGATCACGAGCGGGAGCCGATATCAGGGCAAAAAGATGACGATGCCAAAGTAGAGAACGAAAAAGAGTGACTGGATGTATATTTAATAAAAGTCTAAAAAGATATAATTTATGGAAACTAATATTAGTTAGTCTAAAGATATAATTTATAATATGATTATAACCGACTGCGCAACGAAATGGCGCCTTTTGTCGTGATGATAGACAGTAGTTGAACCATAACATGTAGTTGAGACAGAACTAACGATAGCGTCGTTTGAAGTACTATGTATAACAGTCTCAACTACATGTTATGAATTGATAGTGTGTAAATATACAAACATATTAGCAGAAGTCCGTACAAAATATTATCATTACAAAGACAGAAGTACTGCTTTGTTTGACTTCCTTTCGGCCAAGCAATTTTTGGCTATTATAAAGTCATTTTCGAACAATTCTAATCATTCACTTGACGCGGGTGCGTAACGAATTTCCGGACATATATGTGCCCCTTTCATAGTTTTCTTTCTTCATCTGGCGGCAGGCCGCTTATTTTTAATCGCGCGTCAGTCTTTCTACTGAGTGCTGATAATACGAAATGATGCCGAAAATATTGAATAATGAATTATGTTTTGCCAAACTTAATTCCATGCTTGATGATCGATGTACTGATATACTGGACCGTGCAAACATGCATGTGCCCCAGATTATGATTATGAAAACTTGTTATCTGAACGCGAAAAAAACAACAAAGGGTCCCACGTCAACAAAGGATTTACCTGGCGACCAACAGGGGATATCGGCAGCTAATAACGATCCAATTTTAAGTGCACGAAATATTTTCGTGACGACTTAAGCTTTGGCGCTTGTCACGGAGGAAGCGCAGAACTTTAATTTTAAGATAACCCTTAGCGATAGGAAATATCAATTAATAAACCCATTATTCATGTAGGGTGGAACGCCGAAGAGGCGAGCGCAAATCCCCCGTTAGACAACGGATTTTTCGTTGCCCTTAATTTTCAGTGTGAGATCATAAATTGATTGATTGATTATTGCCATATTAAGTGAAATTTATACCCAGTCGATGTGAACAAAAATTGAAGTCCTCCAAGTTTAAAGCCATAAACAGTATTGACGTGAATGTCCGAGGCAGATGGTTGCCTTTATAGGGAAAAGAATATGTTATCATTCTGTTTCCACAGCTGTCTTCACCACTGGCCTGGACGTCATCAGAATACCGTCTAAAATCAGTTTTGTGAATGAAGCATATATGCTATGGCCAGGCAATGCATTAAATATCGCTAGATATGCTTTATAAAGATATAATTATACCTTACTCTATATGGTCATTTGATCAATGAACAAAGCATCATGTAAGATTTATGTAGTCCGTAGTCTAGTTATATTAAGTAGCTATACTAACTTGGTGACCGCGTTCATGCATGGGTCTTCAGTACAGTTTCCACCCAAAGGCAGCACTTCATTTGCTATAGTAATTTCAACTTACTCCTCGATACCTCCTACGTTACTTCAGTCAAATTCAGAAAACATCCGCGGTTTTCGTACAAATTCCACCAGGGCATATTTGCAGCACTAATTAGCTGAGCCGAAAGCCTAATATAGCAACTACAGGCAAAGCTACTTAGAAAAAAATGATTGGTATTCCGAAAAGTATTTACAAAAAAGTTAAGACTGTAAAGAGGTTTTTATCAAGATAAGTGGATATATTTGTATGTAACACGGAAGAGCTCAAAACAATGATAAATATATTGATCTTGTTTCATGAAATGTCCAAATTAAAGGAAAACCAGAAAAGATCCTGGGTACGAGGTTGAAGGAAAACATCGCCTGTTCTAACAATTCCAAAGCGACGCGTGCCACAGTTAATGTGACCATGTTATTGGGACTTTATGAAAGCATTAAAATACGACATAAAAGGCAGAGGCTTTTATTTGAAGTAGCATACAAACACTACCTACATGGATGCATGCACTGGATAACTAGCTGCAGATATAGACATAACATCTTTTAGTACTCAAAAATAATACTCTTAACTACCGCACATAAAAACTCTTTTAGATTTCACATTTCAAGCAACGGAATTTTTGTTGCAGCTAAATTTAGTACTAAAATAAATCACGCCACCTTACATTTTTTATTACAAGTATCTAACACTTGTGTTCTATCACGTATCATGCTTTTTATGTAAATGACATCAGATCAGAAACAATGATAATAATTTTAAACCGGCCGTGTTTAAATTTCCACCTTTTTGTTTTATTTACTTATATTCGCCATAATACGACAGTATAATGGTGTTCACCACGTTTTATTTATTTTATTTTATTTTTTTTAAATGGCTACACTTATTTAGTTTTTATTTATACCAAACCATGCTTTATATTTCTTCCAAATATAGAAATTATCCACCGAATATATTATATGCAATCCCAATGGCAATGACTTTTTTTCTTGAAATTAATTTTGCTGAAACTTCTTCATCAGCACTTTATTTTTTTAATTTTTTTTTAAACCGATCTAACTTCCTGGGGCCAGTTGTTCAAAAGCCAGTTTGCTTAACCCTGGGTTAAAGCAAATCTTTGCATTATTTTTTTTAATCGCTGTTTTACAAATGTCGGAATATCTTTTTTCAACATTTTTTTCTGGACCGATAGAAGTAATATTTTCAAAGCCTTTAAAACGAACAGTGGTTCAGAAGCACATAAACTAAAACACTGGATTAAAATTAACCCTGCAGGGTTAGTGCTAACCTAGCTTTGAACAACTGGTCCCTCGTTGCAATCCAAACCCATCCATTAAACTTCTTGCTTTCACATCCTTGCCGGATCAGTCAAACACCATGTTGAAAATCATTCAACGCCATCAACCTTCTTCTGTTGTGGAGATGATCTGTTGACATGCGACTTCTTCAAATTGGAAAATTCAACAATGTTGTTTGTTTTGTTTTCTTAAACTTTTTTTGTTCGCTTTCAAAGGTATTTTATTTTTGCTACGGAGTCTGGGATCAGGTCTCTTAGTTGGTATATTCAATAATGTAGTAGGGATAGGCTTGGCTGCGTTCGAAGATGACAAATATGGTAGGCTGCGATATATTATTCACGCACGAATCATGTAGCGGACTGAGAGGGTCAGATGCATCTTTCGCCGGCGGCCGCTGAGTCTCGTAGGAGCCTGCGACATACGAGCCCACGATTACCTTCGCCATGAACATCCTTTTGCTCTCTTGTGTCGTGGAGCTGTATGTGTTGGAATAAGAGGCCTCCACAGCAAAATAACTACCTTTGCCATACCTGGTACCGTGTTTCGAACCGCTTAGACGCCAGTCAAAACCTTGTTGGCAAATCGGCTCCATTTTCTCTAAGGAAGTACCATGAAATAACCAGCGCTCTTCAGGGGATTGGCCCGAGTTCTTCTTGGCGATTCTTGCTTTTTGCCTGAGAATAAAATATCAGTCAACTGTCTGTGATCTAGTCTTGGGTCATAGGTTTCACCTAAACCAAAACTATTATTATATTAAGACGCATCCAGAAACGAATCCAAACCCTAATACTTCTTTATGAGGAACTTGTTTGAACAAGTAGCGCGCACCTTTCATAGTCTTCCCATAAGGCGGGATTCTGCATGCGCTTCACAGATTTAATTTTAAACCCGGCCATTGTTGCCATAAATTGGGCTTCGACCTTGGAGTATTCGTCGTGATGCAAGATCTCGTTCAAATGTACACATTTGAATTCCTCCGAAGTTTCCATCGGGCCCCAGTTGGAGGGTGGTAGAAATGATTTGGAATCACTGCTAGAACTTGTTCTTTGCCGATTCTGTTTGAACCTGCATTGAAAGTAAAATATTGAATACTATTCCGCACACAGATGAAAAATTTAATTTAATAACTGAGACAACAGATTGCAAAGTGTTTTCCAAACATATTTCTCTTCTATTGATATCAAGCTTACTCTTGCAAAACTTGTTTCATCGTCTTCTCATCGAGATATCTCGACGGTCGTCGCCGTACAGCTCGCTTGGTACCGTATTTCTCATTCTGTTGGTATAGATTATGCACGTCGTCAAAATACAGCGTGTAACTGTTGGAACCGGCAGAAAACTTAAGTTGCTTTCTTCCATCTGACACTAAAAAAGCATAACCACCACTCAGATGCAGTAATACTTAAAAAAAAGACTGCAACCAAATGTTTTTGCATGAGAGAAGTTTAAAGTGTTCAGAAGTGTGTGTAAAAGATGCTAGTGTTGATAAGATTTCTATTTAGCTGCACCGTTAGTTTCTTAGTGTGTGATGAACCACAAGTAAGTTGTTACCTGACTGAAAATGCTGTTCAATCTCCTCGCTATTTACGTCAGCATTGCCGTTGTCATAGCAATGCCATTGATCGTGATCATCTTTCCAGTGCCACTTCCACGTGGTACGGAACACGTGACCTGACGCGGCTTTCACTGACGAGATCGTCGAAAGACGGCGAACTCGCAAAATACGGACGTCTACGAAACATGGACGAAAGCTGTTAAGCTTCTCAGAGCATTAACCAATTGACGACCAAAATTACATCGTCCTCCTTTCGATTCCAAGTCTCTTTTCAAAACGTACTTTAAAAGCTTATCGATCCGAAAACTCAAACCCAATTTCTAACCGGATTTTACCAACCCCTATCTTAGCCAGTTCCCTTACCACCACCCACCACCCTAGTCCCCCCTCCCCACCCCACCTTAGCATTACCCTACCCGATTCAGCTTGCATAACACTATACCTTAAGACTCAAAACTTACCATGTCCTTCTGATATCTCTCCTGACATTCGCTGAAAGTGAATTGTGAAATACCCCAGGCCAATCAGCTTGATTTTTACATCATCTATCTCATGATCACAAAATTCCATTTCGACCTCCCTATTGTCATCATCCGGAAAGTTCTTCCACCCCGAGTGGTAAAAATACTGCCATTGATAAGGGAGATCTGAGAAAATAGAAGGGACCTTGTTTATCTTACAAGTATTTAGGAATATTTTGATAGAAAGAACTCTGTGGCAGAGTGTTTAAACAAGTGATTGCATTAGAAACATGTTTTAATATTAGGGGTGTGAGTTGTGTTCATATGAGCAGTTCACATTGAAGAGGCCATTATTATAACACTTTGTCCACATCAGAGTGATATTTGCTCACTATAGTGTGCAAGTATGAGCTCCTATGTTGGAAAGTTACTGCATTATCAGGGTTGGAGAGCTGATCTTTTAAAGAGACATTCATGTTACATTGGAGAGATCTCAGCATTACTAACATTTGAAAGTTTTCCATATTATAGATGGAAGGTGTTGGTAAAAGAGACATTATAATGGTGTACCTCTGTGATAATAAAGAAGTGTCCTCACTTATGATATTAGACTGCTTTTCACAATGGAGATAAGAAAGGTGTCCATTTTTGACATATTGGGGAAATTTTTGACCTCTTATTTCTATTAACTGTGTTTTGACTGAGGACATATTGGTGCTATTAGAAAGCTGTTCATATTTGAGATATTATATAATAATGTTTAATTTAAAGGAAGCCAATGTAACCTATTTCACTATGTATTACATAAATTCCGTATTAGAGAGGTGTTCATATTAGGGGGTGATTTGTTGAATTTCTTACTAGTGTGTAAAGCATTGCACTTGTTTCCATAGCTACACTTCCCACGTAAATTGAAACCGCATATTTCTGTCTCTTCATCTGCCAAATCATGATTGCTTGTTTTGGTAAACTCAGGACTGCTTAGCTTTCTTTTCGCCTTTCCACCTGTGGCAAGGTTTTCCAAGTTTGTAACTATATCATCTTCGGAGCTATCTGAATCGGGGCTGTGAGTTTCATTGCTTTGAAGAAAAGAACGTATCTGCTTTTCGGTACGAAGTCCTCCCAAATTGTGAGCAGCTAGGACTTTTCTTGCATGGCTGGTCTCAAATGTATGTAATCTACAACATAAAAGTGGTGAATTAAAAGTGGTACCACTGTACCAGGTAATCATGTCATTTAGATTAATATCTTAATTATGGGTTCTAGTCTTTACCTTTTACATCTTGTCTCACCAAATTTGCAATCACCATCAATGTAGTGCTGACACACATGTAGAAAATCACATTTGTCACCATTTTTGCAATCTCCTTTGTTGTAAAATTTACAAGCACTTGGCCCAGAGGAGCTGGAAGCATGTTTAATCTTCTTTTCATTTAAAACCTTTCGAAACAAAAGCTTTAAGCCATCCTTGGGAAGATTGTCCAACTTATGTCTAACTAACAATGCTCTGGTCTGTGGGATTTCAAAAGCATGTGGCTTTTTGCATCCATCCTCATATTTACAATTATCTTTAACAAATAAAACAATATAAACAATGAGAATTATACTGTATGTGTTATTCAATGTGAACATGCCTTTTTTACATGCAAGTTAGCTCCAAGGTTTGCCTAGATGGCTAGATCCATGGTCTACTTGCACAGTGTACCCCAATAACACCTATTGAAATATTATTCTGCCCTAGGGTCAGGATATATGAATATTCACCCCCCCAATTATCGTTCTAGTAACGCCACTGATTGGAGAGAAGAATTGGGGGAAGGATGAGTTCCTTCTATTAGTAATATTGCTGGTATATAGCCATCTTTATCAACTGTTCTTCATAAAATCTGGAGACACGGTGCTCGTCAGCTCGTGCATGTAGATGCGAAGCACACAACCTTTGGTCCGGCATTCCGGCTTTGGGGCTGCCAACCTCTAACAAATCTGGCTAGCTAAATAGTTGTATTTTACCATATAGTCTAGCATTTTTTTACGATGTTATTGCTTTATATGTATCCCACCTTCCAAAAAGAAACGGCATACGTGGAGTTCCTTGCAACCTGCTTCTTTACACTTCCCCATTTGAAATGCATCGCAAATTTTCACTGATGTCTTGGCTTCGACAAATTCCTTTCCCTCAACGTTCTTGATGACAAATTTATCACGGAAACCCTTGACAAATTCCAACGCTTTCTTCTTATCGTAGCCTTTGTCATCACTGAACTTTTGCAAACGTTTAGTAACACCAGTAATTGCCAAGCGACAGTCTTCCCCGTAACAAATTAAATATGAAAACAGCTTCGAGGCCAGTAAATTCTTATCCAGATTTTCTGAACTTCCGGTTTGATTTGACGTTGAGCGACTTCTTGGTTTTGGCACTGGTTTCATACTCGCTTTAAGAGATGAATAATCCATAAACACTATCCCTTCCTTTAAATCAAAATATACAATACTTTTAAGAAGTGTTCTACGAATGTCCGTACCTGCCAGTCAGTAGATGATATTAATCATACTATAGGAAAGACGAAAGTGTTACGTACTTACTTTCGTTTCCGATTTCCTGGAACTGGAACTCTGGAAATCTGGAAATATCAGCATTCAGCATCTAAGCATTTGGTCGTAGCATATCCTATATAGCTAGGATATATTTAGTAAACATATATATTGACAACAAAATTGACAACTCTTTCAATGTTCCAAAAACCAACCAAATAAGCTCAAAAACTGAAGAGATTAGTCTTAGGAAACATCTGAAGCCATTTTAAAAGTCATCAATTTTTGCCAAAATGGTAAGGAGGACTCCGTGTTTTTGAATTGATTATTAATCTTATTAACACAGAAAACGAGACGAGGATATCAAAGAATTCACCAAAGATATGCACTGTAATCAAAGTGCGGTGATTCAGGAGATTCCCTTGTTTGCCGCAACGACGATTGAAAAAACCACTGTGAGGCTTTCATACAACTGGCCCCAGATCGATTAATGTGGGGCATAATTCATATATATATTCTTTTTCTGTATTACAGTCGAACCTCTATTAAGCGGCCCTCCATATTAAGCGGCCACCCTCTATTGAACGGCCCCATATCGAAGTCCCGAAATTTTTGTAATACAAAACTATCAACTATCCCTCTATTAAACGGCCACCTCTATTAAGCGGCCGCGGCTACCCAAGAGCAGTTCCAAATGATGTTTTCTATCAAGTCCTACCTCTATTAAGCGGCCAGCCTGGGTAATTGTCGAGAGTCGAGAGCTAAAAGTCGAGCTACTTTGCTTTGTAATATGATGTTTAAAACGCCGTATGTCATAACACATGCCACTTTACACCTCAAAATTGACAAAAACATTGTTTGGCGGTATTGAAATCCGAAGTATCATTTCCTGCTGTTATTTCGCGTCAAATCCTTCCTTTTTAAGCTTTTCTTTTAGCAAATTGATCGAAGATTCATCAGTCTCCTGTAAAATGAAATTCGCATTTGCAAAATGAAAATTCTTTATTACCTACTGCTTGATATTTCTAAAGTAAAGTCAATTCACATATATATTCCGTGATTTATAATTAAAAATAGACTTTTTTCTACGTCCAGAGTTGCGTACCTCTATTTAGCGGCCACAATGCCGATTCCCGGCCCGAGAGTGGCCGCTTAATATAGAGGTTCGACTGTATAAATTTCTTTATAAATTGATTGTTTTTCCAAAAGAAATATTTATTATTCTATATTGGCATTGATTAAATTTTAAGCATCTATAGATCTTAATTGTGATTATGCAATCATTGAAACAACCTTGGTGGTATTACTGTTTTCATGTTAGCGAGTTTATTGAAAACTGCTACCATAGTGTATTAATTTGTATTAATTTGTATAATAACCAGTATTAATTTGTTTCACAAACTGATTTGTTTATCAAAAAGAGTCTATAATTTTAACGGATGATGGGAAACTGTGGAAATATAAGAGCAGTATTACTTCACGGCCCGTGTCGTAGATTTGGTGTATCTTAAACTAACTATAGTCGCTTAGCTACAACACATACAAGTTCACCGCATAGATGTAAACAGACCAGGTGTCCTAGTTAAACATCGCGCAATCTGGTCACCATTTCATTTGGCTGCCAAAAATGTAAGACAAGCATTGATTTCGCAGTCGGAATTTTAAATGTAATAAAACAAGCTTTCAATTAGAGAGATATGAAGTTGTTTTTAAATTTTGTGGTATGTATCAAAATTTTTTCAAAATGCTGTTTATTTTAATATTGCTTTTAGATAGCTGTGTGGAGAAATACTCCTTAATTTAATGAATTCAAAATATTCGCGTTGTTGCAACTGGAGCGAAAAACTTTATATGTATAGGTCGTGCTATTTTGTAGGTTGTATTAAAAAAACGTTTGACGAAGTCTTGAACTATTTTCGTACGTGTTTTTACATATACGTATAGATATATACGTATACATACATATATATACGTATAAATTACTATTTTTCATCCTAGGTAACGTCACTTATCTCTGTACTTATCAGTAAGGTCAACGGTAAGTTTATAGCCAACAATAAGTTCATTCTGACACCCTGAAACCCCGTTGCCCTGCGATTAGAGCTCTGTGATTCAGTTTCACAGTTCATACAAGCACGGACACGGTCTTATTCTTTCCATCCGAATGTTTTTCATTTCATGTTTAAGCTTTTTAGGTTTAATAGTAATCTGTTAAGCCCGAAAACTGCATATTGCAGTGACCTATTCTGCACCAGGGTCTCTTTCAAGAAACTTTGAGTGGGTGGAGTTGTGTGGAGTGCGATAACAGGCTACACCTGTTTTGCATACTGCTCGGCCTCCCTCCCCCGTCCTTGTCTTTGTCTTTGTTCTGACGAAAGAATCTCTTCCAGCTTGCTAAACCATAGTTTAAGGCTGGACACGGGAACGATTCCAAAGCCGCGTTTATACACACTACATGCTTTGGCGTGGCCTAGACCTAGATGTGAACGTTGTTTATCCGGCCTGGTCTAGGCCACAAAATCCAGGCCAACAGCAGAAAGTGGCCAGGACCAGGCCTGGACCTGACCTGGGCCAAGATTTTGGTAATGTGAACAGGCTTTGCCTAGTCCTGACAAATTTTGAACTTAATAGTATGATTTGTATAGGATCCATATAGTATTACCACTTTTCGGCGTGTTTTGGGGTTTGGGTCTTTCCCCAAGTATTTTGTCAATTACTTTGCCTATCTGATATCATCAACAAAGACGACAGTGTGAACGTGGCACATATTACCTAGGTTTGTCCTAGACCTGATCCAGGTCAGGAGGTCTAGGCCTGAAGAGTAAACGCGACTTAAGCCTGTCACTCCAGTCGTCACTTGCCTGTCATGGACTTTCTCAAAGGAAAGCATATTTACAAAATTTTTTCTCATTCAGTTGATGGTGGAGACCCCTGCAGTCCTAACCCTTGCCAGAACGGTGGAAATTGTAAGGTGAAACAAAATACATTTAGATGCAATTGTCCTCCAGACTTCAAAGGAGACTCGTGCGAAATCAGTAAGTTTACCGCATCTAGACCTGCATGTTCACGTTACACAAACTAACCCGGCTTCGACCAAACTCTACCGTCTCGCAGCAAAACAACCGTCTCTTATCGTTTATTTGCGTTAATTATAAATGGGGCATTTTATCATGACAAAAAACTCTCCGATCACCGCCCAGACTTCACGGTTGACGATCGCGCCTAAAAAAACTACAGGACTTGCACTGGGGCCGGTTGTATCAAGCCCGTTTAGCTTAAACGGTGGATAAGTCAAAATGAAATAACACTCTTACATCTCTCTTGAATGAGTCAGCTTCAATATTATGCACTGAATATGAAGTTGAAAACAATAGCTTTGTATTAAGGTCAAAAACATTTTGTTTGCTTGTTGAATAAAACGGCAGACTTGCTTCTATTTTGAACTTATCCACCGTTTAAGCTAAACGGGCTTGATACAACTGAGCCCTGGTTTGTAATTTGGCTTCAAAGAACGGCCACCGTTACTAACTCCGGAAATTTTTAAAACAGTTGGAAATTTTTTAAAACTTCTCGCAGCGATTGTACTTATTCTAAGGTTCCGTTTTCAGCTGTTAGCCGCGGGTGTTTGAAAAAAAGTACTCCGGTTTGATTAATAATAACTGTTTAACCAGTGAAGCCAATCACACTGAAATAAATTTTATTAGATAGAGGGAACGTTAAATTAGATTTGGTACTGATTACAATTACATTTGGCCAAAAACTCACGGAGATATTAGCGTTCAAAGTTAATAGCGTATTTATAGATGTCGTTGTTAAAATAGTATTTACAACACCCGAAGTTGCGACTTCGAGTGTTTTAAATTACTTCAAATACGCCGCATTGTTGTCGAGCAATAAGTTTTCTACAAGTATACAATGCTAATTAGGTTGAAACATTACATAAAGAATACTAACGAACGTAACAAATTATATAATTTGTCATCCTAATTAGCATTCATGGTACTGTACCACGTATAAAGCAACTATATGTGACTTCAAATGTTTATTACGTAGGCTTAAATGCTTATGAATTATTAATTCGAGGTTATGCAAAATCGCTGTTTTGAAGTTATGCAAAAAGTATTGTCCACAATTAAGGACACTTGGACATTATCCTAACTTATTTTACAGTAAATGTTCGTGAGAATTTGTAGCGGTTCGTGTCTACTGTACATGTTAATAGTGCCAGCAGTGAGCAAAGATTAATTGTAATTCATGTACATGGATCTGGAAACGACTGTAAACCTTTTACTATCCTCACTGACCTTTCATAAACATTATCAAAGGAAAGTATTTACAAAACGTTTTATTTTTTATTACTTGATGACGAAGATGATGACGAAGGTGAAGGTGCCGGAGACCCCTGCAGTTCTAACCCGTGCCAAAACGGTGGAACCTGTCAGGTCAGTGGTAGTGGTGACTATGTATGCACATGTCGTTCAAAATTTTCGGGAGAAAGATGCGAATTGTTTGGTAAGTATACCATATATACCCGTGTGCGTTATATAACCCTGGTTTGACTAAGACCAGCTACACTATAACATATAATTATATAGCATTATTTAGTTTGAAGTTCACATGAATTTATATAATAATATACACAAGCGAGTTCAGTTTTAAAGGCTATGCTATCCCCATGTTCATGCATATATGACTGGAATTGGATTGGGAACGTCTGTTTTCGTACATCACTGACCTATATCATGTGGACTTTTTCAACTAGTATTTACAAAACGTCTTATTTTTTATTCGTGTTAAAACAAAGATGGCAAAGGTGGTGGCGGAGGTGGTGGCTGGAATGGTCCCAGCGACCCCTGCAGGACTAACCCGTGCCAAAACGGTGGAAACTGTACGTCGAACGGTACTGGTGGTTTCGAATGCACATGTAGTTCAGAATTCTTTGGAGCAAGATGCGCAACCTTCAGTAAGTTTATCATCAAGACCT